TCATCATTTTTCGTGTCGCCTGTGTCATTACATAGTAAGTCCTTGACTCTATGCCGCTTTACTCTACCAACCCTTCCCATACATTGTATGCATTTCTTGTTCCCTTTCTACTATCAAAATCGTCGTCCCTTCGGAACGCCTTTATTTTCATCCTTGGTCTTGTCTGCTGCATTCTGTCGATGGGCTGTCACGAGCGTGCCCCATCGAGCCAGCACCCCGCCCACTAAGTTCAGACCCGCCTGGTGCCAGCCTCCATGCCTGCACTCCCTAAGCATTCACTCCCCTAGCACCGAGAGAATACACGCCTTGTTACCCGTTGCCTTGTTCCCTGGCCTGGGCTGGATCATTTCGAGGCCTTCTGAACCAAAAGAGTTCGTCCATCAAAGTTGAGAGTGTGGACAGGCACCTACTTAGAGGTAGGTAGCCAGCCTCTTCTTGGAGTCAAAGTCAACAGCGACGGTAACTGGAGCTGCTCCTCAACTACACATCACTGGCATCCAAACGTCAACTGCTCCAAGTGAGAAACGGGCGGGAAAAGGGGAAAAAGAAAAGAAGAAAAACCATGAGAGTGACAGGAAAATAAACCTTCCTACCCAAACAATCCAGTCCATTCATGCTGGTAAATGCATGCGTAGCATAGCGCATCCTGCCGCACTCACGTTCGTGCCTACGCACACGCACATTTGCTTGTCAAGTTGACGACTTCACTCTTCCTGCCTCGTCTATTTCTTGTTTGTTCTCATTCAAAAACACCCATCTGTCTGTCAATTTGGGCCCAACCTGTCCCCGCGCCGTCAGTCAGCACAGCACAGCACACTGGCATGCTTTTTTTGGAGAAGCGAAACTCGAAGCTTGCCTGACCTGACCCAACACGGCTTGTCCGTCCCTCACCTAAACTTGCATTTGCATTTGCACCTGCACCTGCACCTACATACACCTACGTCTACGTCGCCACCTCTGGCTGTACCATACCTTACACAGTACCTTACCTTGCCATTCACTCCCATTAGTACCTCGATCTATCTTTAGGCCCTGTCCCTCCCCCCCGGCGTCCTTTTTTTTTCCCTCGCTACCAGCAGCTTTTTATACCCCGTCCCTTGCCCACTTTCTCGCGCCCACTGTTCCCTTTCCTCCCCTCCCTTCCCCTCTGCCCCGCCCCCCCTCCAGCAGCCTGTCCCGTGCCACCAAAAACACCACCGACTCTCCCCTCGGTTTTCTCTTTGTTTCCCCAGATACCCTTGGCCTTGCCAATTTCGTGCGCATCGTCCTCGTTGTTGCCTTCGACTCACAATCAGCTTATAGTCTACTTGGGCAAACGGCATCGCTTTCTCGCCAGCCAGACATCCTTTGGTTGACCAACTTTACGTGCAGAAATAACCTCACGAGCCGCCCCTCTGCGCCCGTGCCGATACCCTGCTCGACCGAGACATTACTCGCCCATCGTCATTCAAGTGTCGTACACTTGTCTATTGCGCAAATCTAGCTCTCCGTTGAGAGAGAAGCATTATTCAAGCTTTTGCTTGCCTATCAGTATCCTACAAGCATTGGCTCCTTCTATTCTGCCCATCACGGCCCACTTAATAGCTCTTCGCATATTCTCTTCCATCGAGACGCCCAGGCGGTTTCGTTCAACTTTATTTGCACTCGCGCTTTGATTAAGACTCAAGCATTCAAACTATGTCGGCTCATCGGCCAAACGCCTTTAACAGCCTCCGGATGGGAGGTTAGTATATCACCCCCGCCATTGGGCCTGCTTGGGCCGGGCTTAACCTATGACCCTCCAACTGACACAATTGCAGAGGTTATCCGCGAGAAGGTTCAAGATGGAATTACTGGAGAGACCCGGGACCTGCAGTATACGCAGTGCAAGATCGTAGGAAATGGCTCTTTCGGTGTCGTCTTTCAGACCAAGCTGTCTCCATCTGGAGAGGATGCTGCCATTAAGCGGGTTCTTCAAGACAAGAGGTTCAAGGTATGTGCAATTGGCATAGCGCATTATGATCTGCTAGCTAACTATCTTCCCAGAACCGTGAACTCCAGATTATGCGCATCGTTCGCCATCCCAACATCGTCCAGCTCAAGGCCTTCTACTACTCCAATGGCGAACGTGTATGCAATCCTGCCTATCCAACTATTCTTGCCTTCTTCGCTAATTCCCTCATAGAAAGATGAGGTTTACCTTAACCTTGTCCAGGAATTCGTGCCCGAGACCGTCTACCGAGCCTCTCGATTTTTCAACAAGATGAAGACCACCATGCCCATCCTTGAGGTCAAGCTTTACATTTACCAGCTTTTCAGAGCCTTGGCCTACATCCACTCTCAAGGCATCTGTCACCGAGACATCAAGCCTCAGAACCTCCTTCTCGACCCCAACAGCGGCATCCTCAAGCTCTGTGATTTCGGAAGTGCCAAGATTCTCGTTCCCAATGAGCCTAACGTTTCGTATATCTGTTCCCGTTACTACCGTGCACCAGAACTTATCTTTGGTGCCACGAACTATACTACCAAGATTGGTAAGACCTTGCATCTGACGTACTTTCTCGATCCGTTTATTGACTGTGATTAGATGTTTGGTCAACTGGCTGTGTGATGGCTGAGCTTATGCTTGGACAACCCCTCTTCCCTGGCGAGTCAGGTATTGACCAGCTCGTCGAGATCATCAAAGTTCTGGGTACTCCCACTCGGGAACAGATTCGAACCATGAACCCCAACTACATGGAGCACAAGTTTCCTCAAATCAAACCCCACCCGTTCAACAAAGTCTTCCGAAAGGCCGACGCCAACGCTATCGACCTTATCGCTCGACTGCTTGAGTACACCCCAACCGAGCGACAATCTGCAATTGATGCCATGGTTCACCCCTTCTTCGATGAGCTTCGCGACCCCAACACCAAGCTTCCTGACTCACGACATGGCAGCGGCCAGCTCCGCGAACTCCCCGCCTTGTTCGACTTTACTCGTCACGGTATGAGAATGCCCAACGAATCACTTTAACCGGCAATGCAGCTAACAATTCATCAGAACTCTCGATTGCTCCAAGCCTGAACCAAAAGCTTGTTCCAGCACACATTCGCCCCGTACTCGCATCGCAAGGTCTTGATATCGACAACTTCACACCCTTGACGGAGCAGGAGATGATGGCGAAACTAGATTGAGCCGGCCTCGTGTCGAGGCAAAGGGTAGTTGGCATACGCTTGTACCCTTCTACGGCTCTCCACGGCTCTGGAAGAGACCTGCCTCGTCCACTCCCAGTACCGAGCTGAGCAAAAATGGCTGGGAGCAAGGGCCCAGGCCAAGGCCGGGTCAAATGGCGAGCAGGTGCTATACAGCCCTGAAGCTAATAGCGTCGGTCTTTAATACAAGGCACGGTGTATAGGCGTCGAGGGCCAGTTGAGAAGGCTTGTTTGTTCTGGCGAGCGTTGGAGTCTTTCCCGGCAGGGAGGGGGATTGGGCGTTGTGCTTGCCCTTTATACGAATCCGCTCTCAGTTTTGCCTTAAGGCTAGTTACGACAAGGGATGACCCCGTTGATGCATATCACAGGGAATTACGTTTTTAGACCACGTTTCGATGCATGGCGGATAATGGCCGGTGCTGTTCTTTTTTTGTTGTATGCGCCTCAAGGGTGGAGCCTAATGCTGCGGTCATGGTTGGCTTTGGGAAATGATGAGGATAACATTTGTTGAATTCTTATTCTTGGTAACGCGTTCTGCCTCGCCATGATTGCTCGGAGGGCCCCGACCTTGTTGTTGCTTGGAGCCGCCGGAACGGAGTCGAAAGGTTTGCTCGGCCTGGTTTGCCCTGCAGAAGACGCAGCCCGGTACCCGATATTGTTCTCGATGCTGCAACGAAATTATCAATTGAAGCTGGCTAAGGATGGCCTTGTGGCATCTCACTCTCGCTTTCCCAAAGACGTGGAGGAGTTTGGCATTGTTTGGTCTAGTCGTCGATGGTCCAAGACGATATAAAGAATAAGGGACTGGTTATGAATTGCAAATAAAAGGCAGAAAGAATGAATGATGTGACGCATTGAAGGACGTTGGGTGACTTTGACGTCTTTGAACAGCAATGAGCTTTATTTCTAGACTTCAAACGCGCAAGTTGACTAAATTTATACGATTGTTTTAACAATCGGCTTCCCATCTTGTGTTAATGTGATGTATCTGTACCTATCCTTCTATACATTATACCATCACGTCAGGGCCGTTTAGTTACCAAGATGTGAATCTGCATACCATCAAGTTGATGACTGTCTTTGTTGTATGATCTTGTTAATGAAAGGGGGATGTAGAAATACCAAAGGAATATGCATAGAATCCTAGCTACTATATTAAACATCTTAAATCCACAGACTGATGGGATACCTCAGTTCTCAATTCACAATTAATGATTTACGAGGTTGATGTGGTTTGAAAGGATACCTCAGGCATTAATATCGTTCAGGTGTTAGCGTGTTAGCCTCGTGAGACTCGGCCCCCTGTAGCATCGCATGCGCCAATCCAAAGCTAGTTCATGCACCTTAGCTTGCTCGCTTCGTGCACTGTAGTGGAGGTATCCTATCCATAGGTCGTTACCGGGCAGGTAGGTATTCTTTCCCTTAGTGAACTTTTAGCAGTGACGCAGCCTCATACTTCCACCTCCATCACAAACTTTCATCTCCCACCAACACCAATTATCATTGACACACGTCGAGCTGTTATACCGTCAAGGACGAAGAGCGCATTATGGCCGACTACGATAGACGACCCCCGGGCGGTCACCGCAAGCGAAGATATCGAGGCAAGTAGATTCCAATTAATTCAAGATACGCGAAGCTGTCGCGTTGCCCTTGTTGCGCCTGCTAACATGTTGCTGTTCAGATGACGATGACCACTACGATCGCCGAAATCAGCGAAGACGGGTTGATTCCGCACCTCTCCCCGTGCGCGTCCGACGACAGCTTCTGAGCATCGCAGACTCCCCTTTGCGCCGATGGGCCGAAGAGGTTCAATCCATCGCGCATATGGTGGCCGAAAACCACGACGATGAGAATCTTCGCAAGATGTTCCTCGACCTTGTCACACAGCTTCTGCTCGAGCAGCCTCTCAAGACACCTTTCGTCGCCGCCGTCGTACTTATTATCAACACTTTGAAACCCGAATTCGTTGACGAGATCCTTGGACGCATTGCGCAAAACACGGCAGAGAAGATCGCGCAGGGCGAATGGCGTGATGTGAAGCTGCTGCTCAAGTTTTTGGCTTGCCTACAGTCTCTGCTCGAGGGAGATGGGCTCTTCCCGATCTTGGAGGAGCTCTTCAGCCGAGCTGCGGACCTCCAGACAGCTAGCTCGGATGATGTGAGTTCAAAGCTTTTTGTAATGTTGGTTCCATGTGCTAATTACAGGTAGACTATTGGTACCGAGATCGTCAAAATCATTCTTCTTACTATTCCCTACATCATGGTTTCTTCCCCAGGACAATTCCAGCAGAAAGCTGCCGAATTGATGGAAAAGACGGACATCATCGCCTCAGAGCCCCATGCCCTCCAGGCCCTCGTCGACCCTTATCATCCTGAAGGCAAGGAGGAGAGCCCCGGCACATCGTTGAGCGTGTGCATGTTGCTCCAAAAGCAACTTCAGTCGGAAGCTGCCGAGGACTGGAAGCTATCATGTTTGCCGCGACCCTGGGAAATGCCTCTGGAGGATATCGATGCGCAAGACAAGCTTTCGAGCGCGCCCAAGCACGCTCTTCCGGCCATTGCCATCCCTGCGACAGTCATCGCTGGACCTCGCCCCCTGTTTCCAGAGATCTACTTCTCCGTATACACTGACCAGGACGTACCCTCAGTTCCTGCTGTTACCGATATTGCTTCGACTCTTATCCGGGACGGTCTTCTTGACACTATCAACATTTTGGACTTCAACCGTAACGTCACTGCTCGCTACTTGATGGACTTGGATTGCTACTTCGCTGATGGTACTTTTGTCAAACGTGCTACGCCATTTGATGAATTAAAGAACTTCCCAACAGGGAAGAACACATGGAAACCGGAGGATGTTGCTGTCGATACCGTTTTTTCACAGTTGTTCCAACTGCCTACACCCGAACGAAAGGTTGTCTACTACCATTCTGTTCTTACTGAAGCGTGCAAGCTGGCACCAGCAGCTATTGCGCCCAGTCTTGGTAGGGCTATAAGATATCTCTACCGAAACAGCCCCCGTTTGGATCTGGCACTGAGCTATCGCTTCATGGACTGGTTTTCGCACCATCTAAGCAACTTTGGCTTCACCTGGAAGTGGGCCGAATGGATAGATGACGCTCAACTGCCTGACTACCACCCCAGCAAATGGTTCTTGAAGGGAGCTCTTGATAAGGAGGTGAGACTCAGTTTCGCTCAAAGAATTCAGAAAACTCTCCCCGAACCCTATCTACCATTGGTCGGCCCTGAGAAGGAGAAGGATGTTCCTGATTTCAAGTTTAAGAATCCTGGTATGTATCTTGCCATTTGATAAAAGCTCAAATAACTGACATACGCTATAGATACCCCGTTCTCTAAAGAGGGAATGGAGATTGCTGGTCTCCTGAGAAAGAAGGCTGCGGATGAGGAGTTCCAGGCTTCCATCGACAGCATTCAGTCACAAGCTTCGGAGCAATCCTTGGATCCGTTGGTTACTAGCACGGATGTCTTCGTGACCGCCATCTGCTGGGTTGGCTCCAAGTCGCTGAGCCACGTTCTCGCTTGCATTGACCGGGCCAAGGGCAGACTGCTTGACGCTGGTAACGCTTCAGAGGCAGCTCGTGCTCAGATCATATCAGCGGTTATGAGCTACTGGCATGCGCACCCCGGCATCGCCCTCTCCATCATTGAGAAGCTTCTCAACTTCTCTATTCTTACACCGCTGACCGTGGTAGACTGGGCTCTCGTAGCCAGCACACCCGCAAACGGCACCAACGGAGGCGAGAGTCTAGCCGAGCCGCACATCTTCGAGCTCGTTTCTAACACACTTTCCAAGGTTGCCACCCGCAGCCGCCAGACCATTGCTTCTCCTGATACTGACGAGGAAACGCGTGCCAAGGAAGTCAAGTCGAATCAGGACCTTTTCCGCGCCACAAATGATGCCCTCGTCAGCTGGGCCGGCGGAAGCAAGGACGAGCTGATGGAGGCGGGCGATGGATCAAGTGATCGCGAGGCCATGATTCGACGATGGGGCCAGCGATGGCTGCGTGTCTTCAGCAGAATGGGTGCTGTCGAGGAAGCGTTTGCTCTTGAGGCTGTTAAGAATGCTGGCAAGGACAAGATGGTAACTGATGGAGCGGAGAATTAGAGGAGATAATTGCAAGGTTATGGAACTGGGTGGTGATAGAGAGGAAGTATTTTAGAAATCGTTATGGGCTAAAAAGGAGCTAACTGGGTATGCTTATTTGTCTCCCAATATTCAAGGGATAGGAACAAGGGTGAAGTTTATAATATGAAGTTTGTCACAAAAGACTGCACAGAAAGTATCACGGAGGAGGACAGTGCTATGGCATATTGTGATAGCTTACCTATGTTCTCATGGACTTTCCTATGAAACGACATCTACTGCTCACGGTGATACAATGGATTCTATACCGGTGTATTGCCAACACGTAATTCGTGTTTCTCTGGCCACTATGATGTTTGTTTCGAGCCACTGTTCCGCTCTAGCAACTTGTCCTTGTACACTGACAACATAGGTGCACACGGTTGATGTCATTCCTTCATAACTCATTTCCATTCACCTACAGCACTTGTACACTCAGCACTACAACTTGTGGCAGTGTCAAAGAGGTTCTAAAATCGAGGTGAACCGTTCCAAAAATCATCATGCTGCCAAGAGTCCACCAAATAGATGGTCCATCCTATCCGACGCCGAGCTAATGAGGGTATAAAACCAGTCTAATGCAAAATAAAAGCAGATTGGGCTATGGGACCGAAAGGCCGGAGATTAATGTAATCACAATAGAAGATTTCGTTTGATGCGCTGAGGCAGTACGATTTTGTCGATCGTGAGCTGCTCGGCAGCCTGGGACGCTTCACCCAACTTCTTGAGCTTGTCCATGAGATGACTATTTTTCGAATGTTAGTCGTTCTATGTTGTCCGAAACAGGGTGAGGGCGTCTGCGAAACCCGTCCACCATCGACCTGAAATTGGGTGTGGTCACAGGATTGGAGGACTTCGGGGAGGATGTGGGAGTTTGGGGTTGATATATGTGAACTCTCACAGGGGCGTCGGCAATTGTTGGAGTCGACGTTGCCGTGTCGACTTCGTCCACGGTTTCTGGGATTGGGGCTGGGCTTGTGGGGGCGGAATGGGAAGAAGGGTTATTCAACCCGACAAGTATTAAGAATGGTCGGAAATATACGTACTTGACAGGCAGATGGCCACGAGAACCCTCGGTCATGGCGAGGTTCACGCGGTTCATCTGTCGTTCGTGCTCGTTGAAATGCTGCCTGATACGTTCATGGCAATCTCGAACTTCACCACCGCGGACTACATATCCACAATCATCTTCTTCGCATACCCACGTTTCGTCCGGACCACGTGGAACAGTCGTCGGTATGTTGTCTGCCCTGAGGAAGATCTTAATAGGTTCCTCAGACGTGCTGCTAGCCGGTTCATCTTCAGACAAGCCTACTGGGCCGTCGTTTTCCATGGCATCACCATCCTCGTCAGAAAAATAGTGAGACCTCTTCGGCTCTGCCTCTTCATCCTGTGAATCGCTGTCCACATCAGAGTGGGCTCGCTTCTTGGAGGCGGCTACTAAACGAAGGCTGGATTTGACACCCGATGGGCGGCCTGGTCTTCTGATGCTTTTACCTGCTGGCGTTGAAAGGGCCGGACTTGAGAGTTCCTCATTGATTGATGCTGCAGGTGTTGGCATAGCTAGCTTGCTAGAAACGGCATTGCTTGACTGCTTGCGTCGTACCACGCGGTAAGGAAAGTCAGATAGCTTGATAGCTATCGGTCTAAACGGTTTCTTGGAAACCTCTTCAAGCCAGATGTAAAAGTCATGACCCTTGTACTTATCGTTGTCGAGTTCTTTAAGAAGTGGCACAGCGTTGTAGTGAAGTACTTCCTCAATTGGGACTCTGTAGGATGCCCTCTGGTCACTCTTGTAGTTAGGAAATTTGTACTTAGTCCAGAGCTTGTTCATGACAGCCGAAACACTGAATCCAGCCCTGGAGTGTATTGTCTCCTCGTAAGCCAATTCGATAGCATTTAGGACACTTTGGAAGGGGGTCTCGTCAGTGCTGTCCACCAAGTTTGAAACTTCACTCATGCGAGGGGCGACTGATGGCGCGCTTGTTGACGAACGGACGCTCGCTGGCCTTGGGACCATGGACGCATCCCTCGAGATTTGAGGGGAGCTTGTCAAGTCGATGATGTCATGTCCGCCTCTATCACTTATGGAGCGTGGCCGTGACGAGCGTCGTGGTGGCGGACTTCCGTTGGGTTCTGCGATTTCAGGGGTAGCATTGCTACGCGCAATTGATGGAGCTGACGAGCCGTTGCGAGTTCTCGAAGGAAGTGTCTGAGGTACTGGCAAACCGCTGATCTCCACGGAAGGAGACCGCTGGGGTTGAGGCCCTTTACGCAAACGCTCCAATTCTTTTCTGTAAGTCTCCTAAGTCCTAAGTTAATTTTGCTTGCCATGGAAACTGATGGTCTTTCACTCACATCATGTCTCTTGATTATCCACTGGTAGAAAGGCGTAGTCGGCCAATCGAGTTCACTGAGGTCTGAGGTACACTGCGAAATTAAGAAAGATGCGTGTTCATCACATCGCGCAATGACCTCTTCAAGAGTTGAACCGTCTCCAATCCTGGTAGCGTACTTGGACAGAGTTAACAAAATTGGGAATCTGTAACGGAGGGCTCTAGGCACAAACCTCATGGAAAACCTGATTCAGTTCTTTATCGCTATCCTTTTTGCTCTTTTTTGCTTTCTTGGGTGGTTTATCGCTGTATATGGCCAGTATGCGATAGTAAAGTGCCACAGCCTCTCGCATCTTTCTGAAAATGGGTGCGTATGCTGGCGAAGGGTTGATCTCGTACCAAGCACATTGGCCTGCAACCCAGATAATCGGTGAACCATTCTCGTCTTCTCCAATAGAGTATTGACCGCATTTTCTGACTTCTAGCTCGATTGATCTGCGGACTTTCATGATAACTAAAACATGTTATTAAAGGTGATGCGTGGTACAATAATCTGGTAACCAACGGTGGGCTCTCTGTGCCGGATCCTCTACAAGAAGGGTACCCCGGATGATGTATGGTCCACGGGTGGCCACATCAAGAGCATCTTCGAGGGTTTGCCCATCCTTGTTCAGAACGACGGCATCTTTGAGTTCGAAGCATGTTTCTGGGTCTACTCCGGAATGGTTGAACCTCAGAACCGACTTCTCTTGGCGCCATGAGATTCTACTCTCGTCTTCGGTGTCAACGCTCGAAGAAGACACACGGCGGCGGCGCCCGGCCATGGTTGTATGGCCAGGCTCGAATATGCACTTGGCTTGGGGTCGTCGATTCGGGTACTCGATAGCGGGCGCAGGGTGGACGATGGTGAAAACGGGTTTGAATGTGTTTGTATGGTCCGGTTGAAAGTAGTTGTAAATAGGTCGGTTCACAGTGAGTTATAGAGTTATCCTGTATTGTGTGAAGCGATCACCAATGTTGGATGTGTGAAAGGTGGTAGATGTTAAATGTTAGTGTTGCAGACACATTGGAGTTAGTGCCTAGGTAGGTACCATGATCGCTGTAGACCAGGTGCAACAGAACGCGGTCGTTCGCGCGCTGCACCTAAGGTAATGGCGGAAATGGCGGGGCAGCGGCCACTAGGAGCTTCCCAAATCTACAGGGGCAGCTGCATTTCATGGGTTCACTGGCCCACTGAAACGCGAATTCTAAAGTACCCGCGCTCCAATCAGATCACTCCGATAATCATAGGTCGGGCTCAAGGTTGTCGACATAATCATTCAGGCACTTCCGTCTTTACTGGGCAGATGAAATAATATCAGCTTGACTAGGTACCTAGGTAGGTTGCAGAGAGATATATCTTGCCCAAGTCTTGGAGAGGGATACTTGCTCTCTTAGGTTTGAAGCTGATATCATCTTCCAGGTAGTATTTCGTTGTCCTGTCATCTGCCCATTGATTCTCATCATCCACGGTACGGGAAAACTTAGACGCTGGAAGCATAAGAGACGAAATAATAGATGAGCTTTTGAGCAGGTTTAGACTAGACATTGAGCTAATTATTTTCGACACTTTCAGTCCAGAGGAAAGTCTAATAAAGTGCAGAGCTTTTAATGTCGCCCAGAGGCCACTAAAGTTAGTTTTAGCGGGGAACTCTGCTGATAAGACTTTTTTTTTCCTCCTCGAGAAGTCAGTCCCCAGGGTGCAATTGCAGAGGCGGGTGGTGAATGGATTCTTTTTAACAAGCTCCACCGCATCTCAAGCTCTGCTTTCTTCCTTGTTCCTCTTCCTGCTTCTCTTATCCCATCAGCCATAATTTAGTCACTGGAAGCGCTTGCATGCGCCTTCCACAAAGGTATCTTAGGATGGCCACGGGTTCTATCCGGGAAGGCGTCTTTGGTATGTCATTTACTGACCCTGCCTGCTTTGTCTTGATCATTCAGAGAATCCCTGCGTATTAACACGATTGCTTCTATCTAGCCATCAACAAACCTTGCGGTCAGAGTTCAGCACAGATAATTCGCGAGTGCCAACAGGCCTTCAATCCCTCGGAATTCTTCAAGCCATTGATCGAGTCCGAGATCGCAAAGCGCATCAACGAAAACGACAAGCAGTCCGCCCGTCGCAAGGCTCTTAAGAAGGCTTCCCAAGTTAAGATCGGCCATGGAGGAACTCTCGATCCTCTCGCTACTGGTGTTCTTATCCTAGGCATAGGATCCGCTACCAAGGCACTGCCCCAGTTCCTCGAATGCACCAAGACCTACGAGACTACCATTGTGTTCGGCGCCGCTACTGATAGTTATGACCGAGTCGGTCGCGTTCTTACCAAGCGGCCCTATGAGCACATCACCCGCGAAAAGGTCGAGAAGGAGATCGCTTCGTTCCATGGCCGTCAGATCCAGATCCCACCTCTGTTCTCTGCGCTCAAGATGAACGGAAAGCCTCTTTACGAGTATGCGCGCGAAGGCAAGCCCATTCCTCGACAAATCGAAGGCAGAGAAGTTGAGGTTAAGGATATTGAACTGGTGGAGTGGTACGAGCCTGGAAAGCACAACCATCGATGGCCTACAGAAGAGGCCGAAGCTGCGGAGCGGAACCTGGCTGAGCAGGTCTGGAGGGTCAAGAAACAGCAGGAAACCAATAAGCCGTTGAGTCCCGAGGAGAAGCAGCAGGACGACAAAGCGATAGCGGCGCATGAATCGTTCAAGCGCAGTTTTGAAGAGCGACAGGATTCCCTCATTAAAGATGCGCCTTCAAAGAAATCGCGAAAGTCAAAAGAGCCACGCATGATGTCAGGCGCTCTGGGAAATCTACCACAGCCGACCTACTCTAATAAGGGGCAGAACTTGGTTCCCGAAGCACCCGACACGAGCACTCCACCTCCATGGAGCGACCAAGGCCCTCCTGCTGTCAAAGTGCGACTGACAGTGACATCTGGATTTTACGTCAGAAGTTTCTGCCACGATCTAGGCGCCAAACTTGACTCAGCTGGTCTCATGGCAGAGCTCTCGCGAACACGCCAAAGTGATTTCGAGATTGGCGGAGAGAACTGCCTCGAATATGAGGACCTCGCCAAGGGTGAAGATGTTTGGGGCCCCAAGGTCGCTGGAATGCTTGAAAGGTGGAACAACGGCAAGGGAGCCGGCCCTCGTGGTCCCGCTGGCCCTTCAGAGAGGTCCCAGAGGAAGAACGACAACAGGAGCGGTTCTCCTTCACGAAAGCAGGACCAGCACCAAAACCACAACAAGGGCGAGAAGCGCCGACGATCAAGCTCCCCGAATGGGGCAGGATCGCCGCATAGGAAGGCGGTGGCCCTTGAATCCAAGCAAGACTCCAAGCCCGTGAAGGAGCCTAAGGAGGAACCCAAGCCAGACGCCGGTAACCGTTCCGATGATGAGAAGTCATGGAACGGCATCGAAGATTGAGTTGTGGGTACGACTTGATGTGAAAGACAAGACTTGACGAACAGGTATGGAACGAGGAGTATGACCATTCATGTCCACCAGGATAATTGTGATGCGAAGGGTCACTCAGGGTGAGTGCAGTGTATATAGCAAGACCACATGAGAGCTACCAATGTCCATTGATGAGTGGTTAGACTCTAGAGATTTTGGAAGCGGCATGTATTATCCAGGCGTTGTTGGTTTTACGGGCCTAAAAGAACATATATAAGTATTATTGAAGCTGAATGAATATCCCGGACTTGGTTGTGACTATAATGCTGATGGATTTCTCCTAAATATTTAAATATGCGCTGTAAAGTATGTCTATCATGTTGAATATCGCATTTTGCTCAACCATGTATTGTCAAAATTTCACTGGCCACTCGACTCTCCCACCGCACTGCCGAGTTCCTCCCTTGCGCCGTTGATATCCTCCATTCTGATACCGCTGCGATCACACATGCTGCGGAAGATGCCACCCTGTTTCCAAAGCTGCAGTGGAGTATCCAGCTCAGCGATGCGGCCAGCATCCATGACACAGATTCGATCGTAGCCAATGATGGTGCGTAGTCGATGAGCAATACACAGCAGCGTCTTGCCTCGGAAGCCAACCGCCATGGTAGCCTGGATCTTGTCGTCTGTCTCCATGTCGACTGAGGAGGTGGCCTCGTCACAGACGATGATCTGGGCACCTCGGACAAGAGCTCGCGCAAGGGCCATAAGCTGCCGTTGGCCAAGCGAGAAGTTGAGGCCATCTTCTTCGACGGGTGTGTCGAGATGAATCCGAGAAGGGTCGTTTGTACGGCGGGCTTCTTCGGGTGTTTCGGCATCGGCAGGTACAAGATCTGCCTTGCGAAGTGCGTACCATAGTTCAAGATCGGTATGTTCGTTGAAAGGATCGAGGTTGCTACGAACAGTTCCTCGGAAGAGGGTAGGATCTTGCGGGATGATCGCGAGACGGGATCGAAGATCGTGAAGACCAAGGGTGGAGATATCAAGTCCATCAATGGTAATCTTGCCACCAGAGATCTCTACCAGACGGAAGAGAGTGCTCATGATAGAGCTCTTTCCAGCACCAGTACGTCCGACAATACCAATACGCTCGCCGCCCTTGACGTGCATTGTCAACCCTGAGAGAACCAACGGAAGGCCAGCTCGATATCGCATCTCGACATTGTCAAACACAATCTCACCCTTCTCAGGCCATGATTTGCGTACTTCAACTGTATGCGAAGGGGCCTCCTCTTCAAGCTCCGTGCCATAGTAGTAAAGTCTCTCCACAGCGTTCATGGCATTCTCCACTTCAGCGAGCTGGCGAACAGAGAACTGCATCATGCCCACAATTGACAAGATGTAACTCAGAACGAGACCACCAGTAGAAGGATTGATGGAGAAACGCGAAGTGACAACAAGAATGGCTGTGACAAAAACGAGAAGCACACCGATGAGATCAATGCGCATAGACAGCCATCGTTGGTTGGCGAATGTGATATAATATGCACCGTTCATGTTATCGATTGACTCGCGCAACTCGCTAACGAAGCGATCCTGAAGGCCATATGCTCGGATAGATGCTACTCCAGTAAGACCCTCTCCGAACTTAGCGAAGACATGCGATCGAAGAACAGACTCGAAACGCTTGACCTCTCGAGCCGATGAACGATAGTAGATAGCTGCGATGACGAACGCAACGTATAGAGGGACAAGGGCGATGACGAAGTAGTAATAGAACGCAATGATGAGGATGAAAACAGACGTGATCATACCCATAGTAAGCAAGAACATACGAAGCGCATCTGAGAGGTTGTTGTCCATAACATCAACATCTCTCGAGAAGCGGTTCGTGATACGACCTAGAGGAGTTGTGTCGAAGAAAGACATGGGTGCTCGCAAAACGCGAGTCACAGCGATTCGAAGCATGACTTTACTCGACTTTGTACCAAGAATAGACAAGACGACCGAGAAGGCAAACATCAGGATAGCCTGTACGACGCCGAGTGCTGCATAGATGGCGATGTACACACCTGTTGACAGATTGAACTTGTCCGAAGTCCAGTACGACAGCCATAGACTTGTAACGATGTTGGCTCCTTGAGATATGATAAGGAGAAACAATACCAGCGGAGCATTCAATATCGATCCAGATGCCTTGATGTAAGCAGCATAGACAGACCACGAGACGCTGGCGCTAGCCCTCTCTTCTTGAGTCATGAGTGCAGCGCCCTTCCTCTTTTTCTTCTTCTTCTCGTCTGCGGTAGGCTCCTCACCGTCATCAGGCTTCTTGACCTCTTCACGCTTCTCTTCAACGGCAGTCGTCTCCATTAGTGCTTGGAAACCTTTATGGTCCTTCATCAATTTCTCGAAGGTATCGATGGCCTGAATCTTGCCATTCTCCATCCAGATAATGCGGTCACATCGGCTAAGGACCCAGAGCTGATGAGTAGCCAGAACACGGCATTTATCCTTGAGAAGGCCAAGAATGGCGTTATCGAAGATGTGGCGTCCGACGTGAGCGTCGACGGCGCTGAGAGGATCGTCCATGAGAACGATGTCGGCATCGAAGTAAATAGCTCGGGCAATGTTAAGACGCTGCTTCTGACCACCAGAGATGGTAATACCACGTTCACCAATCTCCGTCAAGTCACCGTTAGGGAGCATATCAATATCCGCTTGAAGGGCACAACTAAAAAGAGACGTTAGTGTTCTGAGGAAAACAAGTTCAACTGGTGTAAAACGTACGCTTGAATGACTTTGTTGTACCAAGCCTTATCAAGATCTTTGCCAAACACAATATTGTTCTTCAGTGTGGTGTTTTGAATCCAGGCATATTGAGGACAGAATGCTCTTGACGAGCCGAATGTGACCTGGCCATTTGTCTTTCGCATGTCTCCAGCCAGGGCAGAAAGCAGAGAACTCTTGCCACTACCAACTGATCCAATGACGGCAACAAGTTCGTTTCTTTTAACGTCGAAGTTGAGATCTTGAAGCTTGAAGGGTTCCCGCTCCTCAACAAGAGTGCTCGTATCATCGCCAGAGGACTCATTCTGGGGAGAACGAGCATGGTTGTCCTTGGCCCTTTCCTTCTTGGTTTTCTCGTCCTTGCTGGCTTCTTCTTTATGAGACTTCTCCCAAGTAAATGAGGCATCTTCAAGCCGAATCGCATCATCTCCAGTACTGTCAAAGATCATATCTTCAACTGTCTCTTCCTGAAGCAGAAACTCCTGAATTCGCTGAACGGAGCCCCATGCGTCGATTACTTGACCCAAAACCAATGGTAGCAGGTTCAGGGGTATTCTGAGGCCGTTGAACAAAGCTAGCGAGGAGAAGACTTCGGCAGCTGTAAGTCCACTATGTGTCAGAGAGTAGCAGATGAAGGAAAGCATGGAGGCGAAGATGGGTAGCGACATGCTGACGGCGTTCAAAGCGTTTCGGATGGCAAGCAGGATCTGGATGGCGTGGATCTCCTTGTTTCTGAAGTTTCCGAGACGTTCCAGGAAGGCCTTTTCCCAACCAAAATACTTGACAAAACGAACAGACTGTAAAATTTCTTGGGTGAGAGATACACGTTGATCGGTGATCTGATTGATAGCTCGTCGTCGATGAAACAGACTTCGGATCGCTTTTGTCAAGAAGGGCATGCCAATAACAAGAAGACCGTAACCAGCCAAGGCACTGTAGGTAATGTTTACCAGGAGAAGGGCCAGTGTAAGAAGACACAGGATTGGCGACGTCCATACCATGTGAAACAGAGCAGAGGCTTGGTCAACACGGTATGTGTCAACACTCTGCAGGGCGGTGATTCGACCGTTGCCCCAACCAGTACCATCTGAAGCGTCCGGCTTGGCCTTCTTTGCTTTCTTTGCCTTCTTTGCTTTCTTTGCCTTCTTCTCGTTTTGAGCATCGTCATTTGCGCCAGGGGCATTACTTTGCAGAGCACCCTCAGCTTTAGCACGACCAGAGATGACCAGCGACTTTTCGTAGATAAGACCAATCAGAACTCCTCTGCTCTGACCACCCACTGTCATACCTCGGTAGATGTAATGGTTGGTTCCCAGACTCTGGGTGATTTGCATCAAGGTAATACCAACGGCCAGGCCAACACCTTTACCGATATGAGGTGGTGGCCCCCCAGTCTGGTTAGCAACGTAAGCATCGGCGGCGAACTGAATTAGATATCGGAGCGTGAAAGGACTGATGACTTGAATTATACTGGTGTAGAGTGCACATGCGCCGCCAGTCCAAAATTCGACCTTGAAGGTTTCGTGCATAGCCCAGAATAAAGGGTGCTTTTCGCCGTTTTCGACCCGTCTCTGGAATGACTCTTTCATTTTCAGAGTCAGAGGCTCGACAGATCTATCCGGATTGACTGTCCATATATCATTCGCTTCCAGCGGCCTTCGGTAACCAGCCTAAGGACATCTCGTCAGCATAAAGTGTTGTAAGACGGGCCGCGCCGCAGCCAGATAATGGTGGCTTGCAGATCCAACAAGATCGTCATCTAAGTTGAAACATGGATACAGTAAACTTACATGCATTAAAGGACCCATCCATTGGAACGTCAACTTGCTAAGGAAACCTGCATCATGTTCCCGGCTCTTAAGTGGCTTTTCAGGAATCGGAGGTGGTGCACCCCATCGAAGAGGGTTCAGTTTCTTGTGCCATGGTTTCTTCTGGGGAGGATCTGGGCCCGGTGCCGACGGTGAAATTGTTGGCGCTTCAGATGCGCCAGTCTTGACTTCTTCAAGATCTGCAAGTCGGGATTCGTCTTTCTCATTGAACTCGCTGGACTGTCGCTTTTCTTGGTTCCCTTTCTCGCCAAACTCCTTTATTTGGTCTTCATCTGAGTCACCAGATCGTTCGAAATTGGTTGGAGGAAGGTGAGCTACTTGAGCATCAGAAGGCTGAAGTTCCTTATCCACTGGGTCTGGCATATTGGCGTTGTGTCAACCTCTTATAACCTCGAGGTTTAACAACAAATCAAGCCCTGAGGCCGACAACTTTAGATACAAATTCGAATGATGTCTCGTCTCAGTTCACAAGTGATACCAAGTGTTACGGAATAGTCACGATACCAATGGCACCAAAGACGGGATTGGGCCGGAAACGAGAGACCTTCGTCTAAACGGTGTGATACAGCCTCGAAAAGGTCTGCCAAGAGTAAGAAGAATAGACGAAAGGGTCCGTCCCACTATAAGACAGTGATGTGATGTAAGGAGGGACCAGAAAAAGATTTAGAGAGACAAGTGAATGGGAAATTAAAGAAAAGAAAAAGAAACCGAGGGACCAGGGAAGGAAGTACGGCAATAGATCCAAGTCAATATGATAGTCGTAAAAGAATCCGTCCAATAAGGATGGATGGGGGTGGTTGCATTAGCAGAAGCGGACTGATCTATCCGTCGTAGTGTATCGTCGATTGTTGGTGAAGGCAAACAAAGGATCCAATGGATTACAAAGCACCGCAAAGCAAAGCAATGTAAAGATCCAGGACTTTATTACTCCGACATGCGATAGACTCGGACTACGGCAATGAGATGCCTGCCACGCGGTGTCAGCACCAGGGGGTCGTCGGAACTTTTTTTCCTCTTTTCGTTACGGGAGACTGAAAGAGGGTCGGGATTCGTTTCGATGTCAATGACGGTTATGACAGGCTCATGATGAGAACGACAGTAACGACGAGTAATTGAGCAAAATTGTCAGTCTTATTTTGACTGAACAGAATTGAGAGAGAGATCAGAAGAATTGAAACAGAAATCTGAACCGAAAAGTGGCTCGGTTCGTTAATAATAACATCATGGATACTGTCGTGTGCTGTACTGTTCGGCTCGGCCTGTCGCGCTGAATTGAATCCCTTTCCGCCATGAACGAACTGAACAATAATGTCCGCGTATTAGATAAGCTCTGACCAGCAGAGTTTCCCCCTTAGGACCTGTTTAGCGAAAACGAAGACTCTCTCATTAGCCAGTTTCTGTCAAGTGTGTGTGTGGGTGTGGAGATCCCGTTGGCAACACCCTTGCCCATGGTTCCCTTCAACTCCAGGCACAGAAACATCTGCGTAATAGACCTTGTCATCATGCCTGATGGTAGTCATGGTCTTTGGTGTTGGTGTCGGTGAATGTCACAGCAGATTCCTGATGTATCACGAAGGCAATGAGCGTTGTTGTCTGGCCGTCAAAAGTATGTGAGATTATAACCTCGTGTAGATTGAGGAGGTCATCAGTGGTGTTCGTATACAATAGTATCGAATGACCATCAGCCAAAACATTCGACTCTTCTCTTTGAAACTGACAACAGCTTGACAGTAAACGTCAACAACAGCATCGAAACTGTGGCTGGATTCTAGGCCCAGCTATAATGTGACAGACGTTTTGCACGTTTCGCTTGCCATCTCTGGCTTAAGCTTTCCAGATGGTGAGTCAACATAACCTTTTCGTCATGCATGATAATACAGTAGAGGTGGTCTCCGAGTCTTGTGACCTTTAATTGGAGGTTAACCGTTGAAGTTTCTCTATCCATGACGAAGACAAGATTCCGATTTGATCTGATCGTCTTTCCCCGCTCTCGCATCTGCCAGTAGCTTGAACTACTGCAAGCTGTTGCATCGTGTAGTGTAAGCGAGGAAGGATAATAACACAAAAGATCCAATAGAATCACTCAAGAATCACTTTCCTGGGTTTTGAAAGCTCGGTTCCGATCCGGCCGCAGTCTAGATGGATACTGTAGTGTAGAACCGGAGTTAGCGGCAGGGACTTAAGACTGGATTTCATGCTGACATAATACGAATCGATCCCATGTCGGCCCCACACTCCAAGTCCGCTCCGACGGGATGTGGAAAGAAATTCAAGCAAAAGAATCCAGAGCCAGAGAGCTAGAACAGACTGAACTGCAAGGCTGAGAGCTTCGTCATCCAACACATTCGATATCGGTTTTCGTAAGCAGCCAAGCTGACGACTGGCTTGTAGCGCTTGGATAAGCATTTTATTTTCACCCGCGCGGTGTCCGAAAAGAGTTCAATTCGTTGTACGCTCATCTACACCTAATTCCGAGTGCCATGGCCATCGACGACGTCCCCTCCATTGCTTTGCCCGGCAAGGTCCTGGGCCCAGTATCCAAGTTCGCGCCCGGCGCCGGTACACACGTTTACGAAGGAAATGTCGTCTCCTCTCTACTAGGCCAAGTCACGGTGACACCTCCAGCAAAGGGCCCAGGACCTCAGAAGCGCCTAAACAAGATCACCGCCCCGACGACAGAAGAGCTTGCCACCGTCTCCGTGTCCCGCCATGGACGCAAGCGCGAAATCCTGCCCGATGTCAATAACATTGTCCTTGCGCGAGTGCTTCGTCTTATGCCTAAGCAGGCGATTGTGGTAATTCAACAAGTGGGCAACACAGTCCTGCAAACTGAGTGGCAGGGTGTGATTCGAGTGCAGGATGTGAGGGCAACAGAAAAAGACAAGGTCAAGATTTACGAGTCGTTTAAGCCTGGTGATATTGTACGAGCGCAAGTGGTAAGTTTTATTCACTCTGTCATGCCACACTGACACTGACGATATATGCCAGATCTCTCTTGGTGATCAGGCCAATTATTATCTATCGACTGCATCTAACGAATTGGGAGTTATCCTGGCCACAAGCGAAGCTGGCAATGACATGGTTCCTGTCAGCTGGAAAGAATATAAAGACCCCGAGACAGGCATCAGTGAGCCTCGAAAGGTCGCAAAGCCTAGCTGAGCTTCCCGCTTTGTTAAAACGCCGCCTTTGCCTGACGCTCTGGAATGCAACAAGGGCACGCGACCTCGTCTGTTTCATAATCTCGATGGGCAAACTCGCCCAATACGAAGCAATAATAGCCCACATATGTTTCTGTGAGAAACAAGACGCCATGGTATTGTCACAGCCACAAAGTTCCAATCGTGTTCGTTGGTCGTCTCGTGGCGTGACGCTTCCACCAGGAACGCTCGAAAAATGCCATGATCCGCCTGGTCGGGCTCATCGCTCAAGTCCGATACACTCAATTGGGTATAGAATAGTCTTTTGGGAAATCCACAATGACGAGAATTGAGCTCAAAGGACTGCATGGATTGGAGCCAGGCTGCGCTAGAATCTACTTAGAAGTCTCAAGTAAACTTAATGATATCAAAAAATTTGAAAGAGCATTTCATCATATTGTACTCTTATATCGATCGCGATCGCTACTCAGGTATATCGATTGTATCCATCGGTTCCAGCAGGGAGTTGTTACAAGATATGGCCATGGAGTAATTGGTGTTTCTCGTTAACCCTTTGACTCCTTGAATCTAAGCTTCACTACTGAAACTTGAGCAAAAAAGAACAATAACAATAACCAACCCCCCTGTTCTCTCTAGACTATACGTGATACACCAAAAACGAATAGAATCAATGCATCTGATCAGAAGAATTACGTAGGTCAAGCAAGAAACGCCATTGGTTTCCAACTCTAAAGTACCCTGCCACATAATGGACCCTGATCAACAAGGAACGCGCCACTGAGAAGGCCTGCTCAGCCGCCGAAGCGCCTCCCCGCCATCGCAAGTGCAGGCGTCAAAGCCACTGCCCGCATTCGGTCCAGCGACAAAAATAGGGACACTTGGACCGACCACCCCTGTTATTATCCATGGATTAGAAGCCTTTTTTCTTTGAAACAGCTCGATTTGATTCATGTTCATCCCTTGATCGTCGAATTTTGCTGCTTTGCCATATATTTCTATAAGCATCTTCCGTTTGTCTATATTCCTACTCTGTTCAATAGACAGCTATACACGTCTTGTTATTCGATCACACTACTGTCGTCTTTAGTCATCTTCAGGCGCTTACATCCGTCGCCTTCATCCTCTATGCGCCGGCCATGTCAACGACAATGGTCATGACAATGGCAGCGCCTACTCTCTCCGCCGATTCCACGCCATGCTGCCCAGGCTGCGGCTACTCTTTACCTCTCGATCACAGCCAGGTTCAACTACTTGAGGCGCAAGCCCGTATCGAAGACCTCGAGAATCAGGTCCGTCTACTCAATGAAAAGGCTACAGCCGCTGTCGATCGATGGGCCGACTACGAAGACGAACTCTCCAACCTACGAGCCCAGCTCCCTTCCTCGGCCGCAGCGCAAAAGCAGACTCCCGCTACTCCTACAAATGCTCGCATGTCATTTCTCCAGAGCGGCACCAGTCGACTCTCGTCATTCCTCTCTCCTCGCAAATTTCACGACCTTCCCCAAATCGACACCAATCCCTCCCGACCTCCCAATGTACGCTCCATAAGCAGCCAGTCGCACCGCCAGCAGCAACAATCACAAGCCCAAGCACCGCCATCGCCTTCAGCTGAAGATCTTCTCGAAGCACTAAACCGGGAACAGTCCCTTCGAAAGGAAGCTGAAGGCAAAGTTGCTGCCACGAGCCAGGAAGTTGAAGAGCTCAGTGCTGCTCTTTTTGAGGAGGCGAACAAAATGGTCGCTGAAGAAAGACGGGCACGTGCTAAGTTGGAGCAGCGGGTAGATGAGCTCGAGCGAAGAGACATGGAGAAGCGAAGAAGACTGGAGAAGCTAGAAGGAGCCATGTCTCGGATCGAGCGGGTGAGACTGATGTTGGCTGAAGCAGAAGAAGACGTCGAGTCAAGCAAGAAAACGGTTCAAGAGATTGTGGAGCTCGAAAGGCAACAGGAAGAGGAAGAGCGGAAGGAGAGAGAGCAGTCAAAAGCGAAAGCAACAGAGCACAACGACCGCGATTCAGTCTACAGTATATCAACCGACGAGGGCTCAGAAAGACGGTCTATCGACAAGCACAACGCGCATGATGAATCAGATGGCGACAAACCAAAGAAATAAAGAGGGTTCGCATTGCTAGATTCATCCTTTGTTCTCCTTTCTCTTCATGACATCACACGGGCAAAGCATAGCAGAGAGATATGCAGTCTCTGTAATGCGCAATGAAGAACGATGCATAATTTTGGGGGATCGTTACAAGCTACAGGACATAGAGGTAGCCATGTTGGATATTACCTGGGCATAAACATTGGGCAATGGCGTTGTTGGTGCAAGGAGGGAATAAAAAGGGGCTTTCATTCGCCTATGAACCATGGAAGGGCAACTATTAATATTTGACACAAGACGTCTATCGAAATATCACACCGATAGGCACTGAAATATATGCAATCATTCATCATCGGTTGGTTGGCAGGTGAGTGTGAGAAGAAATGTCTTCCAAGACTTAGGCTACAGAAATAAAGTAGCCTAAATGCTAGCCTAAGGTGGCATAAGGTGATCAAATTATTTCGTCTCTTGTGCTGTCGGGGGCCAATTCTTATGACACCCTGAGGGTTGGGTAGATGTAAAGGGGTTTCTAATCTCGTCAGTTTCCAAGACATTGTCTACCGCCACTTAGTCTAACCCTGCTCTATTTTGACTCATTTCATGTGACGCATGTACAGACACAGCCGTTACGTCTTGTATCGTGTTACATTTCCAGCGTTGTACATGTTATTCTTAACTACACCAAGTATTCCGAGTCGTAACTTGAGAATCGCAGGTGGCTCATCTCGCAATCACACGATCCATTCAGACTTCAGGAGATCAAGGTTGGCAATGAGTTTGTCGTGTTGAGGAACTATGTACAGATAAAGCCAGAAAAACTCTGGAGTATTAACCAAATCCTTTGAACTCCATCTGGCTATCCCAAGTATGATTGATCTGATATTTGAATGTACAAACGAATGTCGCCGAGGCATAGAGCATCGGCCATGCTTTCAACTGTCTGTCCAAGTTATGCATGATAAGCCAAACGTCTCGTGAGAACTGCATAAAGCAAAATATTACATGAATCCTCTTATGAAATAGTATCAGATTATCCAGAAGCCGCATCCCAATGATAAAGATTTCTCTCCAGACGCCGCTGTGAAATAGAAGGTGACTTTCCGCTGAGGGGAACAAGCCACTATTGTGGCGGTCATATGTTTCTTACATTAATAAAATAAATCGTTCGAAGTGGATCTAAACCCGGTTGTGGGCACCGGGAGAGCCACTGCCATATGATGAGCGCCTCGCAGCAGCGCCAGGCATGTGAGGAGGCGGCAAGCTTGAAGGATCGTCGGCGAGAAGGTCTTCAAGGAACGCACTAGGAGCACGTTGACTTGGTGGTCGGTTTAGATTGAGAGTTGAGTTGCTAATATCTCTGCGAGCTTGGAAGGATGGTGACTCGGGAGGACTAGGACGTGTAGGGGTACCAAAGTAGCCATGAGAGTCAGGACGCAGGTTAGTCATGCTGATACTGTGATCACCCTGGCCGCCAGGAGAGCTTGTGCCTGCAGCGTAGAAGCCAGAAGGTAGGAATGCAGAGCCACGATTGCCCTGCCCATTGTTTGAGGCAGCAGCTGTTGGCGAGAAGAACAAGTTGGAAGCACTGGGGGTTGATGAAAGAACGGGTCCTCTGGTGGTTCGTCGTACACCACGTCCAGCCGAGAGTGACATAGTGGAACCGGTATCGGTGTACTTATAGAAAGGCGCAGGAGGTGCAGGAAAGCCGGTCTTTGCATTCTCATCATGCTGGGCCTTAGCAGCTCGCTCGACTGATCGATGAAGAAGAATGCCAACAATGAGACGCCAAAGAAGGATGCCAAGGCCAAGTGCGCCGAGAATGGCACCTACAGCAATAAATACGGTTCCTTCAGGGGCACTAGAGTGTCGCATAAAAGGTGCATTGTTTGTAGGCGGAACAGAAGGAGCTGGATAAGTAGGAATTGGCTTGTACCTCGTCAATGTAGGCATGTCAGTCGCCGCAATGGCCGTGATTGAGGTCTGAATGTTTTGGGTCTTTGTCGGGCCCTCCCCTGTCACAGTTGAGGCATTCTCTTCCTCCTCGGTAGCAGTAGGTTTATCGTCTTTATCTTCCGTCTTGGAAGGCGCTTCATCTTTGGTCTCTTGGGTTGATGCAGGCTTTGCGCTTTCTTTGGTTTCACTGGCAGGCTCAGGCTTCTTCTCGTCACTGGCCTCTTTAGCAGTCTCGGCAGCATCAGTGGGCTTGTCGGCATCACTGTTCTTCGCGTCGGTGGGTGCAGGAGCCGGCACAGCAGAAGGGTCGTTATCCTTAGCATCGTCTTTATTGTCGTCTTGAGCCATCGCAACAGCACTGTAGAGAGAGATGGAGGCGAAGGCTGAGACCAAAAGGTCTGCCCTCGGTAGGTAGTTGGCAGGCCGCATGTTGAGTTAAGAGTATATCGATCTCTCAAGCACTTGCTCGAAAGAAGTTGTAAATATCGAAATACTTCGGGAATTATCAAGGCCGGTAACAACAAGCAGTATCTCCTGACTGGCAATCAAGGGCGACCGGAGTAGGTTACGTATATCGAAGGCGCTTCGGAATGCCAAAGGGAGATTGAGTAGCGATTTAGCCCAGGCGCACCCCTGCAGTAGGATAGACAGTGCCCGGAAAGACTAGAGTGTTTTCCTCCCAATATTTGAGAGAGGGGACGTCGAATGTGTTTCGATAGTTGCGTATTTTGTCGAAAGGAAGTTTCGCGTCTATCGCCTATCAAGGGGCGCGGAGAGTGAAAACTGGAAGCGAGGGACTGTTAAATTAAGCCGCCGATGGTGTTGTTTCCCTGTGCCGGTTGTTGCGAGGAAGAATACAGATACGGATACAGAAATGAAGAAAAGGAAAGAATGTAATAACGGTATGGGCTAACGAGTGAGTGTGCGTAACCAAGCGAGTGGATGAGACGCACTACCATAAACCGCGTTAGCAATTAAATCGTAGAGTTTGATAGAGACAAGATCGGGCTGAAGCGACAGGATGGAGAGGAACTGAGAGAAGACGGGGTCGCACGACCGAAGGGCAGGGACTGGGGTGAAATGCACCTTCCTAATGCCTGCCTGTCAGTGCGTGGGCCAGGCGTTTGTCTAGGACCAAGACCAAGAGAAAAAGGGGAATAGTGTACCTGATGGACCAGTGAGAGATGTGACGGTTAAGATGGAATAGGTCTAGACTCTCTTGTGTTAAGAGGATCCCATTCGCTCGTATTCGATAGTGCCTGAACTGCAAAGCTCAGGAGACTGATGTCTCTTTTATTAGGAGAGGGTTACTGCGGCGCGGGTTTTAAATTGACATGTCTTCAGCGCCTATTTGCATCTTCTATGGTGCAACTTATCACGACCGACCGCCACGTTTGTTTGGTGGTCAGCTTATTGATCCAACTGGCTGTTCATCTTGAACGACATTGAAGGGTGCTTTAGTTGTGCTCCTTCTGCTGATCCAGTGGTTGGTTGCTGTGGAATAGCGACGATCACCCACACAAGAAGGCCAGGCAGTTCCAAGTCAATATGATAGGCAATCAATTGACCTTGTTGCTTGGCTGGCTGGTTGTTTTCTTGTCAAATTGTCAACAGTTCTCCCGACTTGTCAGTCGTCAACCACGTCTGCGTCTGTATAACTACTTGTCAGTCGGTTCACAGCATTTCCTCGTGCTTGATGTGGCTTCTGTGACTATCCTTCTTGACGCGTTATCCTGCAGAAAAATGCGGGCTCGGGCCGGTAGACGGCGTTTCCAACGACTTTACATATGCACGGTAAAATCAACTCAATGATCATCCATCAAGATTCACAAATTAGAGTTTGAATGGCATCGATAATCAACAACGCCACAGGGCAATGTTTTGGTTCCTTACAGCTGCCCTGAATATCCAAAAAGTCAATATGCTTTAACAGGACCCTGTGTGCATGATAACCTTAATCCGGAGTCATGGTGATACTTTGTTACTTCTCCACGCACCAAGTTTGTTATTCTCAGGGTCCCTGTATGAGAGCGGAGGAAACCTAGCACCGACCAGCGGGGTAAGCGACGTGACATTGGAGCGTTTGTCCTTGACGGGGATCTTTTATGTCTCCGCAGGTGGATTCTTGTGTTTTGCAGTTCATCACACCAGCCACGCGAGAAAGTTCTCCACTGCCCGTCGGGCAATCGCCATCCAAAAGATACGTATATATCACGTGACTCGATATCGGCGCCACAGCAAGGCCGGTCCCGTCGAACGCGCGAGCCTCGTCATTGTCAGCGTCCGTTCCAAGCATCGCCTGCTTCAAAGTTCATCAATTAACGACAACCAATCTAACAACACCAACTTCCTACGAACCCCGTAACCCGACTTTCATCAATCGCTGTTCAATTATCAACATGGAAGAAGAGCGACTCTGGAAATTTCGACGGCCTGAGTGGCTTAACACCGTCTGGGCCCGCAACGCTGGAGTTTACGGCGCAGGAGCTATTGTATGTTCCGTCCCTTCGAAATGTCGCTGTCTAGTTTTCCGGCATGGTTTCTACTTCATGCCATCACTACACGGCTATGCGTGACTCCATGCGACAGCTTTGATGATACTTGACCCATACTAACTAGGTCTGCGTTAGTTCTCCATCGCCTTCTACATTATGCTCGATTCCGCCGTTTGGTCCAAATCTCCGCACAACGGCTCCGATATCCATGTCAAGTTTGTTGACTGGCTACCTTTCATCTTCTCCAGCTTGGGCATGCTGATTATCAACTCGGTCGAGAAACAACGCTTGAGCGCCGATTCCTTCAGTTATAGTGGAAACGGGGTAGCTTGGAAGGCTCGCGTCGTCTTGTTCCTTGGATTCGCTGCTCTTGCTGGTGGAATGGCTGGCGGTGTAACCGTCTTTGTTCTCAAGTTTGTTGTCCCCAGTGTTTCCATGCCTGCTCTGGGTATGGGCATTGAGAACGTGGTCAGCAACGCTCTGGTGGGCGTGAGGTAGGATTCCCGTTTACTATTAATGCAATACCCGTCCTTACTAACTCTTCTTAGCTCCGTCGTCCTTTGGGTCAGCCAGAACATGGAAGACGAGTACTCCTACAACCTTTCCCTGTAGACAACATAAATCAACGCGAGCCGAGCATGAAGATCAAGGGGACATTGGGGCGCATTGACGGTTCGAGCTCATTTCTTACAGACAGATGTTGGGTGTACGATTAATATCAGGAGTCAAAGCATATTGATGGGAGAATGAGTTGCAACGTTGATGTTCCACGTGGCAGCGATTGATAACCAGAATTGAATGAAGGAATGCCTGAACAAGCCGACTTTCTGGGACTTGTTGAGTATCTTTTCTTTGAATCTGAATCTGGGAATGGTTTAGAATTAGCGTTAAAGACGGAGTACGTAGGCTTTTATATTGAGATGCAATCATGTTTATAATCTGCCTAGCCGGAGTCAACGTAAGCCGCTTCAAATGAGAATGCCAAGCTCGTTTATTGGGTAGAAACCATAAGAGCACGAATACCTTGTTCTTGAATGCTCAGACTGTGCTCCATAATTGTCACTTTCCATCGCTAAGAAGAGAGGTGCAACTGGTATATGTAAGTTGGTGGCTAAGATCACTACTAAAACGAGAGCACCCCAGCGCATCCCCACAAAACAAAGTCAACAATAGGTGACTTGGTTACGCATCTGACTTGGCATAGAACATCTTGAGTAAACATCAATTTTCTGGATAGAAAATACTGATTTTACACCGCAAGTTTCCAGTCATACTGCATATAATGGCTGATCGCTCACGGGCAACTACAAACGGGAACGGTGTTTCGCACACCCGCAACGGTGCTTCTTCTGCTGGCGTCCGTCGCAATCTGTTCCAGAGCCAGTTGACCCGGCGACCTACAGCCGGTTCTACATCTACGTCTGCCGAGACACTGCATTTGGATGTAGATGTCTTGTCTGATACCTCTGAGATCGTGGTTCGCGATAAGCATGGCGAGATCGAGCTTGGAGATCCGCCGACACCAATAATGGAGGATGAGGATGAGTTGCCTTTAGATCATAGGCAAGAGTGCGAGAGTAAGAGATGACCGCTTTTGTCTCAGATATAGGATGGAGAAAGCTTATACGTCTAATAGAAGAGAGACAAAGGCTCGCAGAAGTCGTTAAGCATCATCAGTTGAATCGGCATGGAGCCAACGAACAGCCCGAAGGTGCGTCTCTCATCCATCTTACACACATCACACTGACACGGTTCAGAACTGCTTGAAGCTGTTAGGGCGAGTCTACGAGCCAAAGTAGCAGCCCTCAGTGAAGACAATTGGATGTTTGAGCCTGAAGAACAACACCGCGGTTAACCCAGTCTTTTATTTTACCTTACAACGCCTGCTGTCTATGTATTCTTCTCAAGACAATACGGTATACCTAACACCCAAGCTTACCGACGGACTTTCTTCTAATCCAGACCCTCTGCTGCAGGAGCGTCCTGCCGTTGTGTAACCTGCTTGCGCTTGGGCTTTTCGGGCTGGCCATCACCGCCTCCGAAGAATCCGCTCATCATGTCCATCAGAGGATTGCTCTGCCGAGGCTTGGAAAGACCAAAGTACATCTCTCCAACCATCTCGAGGGCCTCGCCCCATGTTCCGACCTCGTTGATTTGTGTCGCATACTTGGACACCAGGGCGCGATAGAGTTCGGGTGCGCCACGCTGGATGGCAAGGAGGAGGAAGCCAATGAAGTTGAGGAGAGGGAGGCTTGGGAAGATGCGGATATCACCAGCTGGGCTAGATACATCTTGGACGCCAAGGTTCGGGTTGTCACTGGAAAGAGAGCTGGTGAAGAGGCGGTAGCAGGTGTTGGCGGCTCGCACGTTGCCGACTAGGAGGTAAGGGAGCACAGCACGGCCAGCAAAGAGAGCTGCTTGATGAGGTTCGCCCTCCTTGTACCAAGAGTATTCCATCTTTGTCAAAACCTCAGGAGAGTCTTTGGTTCCCAATAATAGGTGTTTCTCGGCCTCGTACGTATCGTGTTCTTCGGCATAGAGTGATCCGGCGACGTGGTGAAGCTCTGGGTCTCCGGCAGGGTATTCGCCAAACTTGGCTGACCAGCTGGTTCTGATGTTAGAAATTTCCGTGCAGAGCATTCTCTATGTGACAAGATCCTACTTACGCAACAATCTCTCCAACAAACTTCTTCCTTGTGGGCTCGCCGGCTGGGAATAATCGCAGACAAGCCAGTAGTCGGCCTTTCGAATCAGCGTCAGGCTTGAGCTCTGCCTGCTTGTAGACGTCTACCAGCATGGCACAGAGATCACCTCCACTACCACCCTGTCCAGCACGCAGCAGTGCTTGGGAGACATTGGAAAGAATATCGATGGCGGCAGGCCAGTTGGAAGTCTTGATGTAGCGGGATGCGGCGACACGGGTCTGTTGCTGAGCCTCGTAGTAATCGCCCTCTTCGATTTTAGCCTGTAGCCGAGCTACTATGCGGTCGACCTTGCTGGCCATTGTGAATGTATTCGATAAGGGTGCGGAATTCGGGTAGGGAATGGCGATGCGATGTGAGAGAGTGACGTAGAATATCTTAGACAAGAGGCAAGTTGTCGCAGCTCTCAGGTGGGTGAAGTGTTGGAGGGGTCGGGTTGACCAGAACTACGTACCCAAGCTTACCTTGGAGCTCCGCTGTGAGTTCCACTTTTGGGACTCTAGAAACTCTTGAGACAAAATTCTGTTGCAGGCACTTTCTTCTTGTCAAACCTCACTTCATCATACATGTACGTCTAATCCAGAGTATGAATGACCAACAGCATGCTGATACGAGACAGTTGTTCACGCATTCCATGCTCTTTAGGTATATCATCGATGACTGATACCAAGACCCAATCGTGTCGTATCATCACATTTTGCCCCCTCACTCGATTCGAAACTACTGCTCCTTGTACCAGAACCTTGACTGGATCGTTGTCCTCTAATCCCAGATGAGAATAATATCAACTTCCTCATACAAGGCAAGTATCAATTGAGCTCCTATATAGGTAGTGTAAGTCAAGGTAAAGACATGTTAGATGCCAGCAGGTAAGCAGACAAAGTTTAGAACCAATGCAGTAAGGTTCGCCCATGTGCCCCACACGATAATCCTTGAAGCAGGTCATGCAAGCGGACCCTATCAACTTGGACGAGTATAAGAAGCTCAGCATCCCATCATTTGAACCTCTTTAGACACGTCCCGTTACACCAGAGGAAACCTCGCCGTCGCTATCTTACTTGGGTGTCCAACTCGATCATCTTGGCAAACAGGCAGCAGCAGCAGCGCGATTAGTTTAGTGGTAAAACTCTCCTCCCCCAATTGGTGGGATAAATAGATGAAAAGGAGTGTCCCGGGTTCGATTCCCGGATCGCGCAGTATCTTTTTGCATTTTGGAGCTTTTAAATGCATTATATGATTGATTGTGAAAGATCATATAGTAGTAGGCTTTGGTTCTATGACGTGCTGTTCAGATGTTCAGGTAGCGTGCTGGCTAAGTTTGCTAAGTACGAGAGCTGCTTATCTCTACATCCATAGCATGACGACCGACCTGATGGGAATCATACCTAGGTATGTAGATCACGGGATTAAGGAAAGCAATTGGACTTGTTAACATGATACTCATGTCTTTACTCGTACATCTCTTTGTCTTATTGGGTACTATGTAATACCAGCAATTGAATTCACCGTTCCGAACCGATAGAAGACCGACTGGACGGCCCCGCCACGAGTATCCGCGATCCGGCCCCAGTTCCCGCACGTTGTTGATGTTACCATAGTACGGTTGCCATAAATAAAAGCCGAAGCCGGCCGTATCGAGTACCGTAGCTTTTAACTCCATTATTATAAAGAGCACAGTCCCCTATCTCTCGTTCCTATATTATTTTCTGCCCTAGGAATATCAATTGCAAATCATCCTTAATAGAACATACAATATGGCTTCGACTACTCTCCAGCGCAAGTTGCTATTCTCACTATTTGTCATCAAACCATCATGCTAACAAGCATCAATAGGCCTTGTGCGATTTGTCCCTAGATCTAGCCCTTCAAAGATCCTCATCGGCCAACCAGCTGACAAGAACATTGATGTCGGTGCTGCCCTGCGCAAGGGTCAAGAGGTTGCTGTCAATGTCTGGTCAGGCTCATCAGTTCTGTCCCCAGGATCATCGACTGGTGCTACTGAGACTATTGATCGCGTCTTGTCTCCTCTTGCGCAGAACGAGATTGGTACTGTGAGATGTGTTGGTTTGAACGTATGTGCAATGCAACTCTTGAGGTACTGGCCCGGGCTAACTCTCTACCATAGTACAGAAAGCACGCTGCTGAGTGCGGACTTGAGCCCCCACCAATTCCTGTTATCTTCATGTAAAGTCGCTCTCAGTGCTCTCTCAGAATTCGTACTGACACCAAGATAGGAAGCCCAGCACATCTCTTGTGGACCCCTGGCCTGCTAAGGGAATTGTCCCCAAGCTGAGCCAGGTTGACGAGTCTGGCGACTACGAGGCCGAGCTGGCAGTTGTCATTGGCAAGACCGCCAAGAATGTTACTGAAGCTGAGGCTCTGGACTATGTCCTCGGATACACTGGCGCCAATGATGTTTCTAGTCGCACTCAGCAATTGAACCAGTCTCAGTGGTCCTTCTCTAAGAGCTTTGACGGAGCTCTGCCCCTTGGTAAGTTTATTTTAACTGCGAAACGAGCCCTGGCTAACAAAAGCGCAGGCCCTACACTTGTCTTGAAGTCTTTGATTCCGGATCCCGCCAAACTTCATATGCGAGGTCTTAAGAACGGCGAGGTGTATCAGGAGAGCGGAACTGAGTAAGTAACCTCCATGCTAGTAAAAGGACTTATATGCTAACCAGTCTTTAGTGATCTTATCTTTTCTATCCCCAAGATCATCAGCTGGTTGTCTCAGGGCACCACTCTTCCTCCTGGAACTGTCATCGTGACCGGCACGCCCGCTGGTGTTGGAATGGGCAGAACACCCAAGGACGCTCTGCGACATGGTGACGAATTTGCAGTTGAGATTCTGCCTCACATCGGAACACTGACCAACATTTTCGAAAACGAGAAGAGTGGCTTTTTGACCAAGCTGTAAACGTTTGCAGCTATATAACCATGTCATCTGTGAAATCTTCAACACAGAAACCACTTCTATATTTTCGTTAGAATATCGTAATAGTAAGAAAACTGACGTCTTGCTTTGAATATACTATTGATGCCTCAATACTGGTCTTTCTGCGCCGCATAGCCCCCTCTTTCACAAAGTCAAGATGTGTCTGAGTGAGCACTAACCACGTCGAGCCGTCATGTCTCTCTTGTAAGCCCTTTACGAAGGTTCCGGCTCCCTCATAATTCGAATCTCCTGTCCCAATCAGTTTTAGGGTTGCACGAATGACCACTTCATTGACCACTTACATAAATAAGACTGTCTGTCGAGATATAATCACGACGTTCCTGTCTTCACCTGTCAGCATTCCATCTCTTGACTTTAAATAGTGACAAAGGTTCGTGACAACACATCATAACCAAAACTATCGCAACGATGTCAAACGAATCTACTATTCCTGAGAAGATGAGAGCGCTGAGATTATTCGAGGTAAGAACCATTTGGGGTAAGGAGTGAGGTTTGCCATCTCATAACGATTACGCAGTACAACAAGAGCTATGAACTTTGCGATGATGTCCCTGTGCCGACACCAAAGCCAGACGAGGTTCTCGTCCGTGTGGCTACTGCTGGTTTCTGCCACAGCGATATTATGGTACATCATGGCTTAACACAGGTACCATTACCGTTCATCGGTTCTCATGAGCCAGCCGGTACCATAGTCAGCCTTGGATCTGAAGTATCAGAATCATGGCAAGTGGGAGACCGTGTAGGAGTCACAAACTTCATGGATCCTTGCAACAGTTGTGGAGGCTGCAAATGGGCAAACCAGACTATCGGATCTCTTGATCCAAGGTTCTGCGATAACAGGACAATGTGTGGTATCCTTCGTCGCGATGGGGCGTTCGCTGAGTATATGACTGCTTGGCACGGCGCACTTGTTCATTTGCCTGATGATATGAGTTTCGAACAAGCAGCACCTTTGATGTGTGCTGGAGTAAGTCCTTGAACTTTGAACAAGGTATTGCACCATACTAACAAGAGAAGGCAACTGTATGGCATGCTATCAACCAAGCAGATGTACAGACGGGACAGACCATAGCCATCGTTGGAATAGGTGGTCTTGGAGTGTTGGGTATTCAATTTGCAAAAGCTCGAGGTCTTCGAGTTGTGGCTATCGACAACCATGAAACTGGACTGAAGCTCGCATCAGAGGTGCCCTCCCATCTCAAACCGGACCTCATCCTCAAATACGACGACCCAGAAGCGATCCAAAAGATATCGGATTTCACAGATGAGATCGGCCTCAAAGCTGCTGTCGTATGCAACAGCGATGATGATGCCAATGACTGGGCCGCGAAGCGACTGCAACCGAGGGGCGTGTTAGTCGCAGCAGGCTTTCCAGAGAATGGATTCAAATTTGACCCCATGAACCTTGTGTTGAGGGAGATTGTAGTCAAGGGGATCGTTCATTGCAGCATGGAGGAAACAAGGGAGATGATGGAGTTTGTGACCCAACATGGCATTCGCAGCCATCTGAGCTTGCTTGCGATGGAGGAGGCAGAGGATATCATTACCAAGTCCCAGGCCCATGCCTTAGTTGGCCGTCCAGTTGTCAAGATTCAAAGATAGTAGAGTCAGTGAAGGACTAGCTGGATACGAGGCTCTGGATATGAAAATATCAGTATTTTAACACAAGTCACTCCAACTAGTCCTCAGAAGACTAAACTGACGTATGAATGAAGGGGTAACGCCGTTGTTCAGCGGATCAAGACTTCTCTGAATGTCTGTTCAATATCAAATCTGGCCGCACTTAGAACAGTCATTAATTTGTTTTTATTCAAGAGTTTCCAATAACTCCAGTCCGACCCCCTACCAAGTATATATCTACGTTGGGTCATTCATTCAGCTCAGTAATTGTACACACGCAACAGACTAAACCCTTTACCAAGTAGACCAGAATGCATACGATGCTGCTTTGCAAATATGCTTGTTCAAACACCCCATTTCGTTGGAAAGCCACCACTTATTTGGCCCAGGCGTTGCCAGACGGCCGTCGACCCTTCTCATACAGCCACTTGCTGTTCAGTCCAACGCTTGTACGCTTACCACCAGGAGTACCAGGAGAAGCAGGATCGGAGAAGACATTTGAAGAAGAGCTAGCGGCGAAAGGGCTTGTCGATCCAAAAGATGATCTTCTGCCGTTAAAGCTGTTGTTGAAGCTTCCGCCAAAGCTGTTGACACTCTTGTTGAAAAGAGGGCTACCCAATGGAGAGCCAGTCGATCCTTGAACAAGAGGACTACCTCGACCAGAAAGGGGTGAGCTACCATAGCTTCCACGGCTTCCAACCGAGCCACCGATGGAAGGTGTACGGGAGTATCGAGGGGGGGTGCTGAACTTGGCGTCGGGAGTTGGCGCGGCCGACGAGGGATCCAGACCCAGCAACTGGCGCTGAGCAGGTGTAAGAGGAATGTCGGACAGGTCGTCTTTCGGTCGGATTAACGGCAGACACGCGATACCAATGTTGACAAACGGTATGAGCTGAAGAATGAACCATGTCCAGCTCAAGTATATTCTAAAAGAACCGGGAACGCTAAACGACGAAGTTAGTTCTGACAAAGTCGCAAAGGCAATGGGCAACAACTTACGCTTGAGAGCCAATGTTCAGCCTGGCTAGGAGCTGCGCGGACCAGAATCCTAGTAGCGCAATAACGTTGTAGGCGATCTGGCGCACATTCTTCTCGGAGAAGGTCGTCGCATTACGACGTCTAGTAATCTCATTGAGTCGCGGGTGACGCCAGGTACCAGGGCTATCGGTGACTGAGGGACCGTCAATGGTAGTTGTCCGAACTGGGGTAGCCATTTCGAGTTTCTGAAGTGTGTAAACACGAAGAGGTTGGTTGAGGAGGTCTGGTAGTGGTGCTTTATGCGTTGTCCGTCAAACGTCAAGATCTTGAATGTTCTGCAAGATATGGGGGCCCGAATCTTTTCAACTTCCCGCTCAAACTCAAATGCAGTAAAACAATCCCCAGCTATGATGTCCCTGTTGGTTAGTATATGTATCGTCCTGGCCGAAGCCGTGGTGAGCTCGGTTGCTCCCTTGGTTATGAGATTTGTTGACGTTGCGACCAGAGAGATGAGGGAGAGCGGCTCCCCTGCTAGGAAAACACAAAGCCTAGGCTCTACTGTAGCTTTAGCTCTGTCTGTTGCAGCGCGACCAGCACGGACCTTGACAGTGCCAGGATGTAAGAAGCTACGCCACACTTGAATCTTTCAAGCCACAGAAACATCCAGCCTCTCTCTCTTTCCCTTCTACCTAAGCTGACTCTAGGTCATTACAGGCTCCACTGACTCCCTACTGTACCTTCCTTGGTCGTGAAATGCTGAGTGCTCCTGCAGTTACCGTGACGCGCCTCAGCAACTTCCCGGCTCGTGGGCGCATCGGCTGCCCCAGGCAAACTAACGCAAGACAAGGCAAAGGCGTAGGAGAGAGCAGCGCAGCTGGCAACTTCGCTTCTCAAACTAAACTCACCATCCATTCCTTCCTTCCAATAGCATCGTTCAAGCTCACAATCCTAAACTTAGCCATTTTTTCCTATTTGATTTCTTCCTCTTTCTTGGTATCCCAAGCAACTCCATCAGCTCCATATCACCATCGCATTCGCAAACAATCTGCGCACGCGCAATCTGGTATTAAATCATCATCAATCGGTCCCCACCAATTTCTACGTCTCCCTGACGAACTCTCCTATCTCAACCAAACATTCCTTCGCGATGCGCCGTTGATCTACCCTAACGATTAATTCTCAATTTCGATTTTCTACGACTTATCGCGAATAGCTTCATTTTCTGGTAAACCTACAAACTACAGTCACACACCATGGCGTCTCCTGTCTCGCTCGCCGCGACCTCAGAGGTTGACCCCCCAAGTTCTCCTGGTCAACCCGAAGCCAAATCATTTGCTTCTCGAGCCATGACCGAGGACGACGATACTCAGATGGGCAATGCCACTCCTGACCCCCAAGAAAAGTCGTCTCGTGCGAAAAGCAAATCATCACAGAACAAAGACAAGGATAAGGACAAGGATAAGGATGCAGCGAATCAGCCGACGATTGGCAAGATACGCCATCTGAAGAAGGAGGATGGCGAGCCCCTTTGGAGAGAAGACATCCAATACGACTTTCTCAAGGCAGTTTTCGATAACGAGCAGTCTGTCTTTACCAACTCTTACGAGCCGAAACGACTACAGCGACAATGTTTTGCAGATCTTTACATTGATACCATGTCTCGCAGCTCAAAAACCAGCAAAGTACTTCGAGACAAGCTCCTCAGCGATAGAGAGGCTGCCAAGGGAATGGCAATGGTTTGTCTTCTTGTCAACATGGGCCGCATGAACACGACTCTAAACTGTAAGCTGGATGTCATTGTGCTCAACTCGCCTTTGCTAACATGATTAGTCTTTCCTGAGATGCGAGCTCAGCTCCGTACATATCATGCCATTCCTTCGCTTCAGGCTCGCCAGGACCCTCATGCTTACAAGCAGCTCCAGGATGCACCTCGTCTCAAATCCATTTTGAAAGGTGGTGCAGATGATCGAGAAGAACCAAACTCCCTGGACAAGATCAAATCGCTGGACACCCCTCGCACAAACCCTGTCAATCTCATTTTTGTGATGTGCAACGCAGCTCAAAAGATTGCAGAGCTTCATTTCCCTCGCCATCGCGAGCTTCATGATCTGATCATGAAGACCGAGTACACGAGCCAGTCTCGAGCCAATGCCTTCTTGTGGCTCATGTGGTTCTATCTTGAGTCTGACTTCACGGAAGAAGGTTGTGACGAGAACCCTTTCGGCCCTGGTGTCGACTACGGGCTGGATGTAGCAAACCAGGGAGTGCCCCATCTTGTAGAGATGACGAAAGAAGAGAAAGCCAAGGAGAATATCGACACTGAAGAAGAAATCGAGTTTGGTCGCGCCAAGCAGAAGATGCGAGCCAAGATACTTGAAATGGACCAGGCTTATCTTAACGAGAGAGACACCAAGAGAGGCAAGATGCGGCCATCATTCGCCGAAGACGGCCCTGCAATTCTTCCTCGCATAAGGCCATCCAAACACGAGTCTGATATGGACAGCACCAGGTCGACACCGCCACCTAGAGCGTTAGGCGGTCGCGGTCTTAACTCGAGTCGCAGAGGTGCCCCGCTTAAGTATCAGATCTTCGAGGGCTCATCACCAGCACATCATGTCAACGAGGGTGTGGTGGCCAGAAAACCTCGGCCTCCTACAGCGCACCAACTAGCCGTCGAGCGAAACAGGAGTCAAAGAGTCGAGTACATTCTCGATCGAGGTCTTCGGCGCCAGCATCATAAGAGTCGTAAACTCAGAAAGCAGGATGGTGCTATCTTCCGAGCGTATCAGCGAGTCAATGCTCAAGAAGATCCGTTTGAGGACAGTGACGATGAGACTTCTCTACCACGAAACCTAACCTATGGAGACAAAACTCCAGGGCCATTCCGTGAGAAGGGTGTGGGTGGACTCTGCCTTTTGACGAAAGAAAAAGATGATTTTGGTGAAGAAGTCAGCGCTTATGCTGCTGCTTTAAGAAGGGCAACAAGACGCCTAGCTCGTTGGAGACCGCAGGCTCATGAACTGGGTGTCATTGCCCCTGTCAAGCGACCAAGGCCAAAGAAGGCTGAAGACGATGACTTGGATCTGGACTTGGACGACGATCTTGACGGAGACAAACATGACGGAGATCTCAACGGCGACATGACACTTGGAGATGTTACACTTGGGGATGTCACAGTGGGAGACATGACAGCTGGAGACATGACTATGGGCGACGTTACAATGGACGACGCCGAAGTTGAGGATCAAACAGTTCTTCACGATGACGATGATGTGGACGACGCAGACCGAACAGAGGTAATGGGCGATTCCGACATTGATTAGGCGTCATGGACGGCGTCGGCTTCGGCATCACGTTGGGCTTGAACCAACGGAGACAGAGAATATGCCAGGTGAACAAGGTTGGCAGTGTAACTGTATGGGAAAGGAAAACGAATGGTTAGCGATTCACAGGAGCTATCGCAGCTGGGGTTAGGACATTGGAGTTGGCTTGTCGTATCGTGCGCAGACGTTTTGCCGTGGATTTCGTTTCGATGGGAATAATTTGTATGGCGTTTTAAGAAACACGCATACCATAGTCAGGGTGGTGCAGTGAGGGAACAATGAACAATTGGGGAAAAGCAGTTGCTTTTTCTTTAGATAGCTTGTGTTTACAGATACAGCCAATAGAATAAGATAATTGGTAACCTTGAGTTTGGATTGAGGGTTGACGAATACAAATACGAAAACGAAGCTGTGAAGTGGCATAGTCTAGTCTATGGGGTTTCACATGGATGCCAAGAGACATGATCCGGGACCTGAAGGGACCTGAATTGAATCCAATTGACTGACTTGGCTCTTACTAGCGGAGTGCGGTGAAAAACGGCCTGATTCCCCGTCCCGGGCCCGCGAAAGCTCGCAGCGCAGGGTCCATGTCCGTTTGGCTGATTAACTTAATTTCCGGGGCTCAACAGAAATTCGAGCCGCCGTTTATTTACTCCCCTTTCACCTCACACGACACTTTGAACTTGTTACCTGTTCAACTTGGAAGAGAGTCGCAACAATGGCAAAGAGCAAGTCCAAGTCCACCAAGCCCTCGTCGGGTTCCAAGTCTCAGGGCAGCGGCCTCAGCAAGCTCCTCCTGGTTCTCGGCCTCCTCACCGCGCTCCTGAGCTCCGTCGTCTACTTTGTCGAGCAGAACCTCGAGCAGTTCTACATCTTCGACCTCAAGCACCTCGACGATCTGTCTAAGCGAGCGCTCGCCAAGCACGGAGAGGACACCAGGGCTGTTGTGAAGCACATTGTGGATGAGCTTAGCGAGAAGAACCCCGAGCACATCAACGTCAAGGAGGAATGGGTCTTTAACAACGCTGGTGGTGCCATGGGTGCCATGTACATCATCCACGCCAGTGTCACCGAGTACCTCATCATCTTTGGTATGTCATTATGCCCTCGCTCTCAGACTTCATCAACTAACATTTATAGGCACTGCCATTGGTACTGAGGGTCACACCGGTCGCCACACCGCCGACGACTACTTCCACATCCTCTCCGGAACTCAGCTGGCTTACGTCCCTGGCGAGTACGCCCCCGAGGTCTACCCTGCTGGTAGCATCCACCACCTTCGCCGCGGCGATGTCAAGCAGTACAAGATGCCCGAGGGCTGCTTCGCTCTCGAGTACGCTCGTGGCTGGATCCCTCCCATGCTCTTCTTTGGTTTCGCCGACGGTCTTTCCAGCACCCTCGACTTCCCTACCCTCTGGGACACCACTCGCATCACCGGTCGCGAGATGATCAACAACTTGATCAAGGGCAAGCTGTAAAGGAGATGATATGTATCTTGTACAAATATAGACACTGTAGACCAAAGGGTCTTGCTGTATATCATACTTGGGGGCTTAGAAAAGTTTGGATATAGATTTGGTTTTAGAGAACGGACACATTTTGTATATCTTGGCGAATGATCCCTTGGTTGTATGGAGAACTTAGATCTCTAGGGAAGATACCCGAGTCAAGGCTCACATCTTATCTGAGCAATTGATATTTTATATCTTGAATAGGTTATTATTACCATGTTGTATCTTTCTCATTGGCGCATTGTGTCATGACTGACTGAAGGTATTTGCTCATCCAGGTAACTTTTGATTATATGCCACTTCTATTATCGTATGATTGCAAGAGGAACAAAAATCCATAGGTTACACCCAATCCCCTGTGCACCGGTTCGATTGTCTTAAGAAGCACAACGAATAAACAAAAACGTTGAATTCCTGAACTCTAGGTATGAAGCAGGCAAAAAGAAAGGTCTCGGAGGGAGTCGAACCCTCGCTGGCGGAATCAGAATCCGCAGTCATAACCGTTAGACCACGAAACCGTCGGTTTAACTTGACGGTGGAACTCGCTACATTTGTTTATGTTCGCTACACTCAGCACTGGTAATTATTTTGAATTGGAGTAAGATGGAGTTGGGGGTGTCCCAGCCAGCTGTTGGTAGCTGGCTCCAGAATGAAAATCGGTTATAAGGCGACAGATATGCTCGCCGTTTTGAACTAACATCTAGCTCATCATTTGACAGCTTCCATCCAATATCAGTTTCATTGGGTTGACTGAGATTAGGAACACTACACTGAAAAGTCTACTAACACAAGACGTAGCAGAAAGACTAGATACATATATACACAGATACAATAAAGCTTAGATGCAAGATGATGCTTTAACATGTTCTTTTCATCTGCATCTGACAAATTTACAGTCAGGCTTTTATATACTATTAGTTGCCTAGGTTCCGCTCTAGGGCAGGCGGTCCGAAAATAACCAGGACACAGAAGCGTATCAACTTAGATATGCTAAGGCACTGAAGCGTAGAGTAGACTATCCTAATCTTTACGATATCCTTAACTAAGTCTCGCTCTTTCTTTAACCCACCACCTGCAGGGTTAACTACACACCTTCAGTCTCGTATCACCAGTAACCACAAAAACGAAGAAAGATGGTTAAGACAACCAACGATTGATAATAAGTCTGACCAAGAGCTTCAAGGCGCAAAAAGAAACAATCAATGCGTAATCTGGGAATCGAACCCAGGGCTCCCCGATGGCAACGGAGAATTTTACCACTAAACCAATTACGCGGTGATGCTAAGTTTCTAACGAACTCGCTTGTGATGTCGACCATCGTTTTGGTCTCTATATTCCCCTAACGTACGAATTTTTGGTTGCTTTCCTGCACTTAGCTTATACGATGTGTATGAGAATTCCATGGAGTATAGATCATCAACTTTAATGACTATCTGGCATCACTGTGGTTTTAGGTTTCCTCTCCAGACAGATCAACGTTCAGACTCATCGTCCACAGCAACTCTAACTATAACCAACAGTCACACATCATCGACTTCAGTATACGGCAAAAGTGACAAGATATTGCATTTCTCCAAGGATGATTTCCACATGAAGCAGCTCAAACTCTTGCAAATCACGAGACACCACAAGACAAGACAGCGAAAAGAAACATCCAATCAAGATTATGCCCTTGGGGCTTTTCAAGTTAATCCATAAACAAAAGACGCCTTCGCTAAATGTACGATCTAGGCTGTTGTACAGAAAGTTATTGACGAAGTTACAAAATACCCTATTCTAGCATCCTCCGTTGTGTCGTCCAAAAGTCATCATTCCACGCCTCTGTAGTTTTTAAGCAAAGACATTCCCTTCTACGACATCGTTTTCATGAAGTCGTCCAGATCGAAACTCTCCTCGTACTGCTTGTTGTCCCATAGCTCGCCCAAATCATCCAACCATGCCTTCTTCCCTGGCGCTCGTACGTCACCCGTTTCGATATCGACCATGTCTTCCTCTCTTCCTTCAATGTTGTTCTTCTCCTTGTCCGCCAAAAGATTCGGTGCGGCATCGCCGACATTGAACAGATCCAAAATCTGATCCGTGTCCATTGTGGAAAGTCCAGCGTTCTGTTGGTTCACGACAGTCGAGGCAACATCGATCTTGAAGCGCTGAAGGTTTAGAATCTTTTCCTCCAGTGTTCCGCGGGTGATGAGTCGGTAAACATTGACCACCTTCTTCTGACCGATACGATGAGCTCGATCCATGGCCTGAAGATCTTTCTGGGGGTTCCAGTCATGCTCGACAAAGATGACTGTGTCAGCACCTGTCAAGTTCAAGCCGAGACCTCCCACACTGGTTGTCAGCAACAGCACATCGTAGGATGGATCGCTGTTGAACTTGTTAACAATGTCCTGTCTCTTGTTGGCCTCCACGGAGCCGTCAAGTCGAAGATGCGACACCGAGGGCAACAACTCCTTGAGAACCTTGTTCTGCACCATGTCGAGCATTTCCTTCATTTGACAGAAGATGAGTGCGCGGTGAGGTTTGATCGGTTGGTAGAGGGGATCATTTGAGTCGTGGCCTTCGACGCCAATACCGCAGTCCACCAGAAGATCTCGCAACGCGGTCAGCTTTGGTGCATGCTGAGCATCTTCGATCGAGGTTCCCTGCTTGGCAAGAATCTTCTGTGTATCGTCGTAAAGGCTGCTGCCAGGCTTCATCACCATAGCGGGAGAGTTGCACAGCTTCCGCATGTACTGCAGCGCTTGGAAAATATGCTGCTTGGCTTCCTTGTCTTCCCTGCCCGCCTCTGCCTGGATCTTCTTGCCTTGTTTCTTTGTGAAGTCTTCGAAGAGTTTCTGTTGCAGGTCACTCAGGTCGCAGTAGTAGTTCTGCAAGATCTTTGGTGGAAGGTCGTTCAAGACTTCTTCCTTGAGACGACGCAGCAAGAATGGCAGAACTTGTTTGTGAAGTGCCTCGATAGCCAAAGCACCTGCTTCCTGTTCTTTCGAAGAGGCTTTGCTGAATCGGCTTGCGGCAATTGGCTTAGCAAAACGATCCAAGAAAACCTTCTCAGCACCCAAGAAGCCAGGCATCAGGAAGTCAAATAGAGACCACAATTCCAAGACGTTATTCTGAATTGGAGTGCCTGTGAGAATGAGACGATGGTTACTAGCCAGCCTCTTGACAGCTTGCGTAATCTTAGCCTTCGGGTTCTTGATCAAATGCCCCTCATCCAATACGACGTAATTCCAGCTGTGCTTGTCCAGAACTTCAGAGTCGTTACGGCAGACATCGTAAGATGTAACCACTATGTCAGTCTCGCCGAGTCTGTCTTTCAAAGCCTTTCTCTCCGCAGGCGGCCCGACGTATGCAGTAACGCTCAAGAATGGCGCATATGTCTTGATCTCTTGTTGCCAATGGCCCGAAAGCGTGGGTGGGCAGACAATGAGAGATGGCAATCTTCGAACGTCTGGTGCCTGTGTCTTGGCGAACTCCTCGGCACGCTGGTGGTGATCGCTTGCGACGATACAAAGTGTCTGCAACGTCTTGCCTAGACCCATATCGTCACAAAGAATACCATGAAGATGGTATTTGTTGAGAAAATTGAGCCAGTTGACACCTTCTTGTTGGTACGATCGTAGCTCGGCTTTAATGGCCACGGGAATTTGGAACTGCTCTACCTTCTTTGGATCTAAAAGTTGAGCAATAAAGGTTCTTTCGCGGTCTCTGCCCTTTAACAACTCCTCGGACAGACCTGGTGGGTCCGGAATTCCAGCCTCGAGGGGAACCAGTTTAACGAGGGTGGCAAAAGATGTCGTTGCGATAAGGCGGATTTCGTTGTCCGAGTCGCTCATTCGTCCCAGAACCGGTACGATCAAGAAGATCACATAAGGTAGAATGGCATCTCCCATCACGGCAATCAAGTGATAGATAGCTTCGATAGCGCCTTGTCGGAAGTTGAGGTCGACAGGGTTGTTGATCGATGGTAGAACCTTCTCAACAAGGGCGGTCATACCCTCAACTGTCATAACGCTGCAAATTGTAGCCATACACTTGGCGGCCATGTATCGGAAGACCGACAATTCTGAGTGAAGGGCTTTGATGACCAGGGGCATCATTTGTATGATGAAAGGTTGCAGAGCCTTGTCGAGCGTTGGGGTCATTGTGCGGATAACAGACATGGCATCGACAATTTCTTGCCCAAAGGTCTGTTCAGGATCCTTCGCTTCTGCGGGTAAGTCACCAGAGAAGGCTCTGACCAAAGGCTCCACCATGAACGTACGGAGGCTGGGCACGGTTTCGAGTAGGCTAGCACCATAAGTTCTGGAAAGAATCTCCAATGCTTCCTTGGCACCTCGTCTGGTAATGCGAGCAGCCTTTGCTTCGCGAGCCCATTTGGCAGCATCCGGATGGTCGACACGATCCTCTTCCTTTTGCATGGACAACACGCAATCTGTCTTGCGGGCATGAACAGGGAATTCGGGGGTTTCTGCCACTTCGACACAGGAGAACTTGACCAAGTTGGAAACCACTTTGTCTGCTGGCCCCTTTCGACCCTTTTCGGTAAATAGTTGGACGAGTCTTGCGATGGTGTCGGCTGAGCGAACTTGAAGTTGTTGGTTCTCTTCCGTCTTGACAGAGTCCATGATGCCCTTGATGAGCGGGCTGGGTTTCTTGGGCAGTGCCTTCATACCGACAATAGCGCATGCTGCCGCTGCCTTGACACGGATATCGCGAGCCGCCTTAGCTGCCTTGGCTTCTTCGATAGCCAGGAATGTTACATTGCGGGCTTCAGATAGTTGTTGGCTGGCAATCATGCGCTGACCTGGTGGCATTGCCTTATTCAGCTTCTCATAATCCTCGCCGATGCACTTCTCTGCTATCGCAATGGAAAAGGCGTTAGGACCAGCCTCGGCTTCTCCCTGAACCACGACAGGCAGTGTTGGGAGCTTGCTGTGCGAGACTTTACCATGGTCACGGAAGAGATGGATCAACTGCTGGCATTGCGATCGAACTCGCTGGATGAAGTTTACGAGATCTCTGTAGGCGGCTGGTCGTTCAGAGTCGATGATGCGTTGGAGGTTTTCGAGGTAGCGAGGGGATTCACCAAGGCTCTGGCTGTTGCTGGCATACTCGTCGATAACCACACACGCGGTCATCTGACTGGAGGAGAACGCAGATCCCAGACCGGGGATCAAGAGCGCATCATAGTCGTCCAGGCTGGCCGAAGGAACTCGAGACATTATGAAGCCCATGGCCTTGGCAGCCGACACGCGAGAGCGAATCAACACATCCATACCAACTAGATCGACGTCGCCTTGCATCATATGGCCGTCGACATCATGGGTCAGGCCGGTAGTGGGAGTATCATCAACCTTGGTGGACTTGCGTCGGCGTTTGTGGGCACGATCGGAACCATCAGGAGAAGATGGTTTGCGAGGTGTGTGTTGAATGGCACCAGGCATGGTGTAAGTGCCGCCAGAAGGCTTCTGGAACAGGGCCGTATTCATAGGAATTGGGTTTCTCGAAACACCAATAGGGTGCAGGGTCAGCTGCATCATGGGGTCAATGTGAGCGGCAAACTCATCTGCCAAAACATCAGGTTTGGTGGCGAGACTTTCAACAAGCGACACCCACAAGTCAAGAGACATGTTGAGCGCATCCCTGTCTCTTTCTACAATGATGTTCTGGAAGATCAATCGCAGTATTCTTCCGTTAAGCCAACCCTGCGAAGTCTCTGCATCAAGTTTGGCAAAGGTCGACAAGGCTTTCAAGACGGCCACGCGTACGGAGGTAATGGTATGGCGCAGGAAGGGGTAAAGTCTGGGGACGAGCAGGGTGAATGATCGTTCCTCATCTTGTGCTGCCGATGCTTTCATTGCTTCCAGCACTTGAGGGAAACCACAAAGGGTAGCAAGGAGATCCATAATCCGCCCAGTACTGGCACTAAGGTCATCGCCAAGATTTGATAGACTTTCCCAAATGATGTTGACGAGACCATCGAGCTGTTCGGGTCGCATAGTAACGAACTCCTTCGCCATGGGGATTAATGTGGCGGCACTGACTGAACGGACGTCGTCATCCATATCTCCCAGGCCTTTCATGACTGTCTTGATAATGCCGTCGATCATGTCGCTGTCTTGAAGAAGAAGATCTTTTCTTACCGCAACAACGTATCTGAGACCGATCATACCACCGTGGCACACAGACCACACTGGTCGTTCAAGTTGGAGATCTTCTTGCATAACCATTCTGTAGAGAATTTTAAAGGTGCTGTAAACAGACGATGAAGGGAGGTGCTTCAAGACAGATCCAAGAGACTGACCAATCGTCTCCCGAATTGGCGCCACGGAAGTATCGGAGCTGTAATCGGTGAAGCGATCTAGCATCAGTACGCAACACAACCGGCAGGCCATATCGTCGAGCCATTTCCGGTTGAGTGCATCGTTCTCCTCTCTTGACTTGTTACGTAGTCTACCGGCACCTCCACCGTGTACTCGGATTACTTCGCGGAGACCCATCGCGGCTCCATGTCGGGTTTCCCAGGAGGAGTCGAATAGGTCAACCTTCAAGAAATCACACAGTCGGTCGTATGGCCACTCTGCTCCTTCCATCGTCTCCTCTGCTTCAAGTTCGGACTTAATAGGGATTACAGGCCCCTTGAATTCGCTCACGACTTTGGTGTCTTCGTCAACATCGGAGGGGCGTTCCAGGTTAAAGTACTCGTTCACTTTGCTGTTCTTTTTGGATTCGCTGTCGGGCATTGAAGAGTCATCCCCAATATTTTCGGAACCTGATGTCATTGAACGTCTGACAGAAAGATCGCCAAATCCTCCTTTGCCTTGAGATGCCTTCATTGCTTCTCTCTTGCGTTTTCGTTTCAGCACGTTTAGTTGTCGAGAACTCAGATGGGACTCTTCAGGTGCATGAGCCTGGGCTCCAACCCCATCGGTGCGATTATGTCCATGACCATTCGTGGTGTCCATTGGGGTCCCAGGCGCGGCCGGGTTATCGCCACCTGTGTAAGCAATCTCCTCATCTTCGTACTTCCTCCCGAGAAGACCTAGTCGCCCAACGAGCGTCTTCTTCTGGTGAGCCAGTCGTGCTTGAGGGTCGAGTGCCGCTAGTCCATACTCAATACCACCACCACGTAGCAGTTCCCTACCATACTTGAGAATCATCTCAACGTCGAGAGATTCCAATTCGAAGAGATCGTCATCTTGAGGTATCGTTTTGGTCTCATCTTCTTCTTCCTTCTTGATGTGTCCGTTTTCATGGACATGCTCCTCCTTCTTAGGCTCTGCGGGTGCATCTCCGAGGTTCGGATCATAGATGGGGGCATGCTCTGCAATCTTGCCGATAGCAGAAGCAGCAGTTCTCCGTGTCTCCCATTCCTTGTGTCTTAGGTAGGGCACAACACGAGAGAGGAGATTAAAAAGTTCGTCCGGGTGTTGTTTTTGCCAGTCGGCAAGCTGATTAACGGCAGTATCACGGATTAACCTCGTACTCCCTGTTTCAAGGATACTAAAAAGCTGTTAGTCATCCCCTCATGCGCATGAAGGGGAACCTCATGGTTGCCAAAGTTACTTTTGAACATATCCATAACCTTGTCAACCATGAGGATGAAAAAGTCAAATTCACTTACGTGACTAATCTGTCGAGTCTATTAAAAGATTAGTATGCCATGATGTTGCTGTTGAGAATGTGGGGGAAACTAACCTCGAAGCCATTGTGAATGTATTAGATGGGGGGTAATATTATAAGCGCGTATCAGGACATCTCGCTCGCTACAGGACAAATGTTAGTTTTGAATCAATTGGACTGTGTGAAATCTTGTGTCATGTCATCAACAGGAGATGGTAACATGGAAGCTGTGTTAATGTGCTATCCAGCGCGACGGGATCGTGTAGCGCGACGTGATGGTGGGTCGTCGGGAGTGAGATGCATGCATCCGGAGTACAAGGCCGAAGACTCAGGTGCAAGCGCAAGTGTCCAAGTTCTTTCTGCAATGGGGAAGATTGAAAAGACGATAACGGGATATAAGAGAAGTGCCGACATTTTAAGAAACGAACCAAAGAAAGGCAGCGAATCATGCATGACGCAGCCTAATCAAGTGTGGGGGAACCATATCAAGCGATCATCAAATATGATAGGGGGAGAAGTGGGAAAAAGAAAAAGATGCCGGGGTATAATGCAAATAAAGGCGTTCAATCACTTACTGTGAGTTGGCGATAATAAAAAAGCGGCGTCAAGCCTTCAGAGCCAAAGCGCACGCACACGCGAACAAGTACACCTGAGGTTGAGTTTGCAATGCAATGGATGCAATGGATGCAATGGATGCAAGGCAAGGCTTAGCTTAGCAAAGCTGTCAACTACAGATGTTGCTTGCCGAAGCTCCCGGTCTTTAAAAAAAGATCCAGTATCAGAGATCCCCCTGTCTAGAGCGCATGCAGCATCGGCACTTAAAATGGATGTTGAGATGGGATGTTATGCAGAGAGATACGCTGCAATGAGACGTAGCCGATCAGTTGCGACGATTTGTCGGCGATTTTTTTTTTGGTTCCTAGGAAGACTCCGGTTGGCCGGGTTGCAGGAGCTTGGGGGAAAAAAGGCTGGGTCAATCAAGACTGTAGATGGACTGGGCAGCCAAGTGTCCGTTTCTTGCCGTATTATACCCAGCGACGATAGGGGGGAGGTGACCGGGGATAAAAGAGATGCGATGCGAAATAAATAAAAGTGGGTTCAGCCGAAGTTTGTTTGCTGTATCCGTCCTTTTATTAAAGGTTACTCTTTCCTGTAGGTATGGGTGGGAGTGGTGCTGGTGCTTGGTCGCTCTTTCCGCTTGCGCAAGTTGACGGTGGTGCTCTGCGGTGCGGTGCTGGTGCTGGTACAGAAAGTACTGCTGTGGTTCCGGGTGGCCAACTGGGAAAATCGGGGTGGAGGGCAGGCCAGGTCTTCTATAAGTGAGTGCTTGTATTTATAAACGCGGCGCGGCTTGGGGAAGCACGGCCAACGGTTTCTTTCCTTGCGCTCGCTTAATTTCCCTGTTGCCTTTTAGCGTCACATATGCCCCTGTTCTTTTTCTCCTAGGCTTACCTTTGGTCAGGTGCAGCAACACTTATCCACTTTTGGCTCAAGTACGCCAGCGGGTCCACTTTAGATGTGGTCAAATCGCGAAGATCTTTGCTGAGCACTAAAAAGCCATCTAGATTTTAGTGGTCGGTTTAAAGATGATCCATCAATATTGTACATCTTGCAAGCTATTGATTGGTGCGTTGGTCGAGCTCCTTCCTACCCTGTATTATGTGTAAATTCAGCTGTGAGCAACACTCCATTCACGGCTTTGTTCTTGATGTCCATTCAAACATATCCATCTTTCCATATTAGTGTTTATGTTGCTATATCTGCATGTTTCTTTCTTACAGAGTTGTATTCCTCCCTTGTTGGTGCTTACAGTGAACAGAAACGTGTCCATTCCGTCATCAAGGACAAAGCCTAATTTGGGTACACATGAAACTTCTCCGATATTGAGAACAGGACTTGTATCAAAAAATTGACGACCATGACAACGTAATCGGTATCCGTAACATGAAACAACAAGGAAATACTACGCTGCAGTCGCAGGTTGCTTGCCTACGATAAGTGCCGCGTCGAATCGAGATGGCAGGAAACACTGTACATGCAACAGCTTGCAAGTATAAATACACGATGGTAACGCGGTTATGTGTTATATGCTACAGATAGGGAAAATGAGGTAAAACTTGGACTGTATATGCTTTACTCTGTAGATTTCAACAAATACAATCATAAGTTCCGCGAATACATCACATCCGCCAAGGTTACCAATGCAACGATATCCCAAGAAGCAACGACTGGATCATTGACCGGGATCTCAAAGACAAAACGCACGGACCACTATCGTTGCTCTCGAGTCGGAAGGCATGATGTTCCGGTTAATCCAGTCCGCGACAGGACGCGCCAAGACAGCCACTGATCGCGGTACCCAAAGACGCGCATCAAGTCGCATCACGTAGGTCATCCACGCAAAATTACTCGAGATTGCGCAACCTCCTACAATCTAATAATTATAACTCCTCGCATGTTGCGCAGGAGCGCCGGCGCAGCTCATCATGTATATCAAGCAAATTATCATCCAGGGCTTTAAAAGGTATGTTTGCTAGCACTATTTCAGCCTTGGGCTTCCCCTCCGCCAACAATTGAATGCTAATGCTGCGACAGCTACAAGGACCAAACCGTCATCGAGCCCTTTTCTTCAAAGACCAACGTAATCGTCGGTCGCAATGGTTCGGGAAAAAGTAACTTCTTCGCAGCTATTCGCTTTGTTCTTAGCGATGCCTATACCCAAATGAGTCGCGAAGAGCGGCAGGGACTTCTCCACGAAGGCTCAGGCTCTGCCGTTATGTCAGCATACGTCGAAATTATTTTCGACAATAGCGACGACCGATTCCCGACCGGAAACAAGGAGGTCATCTTGCGTCGTACCATTGGTCTAAAAAAGGATGAATACTCGGTAGATCGCAAGGTAGTCACCAAGGCCGATGTCATGAACTTGCTTGAAGCTGCTGGATTCTCGCGATCAAATCCGTACTACATTGTTCCGCAAGGACGAGTTACCGCCCTGACAAATATGAAGGAGTCCGACAGGCTCAATCTGTTGAAGGAGGTGGCGGGAACACAAGTGTACGAGACACGTCGTGCAGAGTCGTTGAAAATTATGAACGAGACAAACAACAAGAGAGAAAAGATTGACGAGCTTCTGGTTTACATCAAAGAAAGGCTTAGTGAGCTGGAAGAGGAGAAGGAAGAGCTCAGAGGCTTCCAGGACAAGGACAGAGAGAGACGATGTCTCGAGTACGCATACTACCACAACATACAGCTCAACGTTCAATCAGCCCTCGAGGAGCTCGACAATGCTCGACAGGATGGTATCGATAGCTCCGACACCAACCGCGCAGAATTTTCCGAGGGAGAGAAGGCGATTTCAAGGCTTGACTCAGAAATTCACAAGTTGCAGAGGGAAATGGAACTTCTACAAATCGACCGCCGACAGCTGGAGGAAGACAGACGTGACACTGCCAAGACTATGGCCAAAGCTGAGATGAAGACCAAGAACTTGAAAGAAGGCCAGTCTGCTCAGGAGCAAGCCCGAGCCCAGCATGCTGCTGATCTCGAGTCTGTGCAGAACGAGATAGCTTCGAAAGAGCAGCAGCTGTCCACAATTGTACCAGCATATAACCAGAAAAAACAAGAAGAGGACAATGTTCGACGACAACTCGACCATGCCGAAGCCACGCGCAACCGCTTGTTTGCTAAGCAGAGTCGTGGTTCCCAGTTCAGAAACAAGTCTGAGCGTGATGCATGGCTGAAGAAAGAAATCCAAGAACTCGAACTCAATATCAGTACACAAAAAGCCAACAAGATCGATGCAGACGAGGAAGTTGAAAGAGTACACGAATCAATTGCTCAAGCAGAGCAGGAGGTTGCCGAGTTGCGAAATCGTTTAGCTAACTTCAGCGCTGAGCGAGCAACCCTCGAAGAGGAGGCAGCCAAGGCGACTGACGTGATTGAAAAGCTCAACGACGAAAGGAAACTCGTCAGACGTGAGGATGACAAGCTCAATTCAGTCATAGCCAATTCTCGCCAGGAGAAGGAGGCTGCTGAGCGCGAGCTGTCGCATACTATGGATGGAGCCACTGCCCGTGGTTTAGCAACGATCCGAAGATTGAAACAGGAACGTGATATTCCAGGAGCATATGGAACATTGGCGGAGCTACTTGAAGTAAGCGATGCCTACAGGTTACCTGTAGAGCAGATCGCCGGCGCAAGTCTCTTCCACTATGTTGTTGATAACGCTGATACCGCCACCTACCTCGCAGACACTCTGTACAAACAGCAGGGCGGTCGAGTCACTTTCATGCCCCTTGCTCAACTACGACCGAAGCAAATCAACCTCCCTAGGTCCAATGATGCTGTACCTCTCCTCAGTAAGATTTCATACGATGACGAGTACGAGAAGGCTTTTCAACAAGTGTTTGGCAAGGTCGTTGTCTGCCCCAACCTAACCGTAGCAAGCCAATATGCACGAAGCCACGGCGTGGACGGTATCACTGCTGAAGGTGATACAACCAACAAGAGGGGTGCTATGACTGGTGGATACATCGATCCTCGAAAGTCGCGCTTGCAAGCTGTTCAGGCCGTGAACAAGTGGCGAGGCGAATACGAGAGACTTCTGGCTCAGTCCCGGGACATCCGACGACAGACAGAGCTCAAGGACCAAGAAATTACAGCAGCTATGTCGGAGCTCCAGAAGGCTAGGGAGAGGCTACGACAAGCCGTTGATGGTTTCGAGCCGCTCAGGCATGAATTGATGAACAAGTCGAAACATCTTGAGAACGAGCGAACTCATCTTGATGCAGCTGTGAGACGCCGAGACGCAGTTGAAAGCAACATGAACAGCTTTTTGGAAGATCTTGCTGGCCATGAGACAGAACTCAAGTCGGACTTTAAGAAGAACTTGACTTCTGCAGAAGAACGTCAGTTGGAGGAGCTTACCAACAGCATCCAGGAACTCCAGAAGCAATGGAACGAGCTTAGCAAAGCCCGACGTGATTTGGAAAGGCAGAAGCAGCTCCTTGAAGTTGACCTTCGCCAGAACCTGCAAATGAAGCTTGACCAGCTCAACAGCCAAGCCTTTGAAAATTCCTCTTCTGGATCTTCCGCTGGTGGATTGAAGGAGGCTCAAAGGGAACTTAAGAAGGCGCAAAAGGCACAAAAAGCAGTGGAAGCAAGCCTTCAGGAAATTGAATCGAAGCTGGACAACTCGCAAGCCCGTCTAGAGCAACTGGAGAACGAGAGAACTCAGCGGGAGCAGGCCCAGCAAGAGATTTCCGTAAGGATTGAGAAACAGCAGAAGAGAATGGACAAGAGTCTCCGAAGGAAAGCCGTCCTGACAACACAAGCCGCGGAGTGTGCCCAGACCATTCGTGATTTGGGTGTTCTCCCGGAAGAAGCCTTCGATAAGTACGAGAACATGGACCCCAAGACTGTAAGTTGTTCCTGTTGAACTCCAGTGTAGGTAACCACTAACATATCTCTAGGTTTCATCCAAGATCAAGCGGGTAAACGATGCACTGAAGAAATACAAGCACGTCAACAAGAAAGCGTTTGAACAGTACAACAATTTCACAACGCAGCAGGAACAGCTTATGAAGCGACGTAAAGAGCTGGACGAGTCTCAGGAATCTATTGAGGAACTGGTTGAGCACCTTGATCGTCGAAAGGATGAGGCCATCGAAAGAACATTCAAGCAAGTGTCAAGAGAGTTCACAACGATCTTTGGCAAGCTTGTACCCGCCGGTCATGGTCGCCTGCTAATTCAGCGAAGGGCGGACCGTCGGCAAGAACCTGCAGACGAATCTGATGGGGAGGCTCGAGGTGCCGTTGAAAACTACACAGGTGTTGGAATCAGTGTGTCGTTCAACTCGAAACACCTTGATGAACAACAGAAAATCCAACAGCTCAGTGGTGGCCAAAAGAGTAAGTCTCCTCGTATCTTTTTCAGGATCAAGCAACTAACATAAGCAGGTTTGTGTGCCCTGTGCCTCATTTTCGCTCTCCAGGCTACTGAGAGTAGCCCTATGGTTATTTTCGATGAGGTCGATGCCAACTTAGACGCCCAATACCGTACGGCGGTCGCAGCTCTTCTGGACTCTATCTCCAACGAGATCGGCACTCAATTTATCTGCACCACTTTCCGACCTGAGATTGTTCATGTCGCTGACAGATGTTATGGTGTCACATTCCGCAACAAGACCAGTTCAATCGACTGCGTCAGTACAGAGCAAGCCCTTGACTTCGTCGAGGGTCAAGCCAAGCCTGCTTAAGCGGAACGAAGGGACCGTGATGTCGTTTTTCGGATTACATGTAAAACTGTGCATGGAGGTGGTGGACTGGCGTTGGGTTGCTTAATACCAATCTCTTATGCGATTACGATAAGCCTTTTATTTTAAGTGCTTACTTTGTTAGCTGTCGGGTTTTTTGACGAGACAGAACTTCGATATAGTATGACGAGCGGCCTTGTGAGGCGTTAAAGATAGGCATATGTTTCCTGCATGTGCAGGCGTTGCAGTATTATGAATTCCATGGCATTATTTGATCAAGTCGTGGCACCCGGTGATGGTAACTTGGTCCATTGCTTCGTCGCGTTGTGTAGGAGCCCGTAACGATACGTCTTGACGTCTTCATTGTTCTGTACAGCAAAGTATACATGGTAATTATACACGCAGTAGCTATCTCTACTGCCAATATCTACCCAATCCTCTAGATTTACCGATCAGTCATCATGTTGCGCACACCCTTGTAGTACGCCTTGGGCAGCTCCTTTTCCAACTCTTCGCGAGTCAACCACTTGAACTCAGTATAGCCAAAGGGGTTATCCTTTAGATCAGCCTGGCCTGCCATTATTCTACCCTTGATGAAAAACGTCTTTTCACCCTTCTTCTCAACAGCACCCTCCTTGCTGAGCTTGGGTCGAGAGACGACATGAGCGACTGGTATGCGGCTCACGAGCCAGGTGTTCATGTTAACGCCAGCAGTCTGGTCAAGAACTCGCTTGGCGGACTTGAGAAAAGTTAGCAGTTATTCATAATATCTCTGTCAATCGTCCTTACCTCGTGAAGGTTCTCCTCCTTGGGAATCACATCCGCGGGAAAGCCCCATCCATCCTTGCCCTTAACCACAAGATACAGAGTTCGGTCAAGCTGACGGTCCAGTCTTCGGACATCACCCTTACTATCAGCCTCTGTAACACGATCCGCAGGAGGCTCAACAGGAACAACATCATCCGCAGCAATGACCTCAGCATCATCACTGACACGCGCCTCAGCATCCTTCAACAGAGACTTGACGATGGTCTCCTGGTTGCTCAGCTCATCGCCGACCTTAAGCTCATCATCCCATGCCTTGGAGCTCTTGCCATGGTAAACACCCAACTCCTTGGCCACTGTGCCTTGTCGCTCCTCGACCTTGATGTTCCAGTCTAAACGTCGAGCTGTATCAGGCTTGAAGTAGATACTCGTGATGAAGGGGGTATTGAGACGCTCCTCAAGACGCTTCTGGTAGAAGAAGAAAGCATTCTCGAAGGGGTGAAGTTTTCGTGTCACCAGCGGTGGTCGAGTAAGAATCACTCCGGAGCGGACATCGTATGGCGGCGACTTCGGTGCGGTTGAGGGGGGAGTGGCATCGGTTGGGGTTTTGGCTACGGCTGCAGCGACGGAAGAGTAGAGGCGTCCTGGGATTCTAGGTAGAGCGGAAGGTGAGGATGCGCATCGGGCGCAGACGTTGGGAGAAGCTATAGTGGTTCAATGGTCAGTTTTTATAGGCCTTGAAGAGGGTTAAAGAGGGCTCATGAGAGCGCCAATTGAACCTGGTGAACAGGGCAAATGAACTTACTGGATAGCACAGCCTTAACGGCCCGTCCACCCCGACTTGAAGCTGTCATTCTGGCTATCTTCGCTGACCCCAGACGTTGCGATTGGGTGACGAGAAGCAAAGCGGGATGGGATATGATATTCAACCTCTCACTCTCGAACTTTTCCCGCTAGCAGTTCGGTACGTACCTGCCGCTGCAATTCCCGTTCGAGTGTCTTATCACCCACGTGACGATAAGAATTCGAGGTGGGGTGCAACGACCGACTTTAAATATTTCTCGGCCTTGGATTTTCTTTCACTCTTTCTTTCCCTTCTCTCTCAAGGCACCATTCCTTATCGTCAAGACCTGTTCCACCTCCAGAACGTCTCGACCATTTACGCGTGCCGAGAGCGATTCCGCAGTCTTTTTCGCTAGCGGGGCCTGCAATTTATCCTACCGGGTTCTGTTAGATAGATACTGCTGACATTCCAACACCTTGGTGTTGTATGTTTAAAAACAACTGTAAACTTGCTTCGCGTGGATTCAACCGAAACCTCTAGCAAAGCGCAATGATCACCACTTGATATGTCGTCATTACCTATAAACTGCATGTGTTGACTGGTAGTCGAAGAGTGAGCTTGGCTCATGAATTTCATATAAATGTCAACAGCTCATGGGCATCTGCCATTGAGATGATGTTGAAATTTGAGACTACCTAGATACATAAACAAGCCAGAAGCGAAGCGACAATGGCACAAACCTATTATATAGGTAACTATACAAATCTTGATCCTGTACCGAACTCTGCTTTGTTAGATCGTCCAACTCAACTCCGTTGTGACACCGCGCTATCAAAATGCAAAGAATCATGCCCGCCTTTCAAATGATGCTGATTGCTGGGTATCAAACCATATGGAACCGAACCCCACCCGATCGGGTTTGCCTGAACGCCTGCTTAACTATGTTTCCGCCTTGATTCATTCTATCGTAAAGCTAAGCAGACAATTCTGCAACTGCTTGAGCCACCTCCTTGGTAGCTCGATTTTCCCATTGTCGACGGGCTTCATCGCTTAGCGATGCTGCGCCCTTGACCTCGTCGTAAAGCTTTCTTGAGATGTCTCTGTTGATAACCGAGTATTGTTCAGTTGTCAACTTTCGAGACCGCCAGTGCGGTCGCAGGGCACCCTTGACTATCTCGTTTATGCTAACTTTATCTTCTTGGGTAAGGTTGAGTTCTGTTGGCGGTTCCTCTTTTCTTTGAGCCGGGACCTCGTCTGGGCGGCGTGGTCGGGGTTGTCGTAGCTCTAATGGTCGGCTTTCGGGGAGTAGGGCTGGGCGCACTTCGGAGTCGCTATTCTCGCGGCTTGTATGTTCACGACCAGTACGCCCACGACTTGAGCGAGTAGGTGAAAAGTTGATTGGTACATGTCTTGTTGGGGGCTGTTCTGAGTCACTGTGATCATGGTTCATACGTTCATGATTTGCACGGGTAGGTGAATGGTTCCCACGAGTGGGTGAATGGTTTGCTCGTGTAGGTGAATAGTTCGCAGGCGCATATCGTGGTTGAATAGTGCTACTGAGCAAGAGTGTCGGAGAACCTGGTCGAGCATTGAAATTCGGCATTGGAGGAGGGGTAAGAGAAAGAGCCCGCGGACTGCCATAGGCTGACGGAGATGGCGACATGACAGGAGAAAGGGCAGGCGACGAGGCATCTGGTGGATGTCGCCACCCATTGTTGGTTATTAGTGTATCATCATCAGACATAATGCTGGGTTCAAGCTCTTTCAACAATGAGGAAACCAATGGAGGATCAATACTGCCATGATCGGCAACACCGTTCCTGGAAGATGCTCCATTGGTGTTGATTCTTGCTGTCGATGGCCCAGGTGCTGGGGACGACACAGAGCTCGAGCCTTCGCCGTTCTGGGTTGGCAGGCGACGTGTTCGTGGACGCTTGAGCTTCCTTTCAGGTTCTTGGGCTGGCTCGCGGGGCGATGCAGTTACAGACCGCCCTTTGCGCTTTCTGGAGTTGGTGCTAGGCTCTTCAGTTTCTCGTGCACGATCCAAGGCGCCCCAAGCTCGTCTCTCGTCTGCCGTTTCTTGCACGGGCTCAGGCGCTGGCTGAAGTCGTTCGCTAATAGCCTGAGGAATGTTGTTCGCAAAAACGTCGCGGGCGCCCAGACGACGTGCGATATCCATTCGTTGTTGCCAACGTTCGAGTTCCCGTCGGCCAAGCTCCTGGAATCGCCGATATTGCTCGAGCTCTTCGTCCTCATCATCGTGATTATCCAAATCCAAGTCGCTCATCTCGTAGAATCGACCAGAGAACTGGCCCCATGCGCCTTGCCACTCGACATTTCGAGCTTGGCGACGAGCTCGCCTTAATCGTTCTCGAGTTCGTACATGGTAACCGCGCACATTTCGAGGGTTCGGGCGACGTACGTTGGAGGGGCGAGGCGACCTTTCTCCAACCTGGGTAGCTTCTGGCTCTTCCACAAGTTGGAACAGATGGGCACATTCCATGCAATACCAGTCGCCGTCAGGAATAGCCACGAGACCTATGCAATGTGTATGATAGGCGGCATCGCAGCTGTCGCACAAGAGTAGGACATCTTCTCTTTCTGACGAGTTGCAAATAGGGCATGGGTTGCCTGGTTCTTCTTCGTCTTCCTCGGGGTTTTCGCCAAGCCACTGTCTTACATCGAACTCGGCGACCTGTTTTTTATCTTGAACATCGTATTTGGAGATGGCAGTTCCTGCAAGAATAAAGTGGTTAGTGAATGTCGAGGTGCATTGCGTTGGGAAAAGATGGTGGGCATGATTAAGCCCGTTAAATCAAATGGTAAACTTACCATCTACGCCATTGTATACTCGAACTGAATGAAATGGACAGCGACAGATTGGACATGTATTTGTCTTTTTTGCCCATGAACGAATGCATGCATCGTGAATAACATGATCACATCCGTCGAGTTCAGCGACAATATTCAAATAATTCGAATCGTCCTCGAGAGTTTCTGTGGCTGTAGTGGTTGTGGCAGGGAAATGTGCTGGCTCAGACGTAAGGGTGGATGTGGATGCAGATGCGGCAGAAACACCACCAGCAGAAGCAGCATCACTCGCAGCTATAGTGAGGGCAGCTGGAGCTTGGAGAGAAGCCGAGGGTCGAGGCAGAGGATCCAGGCATATAATGCACTGTTCCGCTTCAGCCATGATGTTTGGTTTGATAAAAGAAACGGTATTTAGATGAGAACATGTAAAATAGAATATAAATCGAATCGAACCGAGTCGGGGTTAGAGTAGAGTAGAGTCGAGTTGAGTCGATTGCAATTCAAAGAGGGCGGTGATGATGGTTAAAATGGGAGGTCGATTAGGCGGGATGGGGGGGCAAAGCAGGACTGGGCTGGTGCTGGCTTTGACACCTGAGTGGTGATGCGTTAGTGGACTAGAGTCCCTGCAACTAACTGCAACTGCAACAGCAGACGGGAGAAAATAAGAGGAAAGAGTTCCAGCTTTAACGCTACTTAATGGATGTTTTTCTACCTAGGTACGGCTCTGGCCTGTCAGGGACTGGACTGGACGTGACCGGGACCAATGAGCGCTTGTCCGTCTTGGTTCAGCGCCACGTCCTTACCTGCAGCTTCCATAACTTTATAATACGTGAGTAAAGACCCTGATGACATGACCTGAATATTATATCTACTTGTGTTAACTTGAGATCCATCTGATCCGTATGGATTGAGTGTTGGATCTCTAACAGCCCAGTCATAGGTATAGCAATAACGGTACAAAGTAAGGTACCTAGGCATATTCACAACTCTCACATTCACTCACTCCTTTGTTCCCCGAGTCTCGGAGTCGATAAATTACCTGTAACCCCCGTTCATCTCGGAACATAACTGGTGACTCTATTATTACGGGCAACTTCGCGGCGCGACTGGCCGTCCCTTGTTCTATTTACAGTCCACCGGGCACGTAAATACCCACTCGTCAGACTCAAAGTGCTCTTTGATGAATGAGCGAGTAAAGAGCTAATGTAATTACTACAAGGTTCGCCGAGAAGGAAGTGCGGCACTGAACCATTTGCCTACCAACCTTAACTCTCAAGGTATTGCCATGTGTATTGAATATCCGATATCTCGAGCACCTTGCCAAGACAAAAGCACCTATGTTATGATAACGCGACTGGCAGATGGGATACGTTCATCAAATAAGTTGACACCCGCCCCAGGGTGTCATAAGAATTGGCCCTCAAGGGAATAAGAGACGAAATAATTCGATCACTTTATGCTAGCATCTAGGCTACTTTATTTCTGTAGCCTAAGTCTTGGAGAACATTTCTTTTGACACCCCACCCGACCCGGAATCCTTGTTGTACGACAGGAACTCACATACTGGGATCGTGCAGTCAAAGCCTTCACTTCACATATATTCATCTTCAAGAACCCAACCATCATGAAGGATCTATGCTTGAGTTCAATACAACAACCACTCATGTTTCTGGAAACCTCTGGAAACCTTCTGGGTGTGCCGACTTTATTTAGGCACTCAGATGATGCTTTTCACTTCTAGACTTCTAATAATCCCCTTCCTCAGTAAAGAAACAGCCTCTCACTGAGCGCATATCATAGCGTGCATACAAATCAGCTCGCCCGCACACACAGAAGAATCATGCTTGACACCTACAGGATATGCAGCTCGGGATAAACAGACTGGCATGAATCCTGGCGTGTCGTGTGTTACGACCTCGTGACATATACCACCCAGCTTGGGCTTCGCCTGCACACCAACCAACCTCCACTATGGGTCTTAGTCTCATCCAAGCTACCTACATATGGGCCGAAGGGCTGACCGTCTCCGAGCCACCTAAAATTCATCTTACCTCAGAAGAATAAACTGTATTGTGCGAATTAACCCTATCAAGATATGAGAGTCACTGGCTGCAGATGTATGGCTCCCACCGGTCTCGAATGAGTCCACCCACGATAGATTCCAGACCTGCCCTAGATGGCAGGTCGTCGCGGTCAAGACTGTAGAGGAAACTTACTCTCGGTCAAATGCTGGAAAGACATGGTTCGCTTGCAATTCAGGTGGCCCAACGAATCATGTCAAGGCGGAACGAATACAGGGAAGGATGTCATACCAAGCCAGCTCGTGCTTCATTCGTGACGTAAGATAGAAACAGATACAGCAGGTTCGTCAGAAATATGCGAAGAACTGTGGCATCCAAGTCGGTAAGGATGTGAGCATAATTTTATTGTGGTTGAATCCAAATTTTGAATGGTAGACAAGCGTTGGCTGTCCACGACCTCACGAGCTGGTAAATCTTGCACTTTATGGCAGCTGGCGGGTCGTTGAATGGATCCGAAACCATGCAATTCTTTTTTGTTCATTGCTATTCGATCGGCTTCTATGTGACCGAAGTTCGGGTGTCGACGTCCAGATCGTCACCTCGTAATGTAGGCACGAAATCATATCCCCCCGTACACCATACCGAAAAGCAAAGCCATTTTCCCCTTTCGCTAAAGTCCAACCTTAAACCTCAGCAATCTCTCGGAGTCGTCGCAGAGTCGATCGCATAGCGGCGGCAGCGGGGGTGCTGTTCTATAGTCAGTACTCTGTCGTATGTTGTAATGCCGGAGCAGGAACGGAAGGACGCACGCAACGACGTAAGCACCACCAGCAACGGTGCGCTTGCAAGACTTGCAGTCCCAGATACCGGTAGCCTGGCGCTTGACGGTGGTCTTTCCGCAGAAGGTGCAAGTGTACTTGGCGTGCTGGGTGATTTCCATCTTCTTGACCTGCTTTCGCAGGGAAGCACCGTAGCTAGAAAATGTCAGTTTCCGTGGTCGTCTGATTCTATCCAGCCATAGCACTTCGATTCTGTTGCTTGTCTCATGCTGTCCTAGGCCTGCCCTGTTTATCCCTTCACTAAATAAATCCGTTGGGTCGAATTGATGAGATCAATAATGCATCGCTTGGTCGTGGAACGTCGACACGGGAAACAGAGTCTCGGACAGCAGAGAAGCCGCAACAGATTCAGACCGGGGGAGAGTAGTCGGATTCGAAATGCTTCGGGCATGGATTTTCGTCGTGATAACTTACCGGGTACCGTATTTACCGCTGTAGCAATGTTAGCTTCTGCACTTGATTCATCACATCGAGAGGACGATACATACGTAACACCGACCTTCTTTGTTCGCTTGGTCATCTTGAAGGTTATGTGTGGGACGTCTTGGGGAGGATGAAGACGAGAAGATGGTCGGGCGGAGGTGAATGTTGCTCGACTGCGGTTGGGAGGCTGACACCGAAAATGTTGCAATGGAAAGAGCGACTTGTGGTCCTTAGGGCAAGCCCACCCGACTTTCGCGAGTGGGTCCCACCTTCCGAATTTTGATTCCGGATAAACACCGGACAGTGATTTTGGGGCCTTTGATACTCCGACTCGTACAAATTCAATTTATTGAGTCTGTCTATTGTCTGCATGATTCATGTGATAAGATAGTCTTCAACATCATCACTCTTGAAGAGGTGTTGATCAGCCACACCGAAGAATATGAAATCTTCACATGATAAGTGTCTATTCCTGTATAATAATATGATCTTGAAGGTATCTTTACGTAGTACTTGCTTGGGGTGATCAATCTATTCATGAGAATATTCACAGAAACTTGACTGCAACAAATAAAATGAAAAGAGCTGGCCAAAGCTGTAATAAAATGACTGATTAATTCTGTCTTTTGTATCATCAGTACTTAGTCAAGTGTCCTTTGTCACCTCAAAGTCGAGGTTCATTTACATCGAATTAAGATGCTGATGGCGATGGCAGGGCCAAGATGTGCATGCAAGGATCCCTGTAGCCAGTCACCGTTGACTTTATTGGGAAACTGTCGAAAGAGGTACCTAGCTTCAATGATGTAAAGGCGGAATGTCTTAACATCAAATAACCTCCTCAAACTTAAACTGATCTACATACCTTCAACCTTACAAACTGTTGCTGGGCCATTGCTGCAGACTAATCACCGCTCAAATACTATCATTGCACATATCATTGTCTTCCATCATGCCACTCATCAAAGATCATGGTCGCCAGTACGACGTCGTTGTCTTTGGAGCTACTGGTAAGTCCTCAATTACGATTTGAGGGGCAATGGTAAATATAGAGTTCTGACTATATCAAGGTTATACTGGGAAGCTCACAGCTGAGTACATCACGACACACTTGTCAACCGATCTCAAATGGGCGGTTGCAGGACGTAATGAGTCCAAGTTGAAAGATGTTGTTGAAGAATGCAAGAAGATCAACCCTGACCGACTTGCACCTGGTAAGAGAACCATGTGCCCGCACTTCCAAGATTAGGGACTGATAGCAGTATGAAGCCATTGAGATTGCGAACCTGAATGACCAAGAGTTGAGCGAACTCGCCAAGAAGACTTGTGTCCTCCTCACCACCGTTGGGCCATACAGTCTCTATGGCGAACATGCTTACAAGGCATGTGCTGAGGCGGGTACTCACTATGTGGACGTCACGGGTGAAGCTGCCTGGGTTCACAAAATGATCAAAAAGTATGAGGCAACAGCCAAGAAGACGGGCGCCATTCTCATCCCACAAGCTGGAATTGAGTCATCTCCCGCTGATCTCAGCACATGGGCGTTGGCCAAGGCAATTCGTACTGAGCTGGGCTCTCAGACAAAGGACGTGACCATATCTCTTCACGAAGTCAAGTGAGTTTACTTCTGATATCAATTCTTAAACCAGCACAGCTAACCAACTCGCAGCTCTTCACCCTCCGGAGGCACTCTTGCTACTGCTCTGAGTATCTGGGATGTTTTCACACTCAACGAGATCAAAGAGGCCAGCAGTCCATATGCGCAATCGCCTATTCCCCATAAAGAACCGAAAAGACCCAAAAGCTCTATCCTGCAAATGATTCTTGGTGTTGGAAGTGTACCGAATCTGGGACTCTTGACTACATCTGTAGCAGGCTCGACTGATGTTGCAGTCGTTGAGCGTACTTGGGGTCTGTTATCTGAGACGCCATCCCGAAAAGAAGAGTTCTATGGTCCTAATTTTGTCTGGCAAGAGCGCATGAAAGCCCGTAACTGGCTTCATGGAATCTTCATTCATTGGCTGTTAATCATCGGTGGTGTTTTGCTTGTCTCAGTTGCGCCATTGAGAGAGTTCCTCAAGAAGCGAGTGGTTCAGCCTGGTCAAGGTGCTAATCGCGAGGAGACAGCGAAGGACTATGTCGAATACCGTGGCATTGCTCATCCTGACTCTAAGGAACATGCTGGTAAAGCTGCTTTTAGTCGCATGTGGCATCATGGTGGCATGTATTTATGTGAGTTGGATATGTCGTGTGAAAAGCTTCTGGGCTGTGTGCTAACATGATTATTCATAGTGACTGCTGTTCTCCTTGGTGAGATTGCTGCCACGATCCTCGAAGACCCAATTGAGCTTGATGGAGGATCTTATACTCCTGCATGCTTGGGCCAAGGCCTGATCGACCGATTGGATAAGTCAGGGCTTAAGTTGGACGTCAAGATTATTGACGAGTAAATTTGCGTGTTAACAGAATTAGGCTATTTACATGTGACGCAATGACGGGGTGAGGGGTGACGAATTTTATGGGTGGGAGAGTTGCTTATATAGAGGTATAGTATATTGGGAGTTGCAGGCTTATATATAAAAATTACTGTTTTCGCTCAATGTTTACTTCCATATAATATCATGCATCGATGATCGAAGCCTCATATACCTCTTCCAGGCATGTTCGTTGCTTGCAGGACGTTCTAGGCTGTTTTAGTGGCTTATTATTATCTGCGCCCCGCAAGAAGCTCGTGCGACCCAAGGAAGTGGATCGCTACTGTCGACGCGGAAATGAATTTGAGCCTGACATCATTGGTAGAGTTTCCATCCATTATACCAACCGAGACTTCGACTCCAGAAAGGTTCTTCACCTCGACACCATAACAGAAGCTAACCTTGATCGTCCATTTTTAACCGCGATTCTGGGATTGCTCCTAATTTGAGGATCTGGACTCTCTCAAAGAGTGATGCGCGCGACTGGAACTTCATTGCACGCCGTCTAATTATCTCGACTGATCTTCCTGACCTCATCACTTTCAAGCTTCGCCGGCATAAACCGAAATGGACTCCCAAACCACGTCGTCAGACGCTACCCCCAACGAGTCGTCGCCTCTACTTCCGACCACAGAGAATCGTCCCAAAGGAACTCGATCCGTCACTTTTAGCGACAATCCTGTTACAAAAACCTTTGAACCCGGTCGACAACAACATTTTCAACGAGCTCCAGGTCATCATGCTGCTGGCTCTGCTAGCGGCGCCGCTGGTGGCCCTCCCATGCTCGCAGCTCTCAACAACAAGCTAAGAAGACGAAACAGTCAGGGCTCAGTCCCTGCGGTCGCCCATCTGGCTTTTGGACCCAAGATTGGTCCTCAGCGCAGCACCAAGAAGACGGAAAAGCTTAAGCTGCTTCCCAACCCTGACCTGGACGACCCCGAAGACGAGGAGAGCGGAAGAGATGTCTACTCTCAATACACACGTATCAAGGATCCTGCTGCGCGTAGAGATGCTGCAAAACTGGGCAAAGCGGATCGTGATCGCCTGCCCCGTGTCACCGCATATTGTACTGCAAACAGATACGAGATGGAGGCTCTCATGCGGTTCTTGAAAGGACGTGGAAAGACTCGAGGCGCGAATCCCAAACTCATTGACGAATGCATATACACACCGTATAACTACACTTCAAAAAGCGCGCGCAGTCGCGACCCGGTTCAGAACTATGAGCGCAGACATTCCACTGGAGGTGACGCTATCGAAGTCGCGCAGCAACAGAGAGCAGATCTACAGGCGGAAGAGGCTGCATCGGAAGCCCACGGACACAATGGTAACGGCAATGGCTCTCGCATTGAGAGCGCGGACCTGCTAGGGTCTGCGGTGGAGGATCACGACTCAATAAGCGAGACCAACCCCGACTTTGACATACAGGTTCATACGCCCGAAGTTTTCTTGTTCGACTACGGTGTGGTAGTCATCTGGGGAATGACCGAGGCTCAGGAGGCCCGGTTCCTGAAGGAGATTGCCAAGTTCGAAACTGAGAAGCTTGCGCCAGATGATGTCGAGACTGAGCTGTTCAACTTCTACTACACCAAGGACTACCAGGCTCGTATTTACAATGATTTCATCACTCTTCGCGACAAGAACAACTACATGACAAAGCTTGCCATCTCTCATGCTTTAGCGCAGAGTGTCAAGGTTAGTGAAGCTACCATTCTGCAAATTCTGAGTATGCTAACCGTTTTAGACTTCACTATTCGAAGAGTTGATCGCATCGACAGTCGACACCTGCAAGGACATCCCCACACAAATAGCCACGACAGGAAAGATCGCACTTAGGAGGTCGCAGATCAACATGCAGATTGGAGAGCTATTCATCCTGCGTATTAATATCCATCTTAATGGATCTGTTCTCGATACGCCTGAGCTCTTTTGGGTCGAGCCGCAGCTTGAACCTGTTTACCAAGCTGTCAGGAGCTATCTGGAGATGGATCAGCGTGTTGGTCTCTTGACGGAACGTCTCGATGTCATAGCAGATTTGTTAGCTGTGCTCAAGGGAGAGCTCAGCCATGGTCATGACGAAAAGCTCGAATGGATTGGTAGGTTTTCAGCGTTCCCATCATCAAGTCAAACCAGCTAACCGCCCCCAGTGATTGTGCTTATTGCAGCCGAGATTCTCGTTGCTGCTATCAACATTGTGGTGGATTTATACGTCGGCGAATAAGGGTCTTCCCGATCAAGCTAATTTTGTCCTTTCATTTCACATCTATTCCAGCGTAGTTTGATAATGTTGAGCTTATGTGTTTCAGTGCGATATTGGAATCAAGAACCCAGGCAAAACAAACGCAGGGGATCGGGAGTAACGGTGCAAAACTTTCAAAGTATTAGATAGACGGGCTTCGCGGCAGGATTCAAGATTATGCGCGCGAAGAAGTTGTCTCTTCTTGGTTAAATCTATGCTGTTAATCCTTTCTCAGACTGGCTGTCTTTTGATTTGTGAAAGACAACTCCAAAACTAGTACATTACAATGGCCCATATCGTATGTGACCGAAGAACTGTGAACCCGCCAAAACGCCCCCCTTAGAAAAATGCATTTCAAGCTGCTCAGTCTTCAGCCTTCTCACCAGCCTGGGTGTCCTGGTCCTCGGTATCATCGCCCATCTCGACATCCTCATCGAGGGCTGCAGACTTGGATTCGCTAGGCTTGTCCTCCCTCTTTTCCGGCACAGGAGACTTCTTTGCTTCGGCACTCTTGATCTCTTCATATCTCGCTTCGAATTCCTCCTTCTCACTTTCAGGAAGTGACTTCCACATCTGCGCCAGCTCATCGTCGATGTTCATGTTTCCGTCACCGTCCTTGTCCTTGTTCTCAAGATCAGGCCGTCTGTCCATGCAGTATAGCTCGAAGGCACTGGCAGGCTTCTTGTCATCATGCGAAGAGACACCATTTGCATGCTCTGACTTGGCTTGACTTTCAGGTGGGTGTGAAAAGGTATCGGACGTAGGAGAGCCAGCAGCATTGGCAAAGGATGCACCGGCGGGTGTCTTGGCATCGGCATCGGGCATCATGGACTTGCGATGGCCTCGCTTTGTACGCAAAGGCTTATCTTTTGGCTTCTGGTGGTTAGCAGCTAACTCACTGGGTGTGTTGAATTGGTAGTCCTAATCCAAGCGCAAAAACATCAACATTGAACCGGGTGCCGTGAAGAAGGGAGGCGCGGCAGACCAGGTAAAAGGATTGCCAGGTGAAGGGGAGGGAGAATTGTGGTTAGGAGATGGGGAGTGCTTACTGTTGGAGGCGGACTAGGACTGCCATCTGAATCTTCGACGTTTGCGCTTGTGCGCTTTGCAAGCTGTTCTAGCAAGAAGGCGCGCTCTACTCGCATCTTCTCGACCTGGCGTTTTATGCGGGCGAGGCGAAGACGAGCGGCGTCGTTGGCCTCCTCAACCTCGTTGGTGCGATTCTTGAGCTGGACGCATTTTCGTCGGTATGCTTCCTCGACGGATGGAGGTAGAGTTGAAGGAATTGCTGTTGAAGGAGGAGGCGGGTCAGCTGAAGGTGCCTTTCGTTTGATGGTTATGGTCATCGTGGGCGGTTGATTGGCGTTGCGGAATTGACAGCAGCGAAGATGTTGATGTTGATGCTGAGATTGAAGGCGACGTGCGCGACCGAGAGGGAAGTGTGAAAGGATAGTGTGTTGGTGGTAGTGCAAGGGATGTGCTTAAGCCTTAATCATAGGCGTTGAAGTCGCAGCTGCAGCAAGCCAGGCTACTACCAACAGATAGAACCCACCACGATCCATCAAAGAATGGATGTCGACTATTGATTGACTTGGACTTTGGCAATTACAAACTTACCAGGCATGACTGATGTGTATAATTTGGTACTTGACAGTTCTGTTTTCCAGTAGATTGTCTCCAACAAGGACACTTTCCAGGCTTTGGGCAGGCAATTGAATTGGCGCAGTTGTTGACGTATGAAGGTCAACCAACTTGGCTGAATCGCTAAGCGTCGGGTGCTTTGATGTAGCGACTGTTAATCAGTTGAGTTGATTCGCATGTAGATTCGTGGAAATAGAAAGTGAAATAGTGTTGAACCCAAAATAACTCAAGTGTCGCAAGAACAAGTGAAGCTGCGCAGTTGACTGCAGGTGTTGAAATTAGAAGTCTAGATAAAATGAGATGAGATGCAGTGTTTGAGTTGAAACCCGCGTTAATCAGCCATGGATCGCGACAGGAGCCGCGCCCGTCGCTAGGTTGGTTGGGCGAGGCTCTAGCGATAGACAGGCCAGGCCTAGACAGGCCAGGCCTAGACAGGCACGCAGTGTCTTCCCGTCACCAATGGAAGCTTTGCCCGAGCGTGTCATTTCTTCCGCCACAAGCCACGGCTGCAAGGCTGTAAGGGGTTTGTGGCGTTCCAAAGTGATTGGACAGATGGACCCCTAAGAAAGATGCCCCTCGAAATATTAAGCAAGGCTACCTCTTCATGGCCACTGTTACAGGAGATGTTAAATATTCACTTTCTTGAGCTCAATTCGAGTTTCATACTCGTACTATAGTCCAGGTATTATACAACCACAAATGACTTATATAAATCACTATTTCCCATAATGTAGCATCACTTTCACTTCAGATACCTGAGACTCAGGAAAATAGGCGGTCCAGGCAGCCGGGTACGTACCTACCCACTAAACCGACCGCCCACCACACCTGTCCATGGAAGTTTTTGTGGTGGGACACTGAAGCTAGTGGGCGAAATCATCTATCAGGAGCATCAACCTCATCTTTCTACCAAAGACATCCACTCCTTGCGACGACTCGAATACAACCACACTTCGAGAGCGCTTTGTGGTATTCAAAATGTCGCTCAATATCCCAAACGCCCCTAACTCGGGCCTGTTCAAGCAGGGTTATAACAAGTGAGTTGTCTTGTCTTGTCTCGATCCCCTCCTTGTTCTTCTACTTCTGCTGTTGCTGGCAGCTCCCCGCCTCTTTATGTGTCTCTCGCCGTATCCCACCCTTATGGCTGCAGCCTTCTTCTTGCGAACCAAACTGACCAATATTCTTTCCTCTCTACAGCTACGACTCTGAAGATGGCGCTGTCCTCCGTAACATCGACGCCTGCAGGGCAATTGCTTCCACCGTCCAGACCTCTCTCGGCCCCTATGGCCGCAACAAGGTCGTTATCAACCATCTGCAAAAGATGATTCTTACCTCCGACGCTGCCACCATCCTCCGAGAACTCGAAGTCGTTCACCCCGCCGCTAAGCTCCTCGTCATGGCCAGTCAGCAACAAGAAGCTGAGATGGGCGATGCCACCAACCTCGTTATCGTCCTTGCTGGCGAGCTGCTTCGAAAAGCTGAGGACCTGCTACGCATGGGTCTGAAGACATCAGATATTGTTATTGGTTATGAGAAGGCTCAGAAGTTCGCCCTTGAGACCCTTGAGGAGCTTGCTGTCGATAAGGTTGAGGATATGCGGGATCAGGAGGAGCTCAGCAAGGCCATCAGCACCGTCATTGCCAGCAAGCAAAACGGTAACGAGACTTTCCTCGCCGATCTCGTTGCTGAGGCTGTCCTTGCTGTCCTTCCTAAGAACCCCGCTAACTTCAACGTCGACAACATCCGCGTCGTCAAGATCATGGGTGGAAGCCTGGAGCAGAGCAAGGTTGTCAAGGGTATGGTCTTCCCCAAGGAGCCCGATGGTTCGGTCAAGAAGGCCACCCGCGCCAAGGTCGGTGTCTTCACTTGCCCCATCGATGCTGGACAGACCGAGACCAAGGGAACTGTTCTGCTGCACAACGCCAAGGAGATGATGGATTTCACAAAGGGCGAGGAGTCTCAATTGGAGACATCTATTAAGGAGCTTTACGACTCTGGCCTTCGTGTCGTTATCTGCGGTGAGCGAGTGGGTGATCTGGCCATGCACTACCTTAACCGCTTTGGCATCCTGTGCATCCGAATTCTCAGCAAGTTTGAGCTTCGAAGAGTCTGCCGTGTGGTTGGTGCCACCCCCTTGGCGCGATTAGGAGCCCCCATGCCCGATGAGATGGGAAGCATCGACGTTGTTGAGACCCTCGAGATTGGTGGCGACCGAGTTACAGTCTTCCGTCAGGAGGATGAGGTTACCCGAACGGCTACCCTGGTTCTTCGAGGTGCTACCCAGAACCATCTTGACGACATTGAGCGTGCTGTCGACGACGGTGTTAATGTTGTTAAGGCCATTACTCGCGACCCTCGACTGGTTCCTGGTGCTGGTGCCACAGAAGTCGAGCTTGTTGAGAGGATACAGGCTCACGGTGAGAAGACCCCCGGTCTTAGCCAGTACGCTATCAAGAAGTTCGGTGAGGCTTTCGAGGTTGTGCCTCGCACTATCGCAGAGAGTGCTGGTCTTGACGCCACCGAGGTTCTGAGCCGACTGTACGCTGCTCATGCCAACAGTGACAAGTGGGACATTGGTGTCGATATTGAGGTTTGTTTCAGTTCAAGCCACGAATCATGAGGAGCTTTCTAACTTTAATGCAGAACGACGATAACACTGGCCTTCTTGATGCCAAGGATGAGGGTATCCTCGATCTCCTCATTTCCAAGCAATGGGCTATCAAGCTTGCCACCGAGGCTGCCCGCACAGTTCTGTCCGTTGACCAGATCATCGTGGCACGACAAGCTGGTGGACCAAAGCCCCCAGGTCCCAACCCTGTTTGTTTCCCTTCCTCCTGCTGCAAAAAGTCTTATCTAACTGACGATCACAGAACTGGGATGAGGACTAAATGGATAATGCTATGTTCAAAACGGATAAAGTGGGCAAAGAGTATGATATGTGAGATGACTATACGGTGTCATGGCTATAGAGATATCCTCGCAGATAGGAGAGTCAAAACATGTGCACATGTAATTATGCGTGCCCGATGATCATGGGTAGATTGTACCATACCCCCTACTTAGATCACAATCCTCCCAGGATTAATATCACAATCGAAAACTCGTACTCGCTCCACACCACGATGATTGGGTGCTTGAAGCTTGATGAGGTGTTCACCCCTTACAATGGGGGTGACACAAGATCGTTGATCAATATTTGATGATCAGACTTAGCTTCTACGGCCTATAGTCTACGTTTAGAAAGTCGAACACATATTGTCAGGCTCATCACATATTATCGGGAACAGGATATACGAAGATTGAATGGACTCGTGCATTGAATTCGTAAAGCTCTTTAGCGCATGTAGCTATATACATCGGCTAGTACCTATATCCCCAACAATAAAGTATATAAAAGACAATTCAAACTGTCTATGACAAGACTCAATCATACAAGGGAGCCTGAAGAAACGTAATCGACATATCTCGGGCATTTTTTCCAGTCCCACTCCCCCAAACAATAAGACCACGAAAACATCGTCAAAGCAGTATGGCTGAGAAATAGTTACAGCTGTGATTGCTCGATATTAATGAGTCACAGGGGGCTCTAATAATGCACGGCAATGCAAAGCAAGTAAACACAAATAACATCAAGTAGGAGTTGCGCCAGATAGTTGGTAGATTCAAGGGGTATCGAACAATTCCAGAGATAAGTCGAGAGACAATGCTGGTATCTCTAACCAACTGAAGAAAAGAAGTAGCAAATGATAATGTGGGAAATGTGTAGGTGTTTTTGGGTCGTGACGGGTCATGAATGAAGATGAAAATAGGAACCGGATGGTCATTCTCGTCGTGATGATGTTGTTAGAGAGAGGCTGGGCGAAGGATAAAGGATTAAGACTCTTCAGTGATGCCGCCCTCGCCGCCACCATCTTCACGCCATTCTCTGCTCTTCTCTGTAAGCTTCTTTACGCCACTAACACGGCACGCCCATAGCCCCTCAATAGGAGTGCGATAGGTGAAGGCGCGCTGGGAGCTGATGACGCCAATGGCTTGCAAAACAGCTTTGCGGCTGTCGCGGCTGAACACAGCAGGATGGTTGATCCATTCAAGGCTGCTCTCCAGTTCGGCGTCTAGAGCGGCCACAGTGTTGGCATCAATTCCGGCACCGAGGCCGAGACCGTCGGTAGAACGGCTGCGGCCAAGCTGCGAAGAGAAGCCGTTGGTGCCAGAGATCGCCGAAGCGGGGGGCGAAGGACTCCGCTTGCCATCAGGAGTGGTTGATAGTCCTGGCGAAGCCTCATTGCCAGGATGAGGAGTTGAGGGGGCTGACGGGTTGACCTTGCCAGATGGAGGGATCGGGGGAAGTCCGCCCTTACCCAGACCCTTCAGGATCGATCTGGTTTCGTTCAAGAGGGTGTGCGCCCGATCATGCTGGCCGCGGCCTACCAGAGTGAGGGCACGGGTAAGCATATCGGAAGTAAGGAGCTCCATACGTCTCTGCACGATACTGGGGTGGGGAGGGATAGGAGGAGAGTTTTGCCATGGCTTCTTGGAGCTTCCGCTCATTGGGAGCATAGTGATGGCGAGAAGAGATGGTCGAGGCATATGCGTAACGGTACCCTCACGCAAGATGTCTCCCCAGCTCAGATCCGCTTGAATCAATGGGACCTCTTCCACAGAAAGGGCCCTTTCATTGTCGTTGTCCATAGGGCCGCCAAGAGCCTCAAGACCTGACACAATGTTATCCCAGGGATCCTGAGGGAGTTGTTCTTGAGAAGTGTTATCAGGAAGAATGACCAGCTGAACAAGAACATCCCGCTTGTCACCAAATCGGAGGTCGCCAAGAGACGCCTCTGCATCTCTACCTGTCGCTCGCTTGGTTATTTGCAGAGCGCCGCTGATCTTGTGGAATTTGGCGGGCGATCCTTCAGGAAGTCTAAGCTTGAGCTTGACGTTCTGGTGAGACAAAGTCTGCATACTTCCCAGGCATCCAGCAAGGCACTCCCGAAGCATCATCCAGTCCTTGACATATGTGTAGGAAGCCTTGGTTCTTGTCGACAGCTCGATCATGGTATCAGGCTTGTGAGTCATTCCCAAGCCAAACGAGTGAATGGTGATCTTAGCGGCTTCCGCTCGTGAAACAACAAAGTCGACACTGTCAGCATCCGAAGTAGACGCGTCGCTGATCAACATAATAGAGGCGATAGGGTTGTTGTACTTCCTTTGCATGAGGAGGTCCATTGCAACGTTGGCACCCTCAACGACATCAGCGCGGTGGCTCTTTTGACCAACAGGCTTAATGGAAGTCAAAATATTGCTCCAGCCAGGCCAGGCCTTTGTAGTCATGCCAACAATTGGCACGCCGCCGCCACCTGAGCCGAACGTGACCAAGCCCATGCGATCGCGTTCGCCAAGTGTGTTGACCATAAACTTGAGGGCATCCCGAACAAGGTTGATCTTAACGCCCTGCATGGAGGAAGAGATGGGTACAACGACAACGACGTCAATGGGAACATGGATAGACTTGGCCATGGCCGGGCTTCGAGGAAAGTTGGTGTAATCTGTAGGGGCTGTGGTGGTAGATCTCGCGCCGTTCCACGATGAAGCTACCGAGGAAACTCTTTGCGGGCGAGATCGCTGCCAATCGAGTTCTTCGTCAGTTTCCGACTCGCCGCGGTCATACTCAGGGCTGCGGACAGGGGAAGTCTCTACAGCGTTGAGGTCAAGAAGAGCTTGTTGCCACAGCTTCAGCTGGTTACGGTTCTCGAAGCGGAGATGGAACTGAGGCAGTTCAGCAACCGAGAGGCTGAGTGTAAGAATGTTCTCGTCGATATTTCCCGTTTCTGATACCTCGTTGAGGTGCTTCTTAATAAGAATCGAGCCCTTCAGAGTGCATCGAGTCGCCTTGCGGGGGGCACCGTTCTCATCCCATTGTTGGGATTGCGGAATCTTCTTCTCCTTCACGCAAATGAGCATCTCAGCAAAGAGGAAACACTCCAATTCCTGCCATGAAACTTTGTCCTTGCCCACTCTAAGGGTGCCATAAAGTCTCAATTTTCCGAATCTGCTGAAGTCCAAACCATGCCAGTTGTCAACACGGTTGCGGAGGCTATCTGTCATCTCCTCCAAAGCGTCCGTAGACTCATAAGGATAGAAGCGAGGCGCACTGCGGGCGGGCGAGGGTGGACGGCCGTAGGCCTCCTCGGCACGGTTACCGGCAGGAGGCTGAGGAGCTTGGGGCCCCAAGTCTTCAGGGTCGGGCCTCCACTTGTTGTCAGGCACCTCAACAGTAACCAAACAGGTAAGTGTTTGTTGTTGACGTGACCTGCTGAGAGTCGGGAACTCTGAGCGGACAGTAACAATCGGTGCTGGTATCGGGTTACGTGTGACTGCTCGTGGGCTGGTCGGTGTGGTCTCCATCGCTTGGACATCATAGTCATGGCGTCTGGCAGGTCCGCTTTGTGTTGTCTCAGGGTATCCTCCGGATGATGCCACTCCGGTAGCCTCACTATCACTGCGAGCATGTCGTGAAGGTCCATATCGATCCGACGATGGTGCATCGCGACTGTCTCTCATGCTGCCTCGAGCCACACTATCACGGCCGCCAGCATGCTGTTGCTGCTGTTGTTGCTGCATAGGGCGCCTCTGGTTGCTCTCAACACTGGGCGCACGACCTGTTTGGTTCTCCCATGGTGTTGCTGCCGGTGTCGGTGTCGGTGTCATAGCAGACCTCGAGTCCGTGCCGACTGACCGCACCATGTTGCTGATTTTTTCTTGGCTTGTTGTTAGTTTGCTGTCCGACTGTGCAAAGATTGGTGGCCTACCAATATCAATCACGTTTCCTCCTCTGCTAGTGTCCAAATGCAGGGGTGCGTCGCATGTTGGGCAATATTGTGACTCGAACTCGCGAATGAACTCGTAAAAACAAGCCTCATGGGAGACATGTGTACAAGAGAATTGCAGGATGCGCTCGCCTCGCAAGGTGTGCTCGAGAGGCTCTTCACATACTGCACATTCGCTGCCGACAAAGGTACGCTCTCGCCTTGAGCGGGTTCGATCGTTGTTGGAAGACATGACGTTGTTGTCGATACTACCGACTCGACGCGAATTGTTGCTTAGTCCCGATCTGACTGAGCCAGCGGAAGAGACAGAGTCCTGCCCACGAAGGGATTTCGACTTTATGGAATGTGATTCTGTAAATGGTCTGGAGTCTGTACCAGTTTGTGGTCTTCGGCTGCCTGATCTAGAGGCGCGGGAGCCAGCCAAGCCTAGTTCTCGAAGGTTTGTGGCAAGTGCTCTATCCTCGTCCCGCGTCTTGACTGATGCAGTATCGTGGTCCTGGTTTTTGCGCAACCGGCGAAACATTTAATAGCGACACCTTTTTTGCAGGGTGTCTTTTGATTATTGGTGCAAATCAAGCACTTATTCGAGACCAGTTATGTGTATTCAACGGCCAGGAATTGCTGGTGAAAGTCGGTTGAAGTTAAACGGTTGGTGGCGGGGGATCCATGCGGGTTTGAAATGTTTCAGTGAGATAGATAGAGTTGAAGATTGCGAGCTTCGTTGGCAATTGAGAATTGGAGGTCGGGGCCAATCAAAGGGGTGAGGAAACAAGATTTGGCGTGCGAAAAGAGCAAAGAGATATTATATGCTGATTATCGAACGAGATTGGCTTGAGTTTGTTGGAATTCGCTTGAAATTGTTTGCGATATGCGACAAGTCGGCTGCCTATGTGTCTGTTTTTGCTTTTTAGCAATACGCGATGTGATGCTGGTCTGGACTTGTCACTCACTTCTGGGAATGGCCGTCGAAACACTACTCCACTGTGAGAGAAGGATGCCGCAATCGTATCACCGCCAAACTCGTCGAAGAATGTAATTGCTTTTTTGCCTTCTCAGGGTGTCGTAAGATGAAGACTTTCGGTGGAGAAATTGAGTTGGTCGTGGAAGGCGATAAGACTCGTCGAATTTGCGCTCGCTCGCTGATAGGCAGGAATCCTTCCTTTCTTTTTTCTTTCCGGGAACCTATTAGGGTGGTCGATCCCAGAGTCTGCTTTGCAGTGCAGATGAGGGGAGGGGGGAGAGAAGGAGAAAAGGGAGGGAGAGAGAAACGTAAGGTAAAGATGTACCTGGGAAGGTCAAGGTTGAGGTAAAAAATAGTTGAAGCGAGAAAGGAAAACGAAATTACCAGAGCGTCAAGAGCACGAGCAAGAGCAAGAACCAAGAGCCAAAGTGGAAGGAAGTATATGGGCGTGGTGGGCTATATGAGGATGGTAGTTTCATTTCGTTCGCACCTGCACCGTACGACCGGGCCATTAACCTTGAGGCTTGAGTGGTGGCACCCAGCCAATCCTAATGAATCCAGGTCTACGGTACCTTCCTTTCCTACGTGTAGGTACCAGTAGCAGACGGAGGTCCTCCCTTTCAGAGCTTGGCCTACTCTTTGGCGCTTTGATGGCTTGCACTGGACTGACTGCACCGGTACGCTACCGTTCAAACTTCCTTCCATTCTGTACCCCTTGCCCTTTTCTTCCGGGGACTAGGATACGTCTTTCGCGGTGGCCGGGTGGATCTTCCATTAAGCTTGCAGGGGGCCGCCCCTGTTCAACCTCACAAAAAAAGGCCCGGGCTTTCTTACAAGGGGCCCCCAGGGAACCAGTCGCCGGTAGCCAGGATCAGGCAGGCCCAAGGCCAGGGCTGCCTTCACAGGTCCAGGCCGAATTCACTCACGTCAAGTTGCAGCGGTCCCCTGGTGGCCTCCTCATCCTCCCCTCTCCCCGGGGCGCCTCCCCCGGCAATTCGATTCAGTTCAGTTCGTCTCTGGGATCCCAACACCTAATTACAGTAATTGGCTTTCATCCTTCCTACGGTACGGTACGGCGTAGCAATACCGTCTTCCAGCTCTCAGGTCCCTGGCACAGTGAGATGGATGGACGGGAACTTTACCGACGACATGACCCGTTCAGGGACAATGTTCGGGGAATTGTAAGCTTTAAACGGTGATTGATATACAGTACCTACCTAGCTGAGGTAACATGTACCTGAGTACGTAACTGGAAGAGAAAGCTCATCTTTGGTGGTCAACTCCACCCACTATCAAATCTCTTGACTCGAGTCGAAAACGCATGCATGCGACGGAGTACCTTTCCGTACTATAGGCACCTTACCTTGTTCCGAACACCAAAAGTCGATCCAAATTCTAGGCTAGGTACCGTCATGGAAGGGTCAATCACGGCTTTGCATCTTCAAGCTAACTATAGTAGCGAGAACTTGGCCTGCTTCTGCCCGCAAAGCCTGGTAGCCTGACCACGTTAATCTCAGCTCTGAGAGGAGATCAATGATTTGATACGCCTATCCGTTTTGCTCTATTTCAGTCCCGTGCCACCACGCAGTCAGTGCACCGTCTATCTGCTTGTTGATGGCGTTTGGCGGAGCCCCCTTGTATGAGGAAATCAGGCCAAGCCAGGTGTCTGGGTCTTCAGTCTGGGGGGGTTCTTGCTCTTGTTCAAGTCCATATCCATGGTGCTTCAGGCCGTTTGGATCTAAAGGGACCTTCCACCAAAACCTTCCCTTCCCTCCCAGGGGAAAATCAGGGGTCCTCATAGCCAACTCGTGCCGTACCTGATTCACGTGGCTTCTGGCGTGCCGACACTGATCATCATCAGCATCCAAGACTAGCATCATGGTGTGGTAGATCAAATGCTGAGACTACGCTCTTTGCAGATACCACAGCGTCTTGTCTCACTTGTTTCTCCACACACAGAATGTCTTGACGTCTCACGGCCATAGCAGTCAGTGCATTTACATACATACGTGCGTTGGTGTCGACTCATAGAAAAGAGTCAACTGGTACTATCGAATTGACTTATCTCCGCTTCACCAGAATAGAGGCCGTGCGAGCCAGGTCGCAGACTCATGTGGCCTGTCGACGGTTGGTGTTGATTGGCAAGCCAAGCCAACTGGCCGCACAGTACCCATTTGCGAATTTGGAGCATCACGATGACCCGTTACTGATGCAACAAGAGACAGACTGTGTAGCAATTATCTGATGATGGATTCCAAACTATCGACCAGAACTGTGACAGATCAGAACAAAGTCTACGGATCTGCCGTGGCTAAGTTGCCGGATGTGCAAATTCCCTGTTCCACTTCCTGAGTCACGTAGGAAATCTGAGAACTGAGATCAGATCCGTAAGAAAGACAGCAAGGCAGTGCAAGATGAAACTTTTTGGCTGTCAAATGTTGATTGCTGATGTTTGGTCATCTAGATACCTTGCAAACTGGGAGAAAGGGACTTTGCTCGATGTTGTTCATTACATGTAAACCCCTCAAGTTCGTCTCACCCCTGCATTATTGGCTATTAAACCAGCACTGACTCTTTTCTTAACTCGAAATGCGGCCGCATGCGATGGATGATAACATCACGTCTGCGGCAGGGTAGACAAGGAAGAAAAGCTGGCAGTGACCAGATCCAAACTGGTGCAGCTGTAGGCTATTACTTCATGTATAACACCGAGACACAAATCACCTTCAAGCTTTAGGTAGGAAAAGTGGATGACATGACATAGCTGTCAGAACGAGATCCTGTCTTTTGAACATTTCGAGAGTCTAGCTTGGCTAACTATTTCCTCCTGGAGACAAACAGATAATCTGAAACGCACAAGAAACGATCATCGTGACTACGAACGGTATTGGCAACGGCGCAGTGCAGCAGAGCACAGCCAGAATAAACGGTTTCTGACTTAGAACAGGTTCCGGGCTTTGAAAAGGAGGGTCTGTTCTTGGTTGTATCAAAGCCACAAACGTCATAGAGAGGTACAGAGACACACAAGGAGAAGTGAAAAGGCCTTTCTCTAGATCTGGGTCCCTCAATGGTCCATGCTAGAATCGCAATCATAGCTTCGACCTGGTGTTTTTGAGCAGCAATCGATTCGAATCGTCCTGGAGACGGCGCCCTGCACCTAGTTTAGGGTCGTTCTACTGTGCTCTTGGTTTCGGTTAACTTCGATAGCGTCCCGAGAGGCCCCTGACCTGGTCTCTGTCGCTCAGGGTGCCCTCGTTTGAGGGGCTCCAAGTCTCTGGACTAGATACGTGATGTGATTGGGCGGGGGAGTAATCCGGCAGCCTTCCGTGACGGATAAGTGCCTGCAGTTATTGTCTTGGGTCCCATTAGAAGAAAGAAACCTAAAACATGCAGACGCGTGGTGATTGTGAGCGATCCTCTGGTGGTGAGTGACTATCCGTAGGTTGGATGATTGCATAAGCCAAGAGCCTCACAATAAGAATTCACTGCAGTTTTTGTTGATTTGGAAACAATCTGCAGAACCTGGCACAATATCAATACTCAAAGCACATCAGTGATTGTATGCATTGTGGGTATATGTATGTAGACGTCAACCTAGCCCTGATGTAGCGGGTCATGGGCCATCCGGACTATTCCCCTCTGCTTCTCAAATGGAACATTTCCATCTACATAAGGAAAAGTGTGACCCAGTTGCGTTGCGGTTCCGTTCTTGGTGCTCGCGTCGTACAGTAAGTCACTGGCAAGACTGGGCCCTTCTATCAAGATTGATAATGAAGATGATTCTTTCCAGGTTTCACTTTCACCTGCATCAGCAAACCCTCTCACGAGGACACGGAAATGATCTACACCTCCCAAAAATGGTTCGCACGGCCTGTGGTACCGATATGGGGTTGTGATCTCGCCTAGGGAGTATTGTCTTGGAAGCAAATGATCACCAACAGGGGGTTTGACTCTAACAATAGGCAACTTGACAGCAGCCTACCGTGAGAGAGAGAACTTGTCAGTAGCGGTCAGATAGAGTAATACGGGATGGAAGCGTCATTGGGAGAGAAATAAAAAAGAGGAGAGAGAGAGAAAAGGGTGTGATGTCGAGGTTAGCGCGCTTCCATGTCGCTTCCAGCAGATGTTCTATTCATTCGTAGTGGATGGAGGGGAAGAGATGGTGCGAACGGTCCCGGTCAAGTTCAGTCAGTGTCAGTGTCAGATCAGAGTAAGCAGTGAGCACTTTGTTGTCTTGCCATGACGGGCCGCTGCATCTGGTCTCCAGCTGAAGTTGAGTCAGTCAGACCAACCAACAAGATAGTCAGCCTCCCTCTGAAAGTCAACCACCACATATTTGATTCACCTCAAACACAATTTCCACGACAATTGCCAACTCAACTCTCTGCCTATATCGTACAATACCTTCCATATCTTGAGTTTACCCTGACCTTGCAGCCTGTCTACAATCTCAATATCACAACAGGCTTCTATAGTGAAGCTGTCGAGGGTCCATGTCCGAGCGCAGGCGTCAAGCTGAGACCCATGCTACGGCATAGCCTGATATTAATTGACCGTTGGTCTTAAGACGAAAAAGCTTGTCGGTATCTCCAAATTATTGTCGTATTCATAGTGACAAGAATAAGAAAGGGAAAAAATAGGGTCCTGTCTGTTGGTAATATCACTTTTACGATATGCGTCAACATACATATCTACATGCCATAATGAGGCTATCACTCCGAATCTAGACTAAAGAGTCCCCCAGAACAAGAGGACCCCTTGAACTTTGGAAGTCAATCCTTGCAGGCTTGGATCTGTTTCTTCAATACGGATACCATTCAGGCAATCGTCTCGTGGCGTGGGCAAACTCAAACGCCACGCAACCACTTCAGATCGTTTCCAACGACTCGTGGTGCTGGCATCTTGGCACTGGGATTGGATAACGACACGGACCCTTTTTCTGGTAGTTCTGGCCGGTCTCGTGCTCTTGAGAGGTGCTTCATCAGCTAAGCTCCTCTTGGGCTCGTAGTAGGGCGAATCGTGTCTCAAAAGGACCCTAATCGATGGTCCAGGGCTCCTCTTTGAGCCTGGCAGAACCCCATCACGATTGTATGGCATCGGTACATGTACCCTTCTTTTTCGACGCACAAAACGGTGACTTATCTCTCCGCATTGTGTCCGTACGGATACTGTATCGTTCGTATGCATGGCTTGGCCAGGCCTTGATGGATCACAATGACGATTCTCTCCGCTCGATTGCCATCCTGCCTTGTTTCTCTTGTTGGTGATGGTACTACTGTATGAATGTCATTCAGAAAACGAAAACATTCCTGACTCGGTATCTGCGTGTTTGTGAGGTTGAATACGAGACAAACTTGTCATGTGTTTTGTTGGTGGCAGTTCAGTTGCGGTACTTGATTGTTCATCACGCTTCTCCCACGTGGCTTGGTGGTTCACTAAAAAACCACCTGCAGCTCAGCAGTCTCGTTCTTTTCCAGGGCTTACCTTTAGTGGCAGAGGCTGAAGCTTGCGCTAACGTTAGTTTAGTTTAGGGCCCATCCGTACTAGGTAGTCTATCCCAGAGACCTGGACTGGACTTTTATTCTGATCACCACCAGAAAAGAAAAGTGAGATCAAACTGAGCTGAGTCTGTGAGAAAGAGGCACGAGTCAGGACTAAGATAAATCGAAATAACTCACGTCGATCTCCCGTATTGTCAGCATCTTCTATCCGTACTCTAGTTAGTGAAGTTTGAGAATGTGATAGACCAAAAAGACGTGTAAATCAATCGTGATGGACTTCCATAATACCTACTAAATTATGCAATCATCACTACCACAAAATACTTACATCTACAAGTTATGTTTCAAGGCTACGGATACACTAATTATTAAGTAAACTTGCAGCGTTCAGGGTCATAAAAATGAATACCCGCTTTGTTTTCACTCGCTTCTAAGCGATAAAGTAAAAATGTTCTATGTTGTATCGTCCTCTCTTCAATGTCGCTTCGGCTCGTAAAGCTGTTCAATAGCAATGCCGCGAATGCCCTATATGTGCCCATATTATACATCCATATGCCCACTTCAACTGCGGCCAGGGACCGTTGATTCGGATGGTGACCCATCATATGTTTCTTCTGTACCACTACTGGATACTACATGTATGTATGTGATTGTTGCTGCACCGCAGAGATGCATCTGCAGCGGACGACTAGAACAGTTATAGATATATACCGGTGAGCGATATTGTGACATTTTATTGATAGTCACCTAGGTATATATCTCGAAAGCAGCCGAATCACACTCAATGTAGTATTCGATAACCACCATCCGTCGCTGTCGAAACCCGAGACCGGCATTCGCCATGTGTTTCTGACCTTTAACGTTTCATCCCCCTCTTCCCCGGTAAAGACAAATACAAAGACACCAAGACCACCTGCGAGAGGCGAGAGGCTCCAGTCTCCATCTGCCTGAACTGAGAAGAGACAAGGACAAGGACCAGGCTTCATCCTCAAGCGTGCCAACGTCTCGGTCGGAAATGGGCGTTCCCACCCTCTCAATCAACAATATCCACTCTGACGCGGGGATCCAAAATCAAAAATGCTTCGCCTTTTCTTTGCTGCAATGCAAATGCAAGCTGCAGGCACTGAACAAGGTCAAGGAGGGTTCGGATGACAGCTTGCATTGTTGTTGGGATTTCACTAGGCAGAGTAGTCTTCATCTTGAAACTCTCGGTGACGTTGTTGACTCCTCTATTGCCTCTCTGGTTCTGGTTATGGCTCTCTTTCTCTTTTTTTGTTCTGCAGCTTCAAGACAGGCTCCTTCTTTGGGCTTTGGGCTTTGGGTATCGCTGATCGTCTTAATTTGCGTATCGTCAAGGACAGCATGTGCTCGTCAGGCTCAATTCCCCTGTTGTAGGAAGTGGGTAATGTCGATGGTCACGTAGTATTCCACTACCGAAGCGTCGTACACTCTGCAAATCCATGATCTCGCTTGCGGATCAAAATTCAAGACAAGACCCGGCAGTCTCCAAGTGGGCTGTTGTATGACTCTATGATTAGGAATTCAGACGAGAGGTATCCAAGCTAAGCGACGAAGGATTCTCACGTTGCTGCTCGTGTCTTTACCTGCTGGCGTAGCATACGTATCTGGTAACTAACCGGGACATCAGAGCTTGAGCGCAATGAATCTCGATATCGGTCAAGCTAATCGAGTGCTCGGATGTTAGAGTTAAAGCCCTTCAACATCAGGGCCCTACCTGGTCTTATCTTCGCCTTGCCATGCCTGCTCTCGTTCTTGCCGTGCCGTGTCTTGCCTTGAGACCAAACAAGGTACAGGATGGCTGACTTTTCGAGGCAAACAGAACATGTTTGAGTGGACGGATCTTTGTTACAAAGGTTGTCTGCGATAGCCCGGATAGGTATATCCCGGAGGCGCATGTGCTGTACAAGGTTGGAGTTTTGACTTTGACTTTTGACTGCGTGTCCATTGACTGGGTAGGATTATACAGTGCTTGAGAAACAAGGCTGATGGCTGAATAGCCTGCGTGTAAATTTTGATCTATGTAGAGATGTGCGTGAAATGTTAATTCCCGTAGCCAAAGTAACTGGATGAATGATTTTTGTGGTGTTGTAGGTATCTCAGCCTGTAGTTGGTATCAAAGCTGGCATTAAATAAAGAGCTGGCACTTGAGCATCCCCTTGCAGTAGTCTACTTGACAAAGAAGCCAGATCTTGGCTTCACAGCGCTTCGTCCTCTCTTCAAGAGGTCGTCCTTGCGGTTCTTTCCCTGCTTGTTCAACTTGGGCATCATCCTCTGGTCTGTCTTCTTCGCCACGCGGTACACTGTCGAGCCAATGCGCTCATCCTTTGGTCCCCTATTTTGGCGAGCAAGATCCTTTTCCACAGTGGCGACGCGACGTTTTCTGGGACGCTCCTCTTCTTGTTGGTCGTCTTCCTCCACCTCGGCCTCGTCCTCACTTGAGTCCTCCAACAGCTCGGCTGGCAGCAGGTTAAAAGCCTTCTGTTGCACGAGTGACTGGGCAGGCTCATCCTCCTCGTCGTTCTCTTCAGCGGGAGCCTCCTTCTCGGCCTTCTCTTTCTCTTCCTCCTCTAGCTTTTTGCGCTCTTCGGCTTGCTGCTTGAAGAAATCATCCCTCTCCCGACGCTTCTTCTTCTCTGCAGCAGCTTGTCTATTCGCATGTTAGCAATGTTTTGAATAATTGGTAAAGAAAAGTTTGACTGACTCTTGAGCTGCTTTCTGGGCTGCTTGCTTGGACTTCTTCATCTCAGACGCCACCTTGGAAGTTGAGACAGCCTCAGGAGCATCATCGTCGCTGTCTTCATCGCTGTCCGCTATCTCCTCCTTCTTGGGTGCAGGTGCAGGTTTCTTCACAGGAGCGACTGGCGCACTCATATCATCGTCATCTCCGAAAACGACCTTTGTAGCCTTTGGCTGTACTGGTGAACTGGGCTCGCCATCCTTGGCTCTCACAGGTAGTTTGCGCTTTTCTTCTGATGATGTTGTCTCAACGGGAGTCTCCTCTGCCTTTGTGGTCTTTTGTTCGGCCTTTCTCTTGCGTGTTAAAGGTGCCATTGCTGCTGAGTATTGTGGTTGACAAAAAGTTTTGGGTGAATATGCTGCGATGCGCCAACAGATGCGATAACTTCAAATCGCAATGTATTGTAGAATAATGTAGTGAGACAGTAGCAGAGTCCAATATCTTGGCCTCAGTGGTCGAAATGAATAATTAACAGCTTAAGCTGCTGTTGAATGTTAATGATTGTTGATGAAGCTCTTCTCTTTTGAACTGTATGAAAATGAAAATTTCAGACTGAACCTGCACCCCTAAAGTTTGAGCGAAATGATTGGCCGAATATGTCCCCACCAATCATGACTGGACCCATCAACTGTCTTGAGCTTCTATCAACATGAATGAGACTTGGAAAACGACTCTCAACTCAAGAGGATTGAATAAGAGCAGACATTTTGCTCATTCATTTCCATCAAACTTCAATATGTCACTTGCCTCATGCCATGTAAAGCCCAACACTGTGCGCCAGTTGTTACGCGCCACCTCTTCAACACCAAGGACAGCTATCATATCTACCTCTACCTCTACTCAGAACAGACCAGCAATAACCAACTTCAATTGCCATCAGACTCGTTCCTATGCTTCCCCTAAAGGACCAAGAGCCCCTGTTAGGAAACCTCCACCAGCACCAAAGCCCTATCGCTCGAGACCTTCCTCAATCCCGGATCTCAGTCGTGTTGAGATATCATTTGATGAAAGTTTTCTCGTAAATGGACGTCAAAGATGGCAAGGGGCTTTTAACTGGCGGAGCTCAAATGAGTATTTTGATTACGCAGACAAGTACTTAACAACCCTGAAGAATGTGGACGAGGCTCATAACATGAACCTTGCTGGTAAGTTGAGTGATTGTGCTATGAATGAATCAACCGGACTGACATACTGTTACTAGAAATCGGCATTCCTGTAGAGATTGCGCACGAAATGGGATGTTTGCTCTTCATGGAAAAGGAGGCAAATGCTAAGGGCGTTGCCAGTTTGATGTTTGTATCTGCCTCGGCAGCAGGCTACGATCCTTCCACCATCACCTATGCAAGATTGCTGTTCCGCCAAGACGAATGGGGCAAGAAAAAAAGGTTCAAGCTCCTTGAGAAGCGCTTCATGGACATTGTGGCTCAAGGAAAAGACTGCAACGCCCTAGCCGTATATGGAGAAAAGCTCTTCCTGGATAACAAATTCACCGCTGCCGCGCCTATACTGGAAAAAGCTCTCAGCGTTGACGACGGAATCTTTGAGTGGAGGGATATGTGCTTGCTATACCTCGCAAAGTCTTACGCGCGGCTTGGAAAGGTCGAAGAGGCCAAGAAGACACTCAAAACGCTGGGGGACCCTAATGCGGATGCCGAGGTTGCTCCGATGCTTACTGCGGGTGGTGTCGTGGACAAGAGGCAGCGGCTGTTCAGTGAAGGGTTACGAGGGAGAGCGCAGGCGTTTCGGGAGTTGGCTGAGATAGAATTCGAGAATGAGGCGAGGGAGACAGATAAGGATTTGAAGAAGGAGCATCATCTCTGGGCCATGGAATGGTCGAAACTGGCTGACCCTAATATGAAGTTTTAGTGGTAAGAGATGATTGGGAGTGCAATATACGACCATGATGTGTTATCGCTAGAATTACTAAAATATTGTATGTGAAGACGTCTATGCCTTCTTCTTTTTTGCAACCTTATCAGTGCTATGCCGTCTCCCTCGCTTACCATTTGCGCCGTCTTCGTTCTTGACAGCTGCCATACCCTCGCCTTCCTCCTTGGCCTCGTTATCCGTCTTCCCTTCTCCATCCTCTGCATAATCAGCATGCTCTCCGTAATCACTCTCGATGTCTCCTTGCACCTCACCACGGTCTGTAGGAAACAGCTTGCGCCACGTTCCATCGAGTGCCTGACCATCGTTCCCATGAAGTCCAACCTGGTATGCAGTCTTCATGGACGAAATACACACATCGCGTCTCTTGGCAAAGTCGAACATTGGTTTTGGGTATGTACCCTCTTCGACGTTGTTCAGCCCATCGCCTTTGACGCGAACACCTGCCTTCTTCTGATCTGGTAGAGGAGCTTTCCACGGCTCATAGATGTACTTGGCGTCCATACTCTTCAACTCAGGCACATATCGACGGATAAAGTCCCCGTTCTTATCCCACTTCTGGCCAAACGATACAGGGCTGTAACAGCGAAAGTACTGCGAGAAGAATGCAGTACAGGATAGCCACTGCCAGTTGCCTGCATTGCAAGCTGGCTCGTGGTCGATAAGCCATTCTTCGAAGACCTCGCAGCCTCGTTCCCAATCAATGTAGCAACCTCCTCGAGTCAGGAAGCAGGCTACGGAGTGGCGGCCGAGGTGATGAATCCAGCCTTCATTCTTCAGCTGCCGCATAAGAGCATCGATCCAGGGAAATCCGGTCATGCCGACCCTCCATCTTTGGAACCAGACCTCTGCCTCTTCCGAGTCTATGTGGTGGTCTCCTGTGACAAGACCGGTCTCTGGGTCTCTTTTTGAGGGTAGATGCCAGGGAATGAAGCGACAGTACGGGTTGTTCGCAGTCTGTGTGAAGACATATCCCATTGCTGCCTGAGCAGCAAAGTACATATCTCGAAAGAGTAGCTGTCCAATCAGACTTTCAGGTGGTGAGGAAGAGCCCTTGTATGAATCCACGACGTCTTTTACTCTCCAGTAGAACTCTCGCACAGAGAGTGAGCCAAAGTGCAGATGAGGTGATAGCAGAGTCGTCGCCTGTGGCTCAAATTGAGCTGGGCTCGTCTTGGGCTTCTGGAAGGTAGCTGTGTATTTCTTGTCTGCGATGATCTTGTCGAGATCCTTCAACGCAAGCGTCTCTCCTCCGCGATGAGGAGTAGTTGCAGGCGGAAAGCCAAGTTCCTCCATTGTTTCAATGGCGAAGTCACCTTTTGGTCCATAGATTTTGGTGTAGGCTTTATCTCCTTCCGTTCTGAATTCAGAGTTGAAGTCTGGTTTGGTCTCTGGCTCCTCTTGATCAAAGTCAACAGGCATATCTCCTGGATCTGGGAGATGTTTAGGCGCAGGTATCGGCTTCTTGACTGCGCCAATCTTACTCCCTGCGGTCTGAAGCTGGTTGATAGACATGGTAGGCTTTCCGCCGTGTTTCTCTACTATTTGATCGCTATCCCATAGTGTCCTTCCTGAACGGACGATGACTTCAACACCAGCATCTTTAGCTGCTTGGGTGACGACACTGTCGCGTTCACGGGCATAGCTGTCTGTGTCTTTTTCAAAGACTATGTGTGTGACTTTCCATGCTTTGAAGAGCTTTGGGAAGAGAGTCTGCGGTGCTTCTCTGAGGACAAAGAGCTTTGATTTGGGGTTGATTTTTGTGATGGACTTGGAGAGATCATTCTGGCAATCGAGTCTATGCATAATCAGCAGTGTAACATATTATAATTCAATCGACTCACAGAAATTGCCATCTATTTAGTCCTCCTCTCGCGCGATAGACATAGTGAGGATCCCATGTGAAGATAGGCCAAAGTACAGCTGGATCAAGGTCCAAAGCAGCTTTGAGAGCAGGTGAATCGTGAAGTCGAAGATCCGTACGGAACCAGTAAATCACACGAGGTTTTGTCATTCTATCAAAATTGACGCGGTACTTCCTTAAGGTGAGATTGAGTCGATTTGGTGGTGGTTGTATGCTGTCATTGAAGCTGAGAAGTAAGTAAAGTCATGATGTCAACACTTGGTGGTCACCCCAGCCACCAGACTTAGACTTGGTTTGGTTTAACATGCATACCAACATCATTGACTTGGTGATATTTACATTGGAATAATAATCAAGTGAGAATCAAAATTCGTCAAGGCTCTTTCATGGCTTCTTTCATGTAATTTTGAGTATATGAATCTCATCCACAATAATCAATCAATTCATGCCATGACTGCTACATGAACAGAGACGTCCTTACAACTGGCTTATATGAAGGATGCACTGAAAAACGCAAACTTTATACACAAGCATGTTAATTTTACTATTTCGGGACTTATTAACTCATGTAATACAATTTCAACTAATTATTCCACTTCAATGTTCAGCGAAATGCATTGGAATCAGGGTCAAGTCGATATAAGCTACCCTATACCGCAGCATGAGAACTCATTGTCTTCATCGACCACTCGGTATGGTTTACAGTGGACGGACCTGTAAAAGTAACACATCTAACCACGATGTAGTCTCATTCCCTGAAGCAGATCAGTGTAAAATAATGGCAGGGTCCTTGGCGTACCAGACCGCTTCATCGGAGACAACATCTCAGGAGTCAAGACACAATACCGAGACATGATTCACTCAACTGCGGCAAAGCTACTAACAGTGTGAGCAATAGTTGAACCAAACCACGAACTACAACTGGGACATGCAGTTCTAGTCAGATTTTGCAGACAGCGACAGGCATAGATTTGTTGAAGAACGAATCTTTGATAGCCAGTGGATAATTCCAAGGGAGCCGTCATGACAGCCCCTTCTTTGTTTATGTTTTTTCTTTGTTGTGTTACTGTTACTCTTTGACCTGTATCCGAGACGAAACATTTGTCTTTGCCCAGTCTCTGAAAAGTCCTGATGTCTCATGTCAAGAATATTTCCGTCACCTCCACTTCTACTTCCGCTTCCCAGGGTCTTTGTTCCATAACCAGCGGATCCTGATTACGAAGCTTCTCAGAGACAAGCTTGGTCAAAGTTGGAACTGCCAAGTTGAGTTTTTCGTGGCTATGGACCCTGTTCCACTACCGGTCAAGAGTCATCTGTCAGGTCGAGGCTGTAAACGGTTACTTTACCGAACATGGTGTTGATAAGCGTCAAAGCTTAAACCACGTTATGTGTCCATAGTGATGGACCGAGTGCCATGATCATAAACTCATCAAAAGCATGTCACTCGAGTCGATCGATGAAAAATATGGATTTTTGTGTAATTTCCCAGTCCCGACAGTGGGGTAACATACAGCAGCCGATCGATAGAATTATTCCGCCTATCTCAACATCCATGGATCATGTGTCTACCAAAGCTATTGATCCTTGGTAAGTTTGATGAACAGCTGAACTGTACACAAACTATTGGCCCGCAATCCAGATGTTCAAATGAAAAAGCTGAGCAGTAGATCGAGGAGTGTGCATATGTTAGTCTTAGACTTGCAGTAGAGAGACTGATGATGGACACTCATTTCCTGAGGCTCAAGATATCGTGTTGCTGAGAGGTCAAAGACAAATCCCATCAACTATTGGTAGCTTAATATGCAGCCACACAGCAAGCGAGATCACTTCCTGCAGGTCGAATGTCATCATTTCTTACTTACGCTCACTTGGACAAGACACTAAACAAGCTCAGCCTCAGCCATATCCCCGCATCTCAGATGAAGATCTAAACAAACAAGAGCTACTTTAAAAACAAAATAAATATCCCAATGAAGCTCCAAGTAAACAAACAGGTAAACACCAGTTGACCGACGCTTAACAAGCGCCGATTGAGACCGGACCTTTGGGCCGTTGTTGGCTACAAGAGCGGGAGCTTGACGCCATCACTAATTTCCACGATGAATTAGCTAGTAAGTTAAGCCAAAGAAAGCCTGTTTCTAACGGGCGCTTGAGCTGAGCCTCAAAAGTTCTCGATACGATGCAGATGCAATATTGGCAGTCGACGGCGGTTGAGCTATGTTGTGCATTAGTTTTTGGGATGAGAGTTTGTTAGTAAAATCACCTCAAGATCTATTGCTGCCGGGCATAACCAATCAAGCTTTGACGATCATATAAAATACGACAATCAATTATAGAAAAGAGGATCTCGGCATGTGCGTGATGTGATTCCAGATCGTCCTCCGATTGAACAAACCATGTCTCTGGACGATTTGACAGCTTGGGGGTTCTGCAGATCATTGACCAGAGACTCACTCACTGATAAGGCGAACAGCATGAACTTTCATAGTAGAGATGAACTATACTGGGTAGATAATGACGTGGGTTGGTGCTGGTACTGGTGTTGGTCTCGGGCATGACGGCCCAAGCATAGACGTGTTGGTGTCCAGTCCACGATAGTGCTGATGAGCCCGCAATACGAGATTGAAACAATAATGGTATATATGCTTTCTAAAGCAGAAGACGATGCCCAATGATCTGATGGACAGACTAGGACAGAGTCATCGAGACCTATGTACAGCACTTAAGTGATCTACATGGGTACGGCAGCTGCGGATGCATATGCCTTCCTATCAAAAAGGCCCGAGGTAGGACAATTGATAGGATTGAATGGCTAAAGCATTGAACGTAGGTCGTATTCATTTCGACCTGCAGAGGCCTACTGTACCGTACTGTACAGTCTGGGTGGTGATAATAGCATCTCATTGCCTGGTACTCTCACAAGATGATGAGTCTCGAAAACCCAGAGCACGAATGAGCATCAAGATGCTTACCAAGATTCATCCCACAGAGTTTGGTTACTGGGATAAACGCAGTAAAAAAGATAGAGACGCGCAATAGTCGCTAAACTATTATTAGCGGAGATTGGAGATTGGAAGAACAGATGGAAGCCAATACCCTGGGCTTGGAAGGACAGGGCAATCAGCGATCAACATCCAGTAATACGCAGCCGAGCTCACTAACCTACAGAGGATGACTCTCTAAATCACTCAGTAGAGAAAAAGAAATGGTTCCCATCCAATCCAACCGCTTCAACCCAACCATACGGAAATATAATCAATTCTAAACCTGTATCAGGAGACAGTTCATGAATCTTCAAACAAAAAGAAGAAAGAAACATACAAACGATTCAGGTTCCTGCAACCATTAGTCTTTACTTGGTATAATTCAGCGAGGTAAGATCTCATCCGACCCCCCGGAAATACCGTGACAAGGGTACCTTGTTTCAAGACATTCTGACTCTCTCTCTCCTGTTTCGAGTGCACGTCCGTTACTTGTAAATTGTCCTGTCTGAACGAACGGACAAAAAATGAAGGAAAACATGTCATAGCAAAAAGGGTTCGGTAAGTCCGCTTCATTCAAAGGGAAGTTGGGTTTAGCTTGCGATAATTACTGCAATGGATGAATAAGGCTGAGGATACTCCCGCTCTGCTGTAAGCTAATATTACGTATGTATGCGCGGGCGTTATGTTATACGGTACCTATAGGTAACACGGCAGACGGAGAGTTGAGGGCGGGATATACGCAGTAATAGGTATGGCTGGCTCACGGAAGCATCACTAGCCGACCGTAGTTGATGATTGATCAAGTTGTTGTTGATACAAAACCTTGGTTTTCTAAAGTAAACAAATCTCAGTAGATGGAAATAGTTCAAGGTAGGGTAACATAGTGGTGTTACTACTCTACTCAGGTTAAGTAAACTAAGAACATGGGGCCCAATAGTCAACGTCTTGGAAACCCAAGACAACTGACTACCTATCACGGAATAACATCTGATGTCTCATGGTACGAAGCAAGAGAGAGAGAGAGAGGGGCACTGCAAACAATGACGGAGGCGGCACAGAACAGAACTTAGAGTCCGGAAACAAAGACTGAGACTCTGTGCCTGAGCAAAGACCACGATGACTTCAGAGCAGAGGGTCACTTTCAGGGTCTGGATTTATCAGAGACAAAACAAAAAAGGCAAAGAAGCCCCAGGGCCACGGACCTTTCGGAAGCGAGGGAGGGTATGATAACAATTAATTTGGAGGTTAATGTGTCTCGCATGGCAACGAACGAGAGGCCATTGTAGGCAGATTCTAATAAACAAAAAAGTAAGGGGCTCGGATCGTAGGCTGCTGTGAGCGTTAAAACGAGTCGGGCATCTCTGTCTCTCTGTGGTTCGTCTTCTTACGCTTTTGCTTTTCTTTTCATCCTACGGAGGTTATTTTCTTTTGCTGCTGACGGCGCAGGATTGCATTGCATGTGTCAGCCTCTTTCTGCCACTCAGCCATCATCAGTGGAACGATAAATAATTAATATGTAGACTATATGCAGAGAGATGTTAAATTAGGTGGTATCCTTGTTGCTGCTACTTTATCAATCCAAAATAGACTTTTCGTTTCAAGGACGAAGCTTGCTCTGCCACGTTTTGCATCCGTCTGCCTTTGAGACCAAGAGAGAGAAAGAGAGAGGAAAGGAAGAGAAGAGATTGATTAGTAGCCCGGGGAAGAGAAAGGTGAAACGAACAACAGGGATTATGGCCGTGCTTGGTCCGGGCATGGATCCGTTGTTGGTATCGGCTTGCGAGTAATGGGCAAGATAATTATTATTCAGCGGAAAGGGCTTTCCTTGCCTCTGCTTACCTTGCTGTAGTGTAGTGTACTCCTTGTTAATTATTTCGGAGTCAAGCGAAGAACAGCTTTGACAGTTGAGTTATTTTCTGTCTCTCTTTCTCTGTCTCCCTCTCAGTCAAGCAGTGCATACAGTAGTAGCCTTGGTGAGTTAATGACTTACAATACCGTATTCAATCCTCGTCCTTGTGGGTAATTTTACGCTGGAAAGCATAGCCCTGGGGGCTTTAGTCGTCTAATGTCGATGGTGCAGGGGCATTTCTCGATTTTCAGAAGATCAATCGCATCGTGACGATAACCTCGGAATGCCAAGTTTGCGTCTACTCCAGCTCAACCCATAATTAACACAAGCATTATATGCCGAGTTATTCCCAAAATGTATAGTCACCGTTGCTATTCACTAGCCTTAGCAGCTCTCGGATGCAACGTCAACAAATAATGAACCTGGTTTTACAGGTCATAAAATTTTAACTGTAGGCTGGCATTAGATCGCGTCAATCTACTGCAACGCCAACCAAGCCAGGCCAGGCTAGAGTCAGGTACCCGCGGATCCGGTTCGTACTTATGGGGGAGTCTCTTGTCCAATAGAAGCTCTGTCTTGCCTTGACCGAGTTACGGCAGCGGGGAAGATGGAGGGCAGAAGCTTTGCCAGTTCAACGTCGCTATACCGCTACCATACTAGCCATGACCAAGATGGATACTGTAGGGCTTTTGAGGGGGCTAGGGCATCATTTCCTTGGGAACCGTTGTGACTATGACTGATTGAACCTACTTTCAAAAGAGACAAGAAACGAGATACCAATGCCTATTAATCTCAAGCCCGACATGCATCACTGTAAATATCCTGGGGTCTGATCCTGGGCTGGAGGCCACACCCTCTTGTCCATGGTGAGGCAGTCTTGAGAGGGGAAAAGCAAACATATGCCGAAAGGTGTTCGTCCATACATTTTAGTTCAGCTTAACTCAACTCTCGTCTCTAACTGATTCTGTTACTCTTCTCAACCATCACCCAATACAGAAGTCTTTTCATATCCACACATCCACAACTCTCCACCTATTCAATGGTACACTACACTAAACTACTGTACAGTAAGTGAAGTAGGTAGAGAAATACAGTACCGTATTGGAGTGACAAGGAAGTCGGCTATTGCCCATGACTTGCATAATAGAAATCAGCCAAACTTTCAGCCACTTACTCTCAACTGGCTCACGCCTTCGCCCTCACCATCCAACTCCTTCTCGGAAAGAAGGGGAATCCTTGTCAAACCATCTCCCCCCTCTTCTCACTGAGAGTTGCATGTGCTATTTGTCTGAGAGAGTTAGAGACTTGACTGGGGGGTCTTGACCTTGTTCATCACACCCCTGCTTAGTTCCGGTCCTATTTTGCTAACGACACGCAACGCCAATATCCACAGCAAGAAAAACGCACCAACGTCAAGGAACAGACTCACTGACACTTTTTTTTTGCTGTTGCTTTTTTCTCTTGGGTGACTTCTAGTGCTTTTCCTATTGCTTGGACCTGGGCTTGGGCTTACTGTGTCTAAGTAATATCCCAGTCCACTCACTCCCACACAGACCAGACACCCCAAGTTAAACGTCCGTCCGCATCCACAAAGCTGGTTTGGATTATTACTACTCTTTTACTTATTCCTGGCCTCTGCTCTCTCTCCCGTCTTTCTTTCCCTCCCCTCCTCAGGTTTCTCACACTCGCTCACTTACATACTCACACTCTCGTTTCTATATCAACCATCCTTGACTTATACTAAAGCTTCGTGACTGCTGCTTCGGTATATACTCTCTGGTTGTATCCCATCAATTGCTCAACCTGAAACAATCAGCGATTGTCTCCAGAGTACTACGCTCTTTTGACCCGGGGATCCGATTTTATATCAACTTACACTCTCTTTACCGCCTCGCCTGTTCTGTCCCTTGTCTGGGCTTCAGGTCGACTTACTTACACCGCCGACCACAACTTTATTTGTCCTCGGTAACTAAATAAGTCTATTGTCGACGACTATTGTGGAATTCTCTCCTTCTTGGCGACTCTTTAGATATCGACTATCAACTTAGATCTATCGTCGACTTTCACTTCTCACTGCCGATCAGGATCGACGAAAGCCAACAGGCCGGATTATGCAGTGCTATCCAACATTACTACCATCATCAAAGAATATCAACAGCAGAATCAACTACTCTGGCTCCGACTCACGATTCCCAGCGAACTGTTAGTTCGAGGCTAGCCTCCTACCAGCCATCATACTGGGGCTTTGAAAGACAACTAGTCACCTAAACAACGTCTTCTTTGCAAACATTCGACACAATGCGACGCACTCTATCGATCTCGCTAGGCGCTCTGGCCCTGTTGGCAACAGTGGCTGTGATGGCGGTTCTCATTGTTCTCACAATGCATATCCCCAAGGAGTCAAGTGGTCGAACTCTCTCACAAGTGTCCGTCGCTCTCGAGGCTGTGATGCTTGTCATCACCGGGTGGTTTCTCTCTACTTACCCTTCAACCTCATTCCGCAGCTGGTCAACTCGATGTCTCGGTGTTGACTTTGGCGCTGCCGTTCTGTCTATTCTCTTTGCTACCGTCTCAACAGTAGCTACACTCATTCAGTTTAGCAAATCAACTCTCGAGAAGGAGGACGACCTACTCAACGCCAGCAAGAACAGCCTTCTCATCGGCCTCTCAGTTGCTCTCGGACTATGCTTCATGTTTCAATCTGGTTTCCTGTCTGTCCACTTCTTCCTCACTCGACGAAGTGACCAGCAGGCCTTCTCTCTTCACACCCTCGAGGAAGGTCGGGGTCTGGCCGCGTACCGATCTAAGTCATCTCTCAAGACACTGCGATACAGCCACACAGCTTCGGACCGCGACCCATTGCCCCGAAAGATGAACTCATTCGATTTCCACACACCTGCCTCATCCATTCGTGGACGTTCCAGGTCTGGTACTGCCAGTTCTATCAAGGCTCAACTCTCCAATGCTATCCGATCTGCCACCGTGAAGAGCCACGTCTCTTCCAGCGAGTTCCGCCGACCTATCACTGCTGATTCTGCCGCGTACCCAGCCAGCGAAGATGCTTTCGATACCTGGGACACTTCTTCCGTCGATACAAACAACCGCGAAGCTGTAGAAGCTGTTACTCCACCTCCTAAGACCCAAGGTCACTTCCTCGAGACAATTCCTGGCAGCCCTTCACCAAGTAGGACATCAACACCCAATAACAACACTCTCGATATGCCTCTTGAGCCTCCCAGGATCCGCAGGAGAAGTCGCAGCTACAGCCCGGTGTCTATTCGCCGCGAGCTAGTTAGCTCTTCAGCATCACTGACCGACCTCCCCGAGCCATCACTGAGTGAATCTCACATTCACCCTCTCTTCCGATCCGACTCTCCCACGCCTGCACCGATGGCAACGCCTGGCACTGTCGTCGTTGCTTCACCCAACGCTGGCCAAGTCATCACACACCGCCAGAGCGTACGTTCCCTGCGCTCTACCTCTGTGTCCGTGCACCAGAGCCCCCTTGCCAGGGAGGAACAGGAGAGCATTATGGAGGAGCAGGAAGTGGAAACAGCCTCACGGTCGTCGGCTGAGCGACCACTCACCCCTCCCATCCCTCAATGGGTCATGGGTGCTGGTGCTCGATCAAGTTGGTCCGACTATAACAACCGAAGATCCAAGATGGACAATGAAAGCACACACGAAACAAACAATTAACGTTTTAACGATTTAAAAAAAGGGATTCACGTGGGAGGAAAACATAGCGGGCGACTATGATATGGACAACGCACTCCATTTTTCTTATTATCAACTTTTCTTATTACTACCTACTATTACTAGATGCAAGTAGATGACAGATACCTACGGCGGATGATGGGAGGGACTTTTTTCAACAACATGTATAACAAAAAGGGAACACAGCGAGGCGCCTTTATAACGACTGACTTCAAGATCAAGGAACCCTCTGCGCTTGAGGCGCGAGGATGGATGACAGAGACGACCTGGGAATAAGGGTAGATTAAAAATAGAAAGCAAAAAAGAAATATCAAAACAATTCAAATTAATCAATATGTGTGTTTTGATGGTGAACTGCTTACTACCAATGTCATGACGATATCTCATCTCATCGACAATCTAGCATCACTCAGAGACAAGTCCATTATGATTCAGTATCAACTCATGTAGCACCTTATATAAGGTAGTCTGGTAGTGCAAACTTGTCTCGGACAATCCAAACTTCTCTTACATCAACACGGAAATATCTCTGATTCTTCTCACCATACGTCATGGTGTTGATGATGCGCTTATTCAAGCTCCAATGATATCATCAAGTCACTTTATCTACCGAAATATTCTCATCAACACCATCTAACCTTTGAATATAGGCCAATTTTTGGGATAGATAGTGCAGTGCATAACTGTTGGTCATGTCAATTCTTATGGTTTTTGATTTCGTCTATGCCATCAACAAAACTTCCAGGTCATGTTTCAGGCCGAGCTTAATCCTATGCTACTCTTTAACCAGACACTTACGGATAGTTTAAGGCGAACTGCCATCTATTTTTACTCTTTTCCAACCACAATGTAAAGCTTCCATCTCTGGTACCTTAGTACCTAGGTTAGGTAGGTTAGGTTGCTGCTGCTTGCCTGTGATTCTCCATCTCAGGCAGAAGGAAAGTACGCGCCTCTTTCCGGTCATTTGGTAGCCTGGAGTGGCTGACAAAGTAACGCTAACCCTCTTGAGGAGAGAGCATTCAACTCGCAGGGTCATGCTCCACCCTTTCCCTCAGCGACCAACCTCTAGCCACTCACACTCACTGTCTGTAGGCTTGCAACGTCAACGCAGGCTGGCTATTGCAGAAGTTGAACTACCTACTGGCCTACCTACCTTAAGCTTTCTTCTCTTCTACAACTTAACTGCTCGCAGACTTTGACGGAATTAATACCTTCCACGTCTCTTCTCCGTCCTCGACTCTCCCCCCCGCCTTCTTCGATACTTACACTTCGTCTCAACATCATCCTGGCTCGAGCCCTCACCCGAAGCGAGACGAATTCATCCACCTCCCCACCTTACACATACATCAACGGCAGACTCTTCGCCCATCATGAAGGTCACATTTAAAGTACGTCACGACCGAGTGCTTCTTCGCCGCTGGCCCAATCTCAGCATCTAATCAACAGAGATTGACTGAATTTATTGTAGGATCTCAAGCAGCAAAAGTTTACGCTCGACGTCGAGCCATCTGAGCTGGTAGGTGTGCCCCGCGTTGATGCCTACAGCTGCTGGCGCAAAGCACCCAGACAGCTAACACATGATAGATCTCCGCCGTCAAGGAGAAGATTTCCGCCGAGAAGGGATGGGAGCCTCAGCTGCAGAAGCTGATCTACTCCGGTACTTGCTAAACCCTCTTGAGTTCCACCCCACAGCTCGCTGACGTTATTCCAAGGTAAAATTCTCAAGGATGAAGAGACCGTCGGTTCCTACAACATCGAGGAGAAGGGTTTCGTGGTCTGCATGGTGAACAAGGTTAGCAGCACTATTCTATGTGACAGGAGCCCAAATGCTGACATCTCGTAATAGCCCAAGCCCAAGCCTGCCGAGTCCAGCGCCGCTCCTCCTGCTACACCAGCCGCTCCTCCTGCTCGAACTCCCGCCGCCCCTGCTGCCCCTGCACAGTCCGCATCTCATCAGGCTGCTGTGCCTGCGACTCCCACTCCCCAGCGCTCTGCTGATGCTGGATCCGGTGCTCAGTCCGAGGAGCCTTCGGCTCTTGCTATGGGATCTCAGCGTACTGAGGCGATTGCGAATATGGAGGCTATGGGTTTTGAGAGAAGCCAAATCGAGGCGGCCATGCGCGCAGCTTTCAACAACCCCGACCGCGCGGTTGAATATCTACTTAATGTTTGTTTTGTAGCCCATCACTACAGCGAGGTGCGATTGCTTACCATGATTGCAGGGCATTCCCGACAACATCCGACAAGAACAGCAACAGCGTGAGGCAGCTCCCGCAGCCCCCGCTTCCCAACCATCTCAGCCCGCCGCTGCCGCTCCTCAAGGTGGTGACGACGGTGGAGTGAACCTGTTCGACCTTGCTGCCCAGCATGGAGGTTCCGGTGCCCGAGGAGGAAGCGGTGGAAACCAGGCGGCTGCAGCAGCGGCGGCCGCTGCGGCTGCTGCTGGTCAGGGTGGCGATTTGGGTAACCTCGACTTTCTACGACACAACGCTCAGTTCCAGCAACTTCGTCAGGTTGTTCAGCAACAACCACAAATGCTCGAGCCCATCCTCCAGCAGCTTGGTGCTGGTAACCCTCAATTGGCCGAGTTGATAGCCTCAAATCCCGACCAATTTCTTCAGCTCCTCGGCGAGTACGCCGACGACGACGTTCCCCTGCCCCCTGGAGCTCAGGCTATTTCTGTTACTGAGGAGGAGCGTGACGCTATCGAGAGGGTAAGATTCTAATTTGATCAAATCGTACTCATTACTAATACGACCTAGCTTTGCCGCCTCGGATTCGACAGAGATGCAGCCATCCAAGCTTATTTTGCTTGTGATAAGAATGAAGAACTCGCTGCCAACTTCCTTTTCGACCAACCGGAAGACGAAGAGCCTGGTCCTAACAACTAGGTGGGTTAGGGCTAAGTGTGCAGATGTTATGATTACGAGTGGAGGATATACAACAAAACGAGGCATTCCCAGTATAATACGGGTAGTCATTAGGCGTAGGGCCCGTAACCGCCATGGTGACGAAATGCGCCGGCATATGCCATGGGAATTTTGCTTGGCATCTCTATGTGCAAACACAGATAGCTGATGAAATTGACGAACTCCAAAACTGTCGGTTGCTGAGGACTTTAATCAAACACCTGTGTGTTTTGGTCATGTTGGAAATTCATGAACACCAAAACCAGTCTCAGTTTTAATGGAACTGAGCCATGTCATGGAGGATTAGAGCGAACAACGGCACTACTTATAAATCACCTGCCCACATCCCAGTGAATGTACCATAAATATAAACTTCAGTGTATTCTACTTAACATAGGAGCACCGACTATTCTGTAGAGACTGCTCTCAATCCGATACCATATAACCGTTGCATTCATAAGCAAATACCAAAAAAAAACCCTGTGGGTATCATGCCTGTTATTCCCTTTGCGCCTGAACCCTTCCCTTTCCCCGTATTTTGGACTTGACCTCGATCTTTGTCTCGGCCTGGTATATTTCTTGACCCTTTCGTCATTCCTCTTGAACGATGGGTTCGCCGTTAAGTCCGTAAATGACTGTTTGCTTCTTCTTTTTCTTTTTCTTCTTTGCATCGCCGTCTTCATCATCTTTGAAGAGCTCCTCACGCCTCTTGCGCATGACCTCGGCCTGCTCATCAGCACGACGCTTCTCCTCTGCCTCGTACTCCTCCTGGATCTTGCGTTGCTCGGCTTCGATGGCATCCACTGGCTCGAACTCACTCCCGGTAAATGCCTTGTACTCGTTGATGTTTATCTTGACGGTTTTCTCGCCGACAAGCGCAGCAGTGATCCGCCTAGGACAATGCCGCTCCTCACGGTTATATTTGAGCTTTACATTGCGACGCTGCTTGCCAGGGAACATTTTGGAGATCATCTCAAAGTCTGTCCCAAACATGCACAGCCCACGGTAGAAGAGCTCTGTTTCTTCTTCAGTCCAAATGTTGGGTCCCTTGAGTTTGGATGTGTTCATGAATGAGTTACTGGTGATAAGGCGAGTGAAGTCGTTTTCTTCGACAGTCTCCATATCTCCGGCGGCGGCAGCAGCTCGAGCATGTCGATCAACGGACAGAGAGCTTTGATCGATCACGATTTGTCCATCCACAATTCGGAATTGAGGTCCTGAAGGAGCAGCTGGGGCAGGAGCAGATGGCGCTGGCGATGCAGCTGGACTTCCAGTCTTGTCGACCTGACCACTAGCGTCAGGAGTTGCCGAACTATCACGTTCCTCGTTGGTTCCAAGTTTGTTTTTCATCCTGGCCCGTCGCTCTCGCTCTCGTAATTCGTCGTGCCTGCTGAACTTCTTGCCAATGTGAAGATCCTTGGTCAAATCGGCCATTTTCAATTTTTGAAGATCGACCAACTGAGATTCTGAGTCTTCTGGTGTCAGTGAGCGTGCCCTTCTGGTTTTAGGCGTGTTAGTACCGCTTTGAGCTGGCGCTTTTCGTTTCCTTGGCTGCTTAGGTGTTGCACCATCTTCGGCAGTCTTCCTCTGTCGCTTCTTGGGCGGAGCGTCTTCTGTGCCAGTTTCGTCTTGAGTCGCCTGAGTGGTCTGCTTCCTGGCCCGAGTTTTCCGTGTGGGCTTGGGGATGTTTTGTTCTTCTGTGGAAGGCGCGGGCTGTGACTCATTAGAATCACCGGCTGGAGGGGAAGACGTTGTAGAAGGTTCAGTCCCACTCGGACTTTCCGAATCATCAGGAGTGGGAGTTTGCAGCACCGGAGAGGCCACACTTTCTGAGTCACTTGTTTGAGATACATTGGGTTGCGAAAAGGGTTCTCTAGTGCTTGGCGACTGATCGTGCTGTTGTTTGCTTCTGGGTTGTATTTGTTCTGTCGCTGATTCCGTGACTACGGTAGGTTTTGGGGTTTGTTCAGTCGCAACCGGCGCAACGACCTTTTCTGTCCGGGTAACAACATCCTGACTTTCTGCTACTTGGTGGGATTCTTCTGGCGACTTCTCTTGAGAAGCTTTCTGAATTGTAGCAGCGTCATAGGGCTTTGCGGGCTCTGGATTTGTCGATGGCGGGGTAGGAGGCTGGCCATCATGATGAGAATCCTGAAGTTTGGGCTCAACAGGTGCAGTTACAGTCTCTTTCGGTGACGAAGACTCGGAGGATTCTTTTGAGGTTTGCTGAGATCGAGACTCGTCGGACACCGGTGGAGGAACAGAAGCTGGCGATGGCTTTGGTGGTTGTGAAGACGCTGGTGCCGCGGGGCGTCGAGCAGCGGGGATCTTTGGTTTGAAGGCAGGCCCTCCTTTCTTTTTGAACATAGAACTCATGACGAGAACGTGCTATTATGCATGTACTGTATGCGACTTGTGATATGGTAGCTGGGTTGACATTTCTGGTTCGCGACGACCATGAGGTTAGAAAGTCGAGACTGAAAATTATCTTCAGCGAGCGCCTGGGCGGGACTCAGAATAAAATGCGGGCGGGCGAAGGAAAAAGATAAGTGGGTACTCCACTGTCGTCCCAATATGGTTAGACCGACACTAAGCCCCTTTGAGGTGGAGACGCCGCGCTTCTTTGACTGCGACTCAACTTCGAAATTTCAACTCCTGGCCCGAGGGAACGTTCCATCATCACAACACGCTTCCCCGCGCAACCGCTTGATGACCGCTCGCACGTCTCTGTTCGCGACGGGACTTGGTTTCAGAGCGTTCGCACGACCGACCCGTCGCTTTTCTTGGGCTTCGCGTCCAACTTTCTGTTCTGTACCACGCGACTTCTGATGCCTCTCACGACTACCTCTGCTTCTCCTCGTCCATCCACAATCGCAAAGATGGAGGATAGAAAGCGGCCTGCCATCAGCAGCGCCGATGAAATAGCTCCTCCGAGTAAAAGAGTTGCTGTCAATGGCTCAAAGGCAAAGGATGACCCCCTTGATATGAAGGAGGAAAGCTGGGTTGAGGTAAGTCACACGACAACATATTCCATTACGAGTGCTCGGGTGTCCAACCGCCCCATCTCCTTCTACGCTCTGCTTTTCGAGCATGTATTTTCTTTCAGGCTTCATGCCATTCTTATTGGGATGGTCCTGGACGGCAGTGCTCACCAAGCCAGTGATGATGCTAGCCTGCTCCGTGCGACAGCAGTAGTCGGCTCCCAGGTGCATCACGAATGCATTTGATGAGGAACCACTCCGCCCAACACAAAAACATCACACAAAAATATCGACGTATAAACGAATGTCGCTGACTCGATTATCAGACCTACACCAAGGGCGCTATCTACCGGCAGATGCAAGAATACAGTCGCAAGGCTTCGACATACGAGTCACGCCTCGAAGAGCTCCATAAACGATCTGTTCATCATGATGACCATTTGAGGCTAATTGATGCTTGGTGGCGACAGGTTGGTCTAATCCTAACGCCCACTATTTTCGACGTCGCTAAAACACTGTGATATAGGTTCTCGATGAATTGGAACTTCTGTCAGAATCGGACGTCAATTCACAAACACCCTCAGGTATGGCATCTGTAACCAGTTATCACCCATCTGCTAACCTGCGGCCAGAGCCTCCATATCTCAGTAGTGTCTGTTTCAAGGACCTTCACGACTTCCAGAAACATCTATCGGAAAAGGGCAAAGCGATCAAATCGAGAGCCGAAGCGCTACTTGGGCGCCTGGCTTCTTCACGAGGCAAGATTGAACCCGACGCTGCCAAGTTGGAGAACAAGCTTGCAAGCTTGCTGGCTGCTCAGAAGGAATATCTTTTCAAACTGGACCGCTTGAAGACCGAGAAGGACCAACTGTCAGAACAACTCAATGCTGCGACTTTACGTTATTTCAAAGCGGAAAAGAAACTCGATCGTGCGAAGAGCGCCCAAGTTCAAAAGATGGAACAACAAGCATTCGCCAATGCTACTCGACCTTCCGCCTCTGGCGACGCTAATGCCGATGCTGGTGAGACAAATGGAAACTCAGGCGAGCTACTTCTCAAATACGAGGAGGCGACTGCAGCAGCTACCAAGCAAAAGGAACAACTCGATGTTATTCTCGCCGAGATCAAGACTCTACAGGACGAAAATTCGACTCTCAAGGCGAAAAGAGATACCCTGACGGACGAGGATTTCATTCGGACCGACGTCTTTAAACAATTCAAGAACCAGAACGAGGACCTGATAAAACGTATCAATACGCTTGAGGCTACAAACAAGCAACTACGAGAAGAGGCGGAGAAGTTGCAGGCGGAGCGATCAATTTTTCGAACCCAACTCGAAGCAGACGCAAATCAGGTGACGCAGGAGCTTGAAGCTGAGATCATATCAAGGGACCAGGATCTGGCTCGAGTGCGTTCAGCCCGAGACGAGTTGCTGGCGGAGACGACGCAACATAAAGCTAGGCTAGATCAGGAGCGAGCATCAGTTGAGCAGGTGAAGGCATTAGCATCTGCCAAGGAGGACAGAATCACAGCTCTCGAATCGCAGCTCTTGCGTCTTCAGCAGACCGAGGACCAGCAAGCAGTCAACCCGGATATCGAAGCGCTTACCGTGGAGGAACTTCGCTTGAAGTATACAAAGCTACAGCAAGATTTTAATTCGATCAACCTAGAGTTGCCTGCCATTGAAAAGGCATACAAGAAGATGAAGGATCTTGCTCATAGGAAGGCAATGGACTTCAGCGCTACAGAAGAGCGCATGTCGATGTTGATCGCTGAGAAGAGCAAGGCCGACCAAAAATATTTTGCTGCCCGAAAAGATGCGGATACGCGAAACAACGAGATACGATCATTGCGACACCAGAACAGCAAGAGCTCAGAAATTATCGCACAGCTTAAGGATCTTGAGTCGCAGAACCGCACGCTGCTGGGCAATTTAGAGAAGCAGTTGACCGACCTAAAGCAGTCAAATGCTTCCCTGATGACCGAGAACAAGAAGATGGAAGCAATGAGTTTTGACGCCGTCCGACGTACCGAGTCTTTGAACAAGCAAGTTGCTGACCTGACGAACTTGGTCAAGTCAAAGGATGCCGCGTCTGCCGTGGTTCGCGAGCGCAACGTTATGCAAGAAGCAGAGGTGGAGAAGATGAAAGTACGACTTGAACATGCACAAAAGGATCGCGACAATTGGAAGAACAAGGCGCTGAGTAATTCTTCCGAAGAGGAAGAAATGCTTCGAGTAAGTGAACGAAAAGATAACCTGATAACGAGTCTCTTGCTAACATGACGACTAGACGTTTGCTTTATGTACGGTCTGCCGCAATAACTTCAAGAACACAGCCTTGAAGCAGTGCGGTCACTTGTTCTGTAGCCAGTGTGTTGACGATCGCATCTCTAACCGCATGCGCAAATGTCCCACTTGCTCTCGTGCTTTTGATAAGATGGACGTTATGCCTGTTCACCATTAAACGCATTCAGAGCACCACGGAAACGACTCAACTTGCCATCCTTTCCACGATACTTTCTGCGATACCTCTTTCTTCTTCATTAATAGCTTCCGTCAAGTAATGCTCCACCACTTTTATACCTTTTCAGGCATTGGATGGCCCGTCATGTCGACTTGTTAGTGGATGACGTTGGCCGCATGATCTGAATAGCACATCTTGACGCTTTTCTTCTTCTCTGGGCTAGATGGCTACTCTTGGAAAGTCACCCGTGTACTTTTAAGTTGCGCAGCGGGATATCCTATAAACCTCGTTGCACGCATGTATATACTGTTTGTAGGCGAAGAAGATGATTTGGGTGATGGCCGAGAAACGTTGTATGAAATAGCAGGATAATGGAAAGCGTCGATTATGCTAATAATGACAATTTCGTGACTAAGTACTCGTGGTGTTCACAGATGGTTTACCTGCGGCTGGTTGAACCAAAACCAGTGCTCTCGTGACGGTTAGAGTCGTTGGACCTCGAAGAGGATCCTGATCGGCCACCCCATCCTGATCCTCCTCGTCCGAAGCTACCGTACCCGTCGTTGTGATTGTTGTACCGATTTTGGTTGCGGCTACCAGCCATGTATCCTGCCGCAGCTCCTCCTGCCGCACCGCTCCAGAAACCAGGCCTCCAAGTATTGTTAGTCTGATGAGAGGGCTTGGTTCCGGGGTATGGAGGGGGAGGGTCGTCGCCGTCGGGGCCCCAACCAGGACCCCATCCACCAGAAGACCAGCCATCGCGGCGAGCGCGAGTTCGATTAGGGTTGCTACCAGCCTCTTGCGCCCGGTAGCATGCTGAGTAGATGATCCAGCCAAGCACACCAACAAAGATAATAGTAAAGAGCAAAGCTCCCCAATCTGTACCGCCGCGGCCATCACTGAACCAGCCTCCATTGGCAATGTTGGGATAACGGCGTTCACCCTTCCTCGTCAAAGCGACTCGGTACTCAACACCACAGCTGCCCTTGAGGACGTAGGGGTCGTCAGGAGAGTTGTAGCCTTCGCAAATGACATCTGTGCTGGTGAGCTTGAGCTCTTCGGGGAGGGACGCAGTGCAGCTCCATTGAACATCCTCGTCGCCCCAACCGGCGCCTTCGTTTGTGCAGCGCATTACATCAATGTTGTAGAGTTCACACAAAGCCTTCTTGGAGACGCATTGTAACTGGGGAATGGCGCCAACGCGACGATGGTTTGTCATGGCACCATTGCCACGGAGAGTGAGAGATTGCACATCAGATAGCTTGATGGCATCCTTTGGGCGAGCGGCCAGCGTGAGAGCGGGTAGCGCAAGAAGACATGCGAATGAACCGGGTATCATGATGTTGGGGATGCTATAACGCTATAGGTCGATTATACAAATGATAAGGAGCCCAAACCCGTCCGTAACGAGTTTCCGCCAGGTCCAGAATTGAGGTTGACGAAAGCAAAGCGTTAATATATGATCTGAGTTTGAGTTGAGGTTGCTGAAGTTAGGCTTGGCTGGGTAGGAAAATGGAAGAAAGGTGTAACTGCCCGAGCTTGACACGTGCCGTGGCGATAACAGTTGGCCAAGCTGAAGCAGAACAAGATGATGTGGCGAATAATCGGCAAGCTGTGCTGGCTTTGGCGTGCGACAGCATCCAATAAGAAGCTGAACAACACGTTTGGCTGTTGCCTAAGGCTCTAAAATATCAGGCGAGCTTAGATGGCTGAACTTTGAAAGTCGACGATACAGAAAACAACACGCTGTAGATATTTACAATAGGATTTCAGATGCGAAAATGTTAAGATACGGGTTTCTCATGATGGAAGAAGCCAGAATGCCGTCATGACATGGCACTCCTGGGATTTCGAGACCCACAGGGGTTCATTCCATTGTTCTAGATCATTCATAGAAGTTTCCAGAGAACGGCAAATAGGATGGGTTCTACCTACTGGACCTGAGAGTTGGTTGATCAAGGTAACTATTGAAATGCCAAGTGAGGATGTTGAAATGCTAATACAACAATCGTGGCTTGCTCAACTCACATGCTATCCAGTTGCTGCACATAGAGTATTTGTCTGTCGCACTGCAGCCATGCTAACAACAACGCTCTGTAGGTAAGTACTTGGGCACTGCATAGACTAGTTGTTGGTCGGTCACGATTGTACGGGCGCCAAGATCTACAGTAGTATATTGCTGACATCGAGTTGATTAAACCCTGCCTTAATTATAACTTGTCGATCATACCTTGGCTCGTGTCTCAACTGATACTCAAACGGCCCAGAGAACAGTCACAGCTTCGCTTACCCTTCGAGAACATGCATATTCCTACCGGCAAGCACAATGCCGTAGCTATTTTGATGGTTCCCCACCAAGATAGGTATTGCTTCTCGGTCGCAAGGAACATCCTCGATCGTTGTTCATATACTTGAAACAGGATTTTGTGCGAAACGACAAGCTCTGTGTCTTGATGATCAAGTTGTACAGGTGCCATCAACACGAGACCAGCTTTGATACGGCCTATGTTGTCAAATCCTTTGTTTCGTATAAACGCTCTCTTTTTGAAGCCCTTGTTGATGGTGTTGGTCGTATCGTTGCGTATCAACCAACCAGGTGGGTAGCAGAAAAGCTATTCTCAAAGACTTAGGCTACAGAAATAAAGCAGCCTAAGTGCTAGCCTAACCTCGCATAAGATGATTAGATTATTTCATCTCTTATGCTCCTCGGGGTCAATTCTTCTGACACCCTGAGGCAGCTCAACTACCAACACGCAAAAGGATCCATTGAATACGCATGAAGATCCATGAAAAAATCAGCAGCATTACGCGAGTTGCACAAGGGTTCTACAGGGCAACATGTTCCCGAGATTCACTCAAGACTTCCGAGTACTCAGCCATGATCCTTTGGCCTGCAGGATGCTGAAGGAATGGTCGGTGATGTTAATCATTATCCACAAAAATCTACCTGTGACGGCACACATCTTACAAGATGATCGTCGAAGAGATTAGGGCTGATTTTGCAGACCGACCGTTTAGTTGTCTCGAAGGATCATGAAGAACTGGAGCTTGTGATCCCTGATGAGAGTCAGAGGAGTATCACATGTAGTTTTCCACCATTTGTATAACAGCACTTTGTTCTGTGAAGTGTGACTAATCGGCATTTTGTATGAGCAGTAAACGTAGACTCATAGCAGTCAATGGATGAAGTGGTGGTCAGCATTCATGACAGCGGCGTGATGATGGATGGATGCACCTCAAAAGCCTCGATACGAAAATACAGAAGGGTTCAACACCCGGAATTCGGGTTGGAGTTCGCCCGGCCGCTGAGGCTCAGTGGCTGACTGGACTCAAAAATCAACATGCTGACAGTCGGAGATCGGGATTTGATAGCCTCCGACATCCGAGTTCGAGATCGATCGGGATTTGTTTGGACAGAATCAGCCATTGAAACGAGATTAGACATGTCAGTTATTCGTCTCCTCATTCTGTAATCAAATCGTGGAGAGACAATTTGTCTGAATGTACTCGATCTGTGACTGTGATTGTGACTGTGACCAAAGCTGTACAACCATAGCTCGATACTCGAACCTCATCGAGGTGACATGAAGACGCTACACAACTGTTTGTGTATTGAGATACTAGCCCCTGTCATACAGCGTTGTTAGATATGCTGGAGACATCTGTAGGGCCTTCTGTAAAATGGATGGATCTCAGGAAAGTGGGAGCAAACTATGAATCCATAGTGCCTAATAGTTGGTATCGCTTGGAGAACAGAAATTGACTCTTGTAATTTAATTAATCAATCCATCGACTCGACATGATAGTTTGCAAAACATGGATCCAATTAATCAAAAGGTGGCTTATAAAATTGCCGAACAGCCGTATCATTCTGCGCCGCTGTTAGTGAGTAATCTACTGTACGTACATATTGATAGAATGGAAGTCAATGAGAGATGGAAGCGAAAGCGAGGAGCCAATCGCGAGAAATCCGGGGCTCTCTTCCAAAAGCAGCAACCGTTTCGACGCCTCAAAATGCGATGGACCAGGATCAGCATTAGCCGCAGGCAAGAAAAGGCAGGAGATTCGAATCCAAGTGGAGAAAGACGTAAGCACAGAGCAGAGCCTTTTATCTGCCTCCGACTCTCCGACGCTCCGTTCCGCTCATACTTGCATGCAAGTTAAGGACGGTCCCTACACAATGGATTATGGATCCAATCCAACGGCTTACTGTAGGTGAGAGGTACCTGTGAACTACGGGCTGTCGGACTGCTGCACGAGTCCGAGAGGAACGAGACCCAACTATTCAAGACAAACGGACAGTCAAGAGACAAATGTACGTGGTGAGATGACTCAAACGGCCACTACTGTACAGTCACTACAGTCAGTCAGCAATCACCAGAAAACAGATCGATCTACAGACGGCCAAGACAAAATGATAGATCCTAAGTCCGCTCCGGCTTACGGGGATTAGATTCAAGGTCCAGGACCTTTGTCTGGTCCTTTTCCTAGTCCGCATGAGAGTACTATTACAGAGTAAATAGGAGTTGATGATGAACCAAAGATCCATAATTCTGGGGCTTGAAAGTCCAAACAGCCAGTCGCTTACAACCTGAAGAATAGGGAAAGCGTCAAGCGTATCTGCAGCGGGCATCTACCTGGTAGGTAGGTAGTGGGGGAAAGACCAGACCAGGATCAATTACAGTACAATTTACAGGCATCCAAGCTAAGGTATTCCCGGTACTCTTTTTGTATTCCGTCCGACAGCAAGGTACGCTAAGGTAGTCCGACTCGAGGGGTCTTGGTCCTGACTTGGTGCTAAGGCAAGTCTTAGTCTTGTGTTGGTCCAAGTTATTTAAATAAATTGTTCGTGCTCTTGACTCCAAACACGCATTTGCTTTGCTCTGCTTTGCTCTTAATCGTCTCGTCTCGTCTCATCCTGTCTTGTCTTGTTGTTCTGGATAATGAATGCTACATAAACAAAATCCCTTCCTACCTACCTAATCTTCAGGGTCCATTCTTGATATCCATCCATTTCCGACCAGCCAAGCTCTATCCAAGCGAAACGATACACATGATCCGCTAATACTTTGCGACATTGAATCGACGTCGACATTGACCTCGGTCTGTCTCTGCACCTTCTGGTGTCACCTACTCACTCCCAGGGTGCTCTTCACCCCATAAACAGTCGACGTTCTTCAAATAATCCTCCTGGTCTGAGAACCAGAACATCCCCATCACCATGGCCGAATTGTCGGAAAAGACTGCTGCTGCGACAAGTAGCAGCAACCCTTCGCGACCATCATCATCAAGCCGCAGTGGCTCAACCGATCAAGATGCAGTTCGCCAAGACAAACCCAACTCGAGCGACCCCGAAAACGAAAAGTTGGACCTAAAGAAGGCAGATTCAGCTGTCATTGTTCCTCCCAAAGCCGACTCTCTCGAAGATCAATATCGACACTTGCCACCAGATGAAGCCGAGGTTTTGCGACGCCAAGTCGTGAGTCCAGAAGTCAAGCAGGGTATCGCTGTTCTGTACCGATATGCTTCCCGTAATGACATTATCATCATCATAATCTCTAGTATCTGCGCTATCGCTGGTGGCGCTGCGCTTCCTCTTATGACCGTTGTCTTCGGTAACCTCCAAGGTGTTTTCCAGGACTATTTTGTGAACCGAAGTCTGAGTTCAAGTGCCTTCAACGACAAGTTGGTCGAATTCGTCTTGTATTTTGTGTACCTCGGTATTGGCGAGTTTGTCGTAGTGTACATCTCGACCTGCGGTTTCATCTACAGCGGAGAGCATATCTCTGCCAAGATTCGCGAGCATTATCTCGAGAGTTGCTTGCGCCAGAATATTGGCTTCTTCGACAAGATTGGCGCTGGTGAAGTGACTACTCGAATCACTTCCGACACCAATCTTATCCAAGATGGTATCTCAGAGAAGGTCTCTCTGACTCTCGCCGCTGTCGCCACCTTCGTCTCAGCCTTTGTTATCGGTTTCGTCAAGTACTGGAAATTGACTCTGATCCTCTTCTCAACTGTCGTTGCTCTTCTGATCAACATGGGCGGTGGCTCTACTTTTATTCTCAAGTACAACAAGCAGAGTCTGGAAGCTTACGCCCATGGAGGTAATCTTGCGGATGAGGTAATCAGCTCCATCCGAAACGCCGTTGCTTTTGGCACCCAGGAACGCCTTGCCCGACAATACGACAATCATCTCAAGAACGCCGAGTACTATGGTTTCCGTGTCAAGTCTGCCGTTGCCTGCATGATCTCCGGCATGATGCTTGTTCTGTACCTCAACTATGGCCTGGCTTTCTGGCAGGGCAGCAAGATGATTGTTGATAACGAAACCGCTCTCTCCAACATCCTTACAATCCTGATGGCGACGATGATTGGAGCATTCAACCTCGGAAACGTTGCGCCGAACGTTCAGGCATTTACAAACGCCATTGCCGCCGCCGCCAAGATCTTCAACACCATCGACCGTGTTTCTCCACTCGATTCTTCAAGCGACGAGGGCGAGAAGATCGAGAACATTCAGGGCTCTATCCGCTTGTCCAACATCAAGCACATCTATCCTTCCCGACCCGAAGTTACTGTCATGAATGATGTGAGTCTCGAGATTCCCGCCGGTAAGGTTACTGCCCTGGTTGGTGCATCTGGTTCTGGTAAAAGTACCATTGTCGGACTGGTTGAGCGCTTCTACGACCCTGTTCAGGGATCTGTCTACTTGGACGGACACGACATCTCGAAACTCAACCTCCGATGGTTGCGCCAGCAAATGGCTCTCGTCAGTCAAGAACCCACACTCTTTGGTACTACTATCTTCAACAACATTCGTCACGGTTTGATTGGTACTATTCACCAGGATGCAAGCGAAGAGAAGCAACGTGAACTGGTAATCGAGGCAGCCAAGAAGGCCAACGCCCACGACTTTGTCTCCGCCCTTCCTGAAGGTTATGAAACCAATGTAGGCGAACGAGGTTTTCTCCTTTCTGGTGGCCAAAAGCAACGAATTGCTATTGCTCGTGCTGTTGTCTCCGATCCCAAGAGTAAGTTATCGATTCCATTACTTTGAGCATCAACTAACCTGATTCTAGTTCTGCTTCTTGATGAGGCCACTTCCGCTCTCGACACCAAATCGGAGGGTGTGGTTCAAGCTGCTCTAGAGAACGCTGCTGAAGGCCGTACCACCATCACCATTGCCCACCGTCTGTCAACTATCCGAGATGCCCACAACATCGTTGTCATGTCCGACGGCCGTATCATTGAACAAGGAACACACAACGAACTTCTCGAGAAGAAGAGTGCTTATTACAAGCTCGTCTCAGCTCAGAACATTGCCGCCGCCGAAGAAATGTCTGCCGAGGAGCAAGCCGCTATTGACGAGGAAGAAGTGGAGCTTATGCGCAAGATGACTAGTGAGAAGGCCGCTGCAGTCATCGACGACCCCAACGACGATATTGCTGCAAAGCTGAACCGCACTACTACCTCGAAATCAGCTTCAAGTCTGGCTCTCCAAGGCCGTAAGCCCGAAGACGAACAAGAATATGGATTGTGGACTTTGATTAGGCTTGTTGCTTCTTTCAACACACCTGAGTGGAAGTTCATGGTCATCGGTCTCGTCTTCTCTGCTGTTTGTGGTGGAGGTAACCCGACACAAGCTGGTAAGTTAATGATTTATGTTCCTCTGAGCGTTTCATGATAACTAACCTCGATTCAGTCTTCTTTGCCAAGCAGATTGTGACTTTGTCCCAGCCCATTACCGACTCGAACCGCAACCAAGTCAAGAAAGATTCCGACTTTTGGAGCGCCATGTATCTCATGCTTGCGTTCGTCCAGTTCTTCGCGTTCGTTATCCAGGGTGTTTTATTCGCTAGGTGTTCCGAGCGATTGGTTCATCGAGTTCGTGACCGAGCTTTCAGAACCATGCTTCGCCAGGACGTTGCCTTCTTTGACCGGGATGAGAACACCGCTGGTGCGCTGACTTCATTCTTGTCGACCGAGACGACTCATGTTGCTGGATTGAGCGGCGTTACTCTGGGAACGTTGCTGATGGTCATCACCACACTGGTTGCTGCCATGGCGCTGTCTCTAGCTATTGGCTGGAAACTATCACTTGTGTGCATTTCAACCATTCCGGTACTTCTGGGATGTGGTTTCTTCCGATTTTATATGCTTGCCCACTTCCAGCGTCGCTCGAAGGCTGCGTACGATTCTTCAGCCAGTTATGCTTCGGAGGCTATTTCCGCTATCAGAACCGTCGCCGCCCTGACACGAGAGCAAGATGTCTTGCAACAATACAAGGACTCTCTTGCCGTTCAGCAAAGAAAGAGTTTGTTTTCTGTTCTGAAGTCATCGGCGTTGTACGCCGCCTCTCAATCATTGCTGTTCGCCTGCTTCGCCCTTGGCTTCTGGTATGGCGGTACCCTGATCGGAAAGCTCGAATACTCGATGTTCCAGTTCTTCCTCTGCTTTATGAGTATCATCTTTGGAGCCCAGTCAGCCGGTAAGTGGAAACTTTGCGTGTTCCGGTTTTCCATAATACTAATATTGTGTCTCCAGGTACAATTTTCAGTTTTGCTCCTGATATGGGCAAAGCCCACCACTCTGCCGGCGAACTTAAGAAGCTATTTGACAGGCAACCTGTCGTAGACACATGGTCAGACAAGGGCGAGCGTTTACCTCATGTAGAGGGTACTCTCGAGTTCCGTGATGTGCACTTCCGTTACCCAACAAGACCCGAGCAGCCCGTCCTCCGTGGCCTCAACCTTACTGTACGACCTGGACAGTACATCGCCCTTGTAGGAGCCTCAGGTTGCGGAAAGAGTACTACAATCGCACTCCTGGAGCGTTTCTACGACCCGCTTTCCGGTGGCATCTACGTTGACAACCGTGAAATCAGTCAGCTCAACATCAACGACTACCGATCACACATTGCCCTTGTCAGCCAGGAACCCACACTTTACCAAGGAACCATCAAGGAGAACATTCTTCTGGGTACCCCACGTGAGGATGTCCCAGACATTGACATTGAGCATGCATGCAGGGAGGCCAACATCTACGATTTCATTGTATCACTTCCTGATGGGTTCAACACCATTGTTGGCAGCAAGGGTGCGCTGCTGTCTGGTGGTCAGAAGCAGCGAATTGCTATCGCACGGGCTCTGATCCGTGATCCCAAGATCCTGCTCCTTGACGAAGCGACATCAGCCCTGGATTCTGAGTCTGAGCATGTGGTACAGGCAGCGTTGGACAAGGCGGCTAAGGGCCGAACCACGATTGCTGTCGCCCATCGTCTCAGCACGATTCAGAAGGCTGATATCATCTACGTATTCGACCAGGGTCGCATCGTTGAGCAAGGGACGCATACGGAGCTGATGAAGAAGAATGGACGTTATGCAGAGCTGGTCAACTTGCAAAGCCTCGAAAAGCAGAGGTAGAGAGACAGATTGAAGACATGTGATTATTTGGCAGGAATTTTTGTTGCATTGTACTGGCGTTATGGCGACTTGATGTCAAAAGAGGACATGCCCCTCCACCCTCCCTTGATGAAGAATAAGGGATATTTACTTGGCCATTATTGTTTATAATACTTGATGTGTATCATTTGATCAATCAACTCTTTTCAACATTGTAATACTATAAATATGCGACTGCTATGCTGTGATTGAATGGAGGTTGGTGCCAAGTCCCGTTGAGGGATAGAACGCCGTCGGAGGATTGAGTATTTGACTCCGAGACGAGATTAGTGAGTCAGTCTGTGTCATTTTAGACCATTTCAGGAGATATTTTGTTTCTGCACTTTAATACTTGGAGGTTGAATGTTCCCATAATTTCTAGAGCGCCACATGGCAACCGCGTGGAACAAAACCTAATGTGCAAGTCACATGGCAATAGCCAGGGAGAGGAAACCATAAGCAGCATCGATCGACAAAGCAGGGAATGGAGAAGCGGTCTCGGCCATGGCAGCTGAGAGATTCGATAGATTGAGTTTGTTGACCTGAGTTGACTTGACTGTAGGACAAAGTTGTGGAAATGATAGCACAGCAGCGCGGCTTCAAAGAGTTTTAGACAATCTACGATGATGGGTACAGTAAACGGATAGTGGCAGAAACTATTTGGACTAGTAACAGGCGGCCTCTTAGTTGAACGGTTCAGCGGGGGGGTTCGACGGTGAATTTGGTGATGAGACGATGGAGATATGGTGAGTCCTCCGATTGTTTTAGACATTGTCTCTGAAAGCCACGCGGCTGAGAAAGGGAGGGAAACGATATTTGATGGAGAGTCTTTGGAGACCAGAGTCTTAGAGAGTAGACGTTAAGAGTCGCGTGTAATCCGTAGAGGTTGACGCGGTCGATGAATAAATATCGCACTGAATCAGAGTTGAGTTTAGTTCAGTTTAGCTCAACTTAGGCTTAGCCAGGGATCTCTTGGCAGGGGAGAGAGTGTTTTGATTGGACAGAAACAAGGAAATTGCCTGGAAAGCCATCAATTCTGCAAGGTACGCGAGAAGTAAGAACGGATCCGCCAGTGGGGAGAGTCAATGGTGATGCCATTAAGTCCCGTCCACGTCGTCTCTCACCTGAACGACCGTTAACTGGCAGTGCATTACGACCTGCTAATCCGTAGACTACGGCCTGAAGCTGAGAACCACCGTTCGGGGTTGGAAGAAACGAAACATGAGGGATCGAAACGAAACGGTGAGGATGGATTTCTAATTAGATACCTACCGTAAATAGTCAATTGTATGTTCTGGATTGGGTTACATGCATCCGTGTTGGACCAATTGACCATGCCATATACGTTTAAAGACACCTGGAATGAGGTGATCAGTTATGAATGACATTACCGATACCGACTGTACATACAGATAGTGCATCTATTTTTGTGGCTATGCTATCCTACCTGTAGTATGGTGGCTGGTCCGGCATGGGGAAGCGAAATTGGCTCTTCGCTATCCGTACCAGGGCTCCCCTCCCCTTTTCCTTTTTCTTTGACTTTGACTGCTCGCCTACGTATCAAGGTCCGGGTTCTTAGGCACCGGTGTTATAGCTAGCGGTATACTGGGGACATGGACTGACTGGAGATTTGTTGTAGACGGATTATTGCATGTGCATGTGCAGCAGGTTCAACAACTAGCTGTGTAACCCGGAGAATATGCATGGGAACCGTGATGTATGTATGTATCTGCATGCATGCAGTGCCGTTCGGAGGATGATCTCTCTAGAACATCGGTAGACAGACCGGCATGAAACATGAGAATGATCCTGGTAGACTGCGAATGCGCGTATGTACGTATAGTAGACTCTCGATGGAGGTTTATATTCAGTTGTCCAAACCTTGATTAATCAATAGTTTCTACCTAAACAAGCCAATGACACGCAGTCCCCATTGCTTCCATGACCAGTATACGGATATCTATCAAGTAAATGTAGTGTCGCCCCATTGCAGACTCTGCAGATTAATGACGTGACACAAGGACAGAGGTCATACTGGGATCCATTCGATCAATAACCCGCACACTAAATAGCCACTACTGCAAGCCTCGGAGGAGGGTTTAATTAATCCTTGTCTTTGTCATGGATGGATTCCATTGTTTTTTCTTCTTCTCTCAGGTGCATTGCAGCATCAACCATCCATGATCGAAATGGATCTTTTACAGGGAAGTTCAGGCCTGGAATCGGCCGTCGTTCCCCCCCGGGCCCTCTCCAACTTAACCTTATGGGGGAGTTATTATCGTTCATCCCCTGTCTTTTTCCTCTCTCTCTCTACCCACTCAATTCAATCTCTCATCAACTGGTGGGATCGCCCTCTCTGTTTGCTTCCTGTCCTCTCTTTCTTCTTTCCCTTCCCTTCCCTTCCTTTTTTGCCCTTCGAGCTGAGAGAGTTCCGGTTACAATTGAGCCTCAGGTTGCGTCGATCACTCGTTTCTAGACCCGCCTACCGTTACAGCCATTGTCAACCTTAACCAACCTACACTCCTTTTTTGATCTACTCCCACGACGATCTCTTTTTTCTTGCCAACAGTCAACAGTCACTCGTTCGTTTCTCTTATACTTTTTACCTGCATCAATCAATCGATAATCTCCTCTTGGCACCAAGACTTGCCCTTTTTTACCGAGGTCGCAGCCAACTTTGCCGTACGCTATCCAATACGTGCAAGCCTTGGTCATCTAGACTACTACACTACCTAATAGCAAACCAACTCTTTGGCCATCTCATCTCACCTCAACCCCCCTGGCCACACCAATCCAATCTCGCAGTCGCTATATCACGCACTGCATCACGCTCGTTCTCGACCTCTTCGACCCTGCAGAAGTCCCCGCAAGATTCTTATTTACCCATTAATCTTGCTTGCCAATCGGCTCGACTTCCATTGCTACTACCTCACCGGATTCGCCATGCAACAACACCACTAATAAAACAAATACCAACCAACCAAGTCGCTCGCTACGTTACTCTGCTCTGTTCTACTCAACTTACTTAATACTGTCGCTGTCGCTGTCACCGTCGATCGTTGCACCCGCTACAGTTTGTGCTTCATCATCGAATTCTGGTCCGACGCCTCGCTTCCTTGTTTTGTCTTTCCGGGTCCCATTCAAGTGAAACACATTCAATCTTGTTATTGTCTGTGCTGCCAATTCACTTGAACCTTGTACAGCCTCGTCGCCAGCACCCCAGACGCAGTTTTTGTACATAAACGAATTCCATCCAGACTCGTTCTTGGCGGACGCCGCCTCTTCGTTCGTTATAATGGCCTCGACATCTCGACCTGCCTCAGTGGCCCAAAATCGACCAAGATCCTCACACTCCCGCGCGTCTCGCTTACCGATAACCTTGTCATTACTGTTATTGCTGGCATGTCTTACCTCCACAGTCCTAGCGAGTACTGAGACATCGTCATTCTCACTCCGACACCGACATCGCATACCTCCGACCAACCGATATGAATTACACCGCCGCAAGGAATCAAGCAAAGATGAGGACGAAGAAGTCGAGATTATCCAGTCAATAATTCCTACCAGGACAGCGAGCGGGTCCAAGCCTACCACTGTTACCGTCCAGCGAACCGCCAAAACCGCTGCCTCAACTTCCACACCTTTGCCTCAAGCTTTCGACGGAAACTTGGCTGCTGAACTTTCAACCTCGGCGGACAGCAACTGTCCCGCATTTCTCAATGGCATCCTCCGTGACCCTTCTTATGAAACTTGCTACCCTCTTTCCATGATGCTCCAGGTAAGTTTATAGTTGGTTGAAGCTTAGGATTCCTTGAGTTCTGACAAGCCCCCATAGACATCTCGAGGCTTCTTTGAAGCCCAAAGACAACTTCTTAGCATCGTGCGAGTTCTTGACGCAACCTGCAGTGCCAACGTGACGTACTGTACCGACTTCTTCTCTTCTGCAGCGCGCAATCTCACAACATCTGAGAACTGCAAGAGCGAGCTGGATTCGGGCAACAGCATCGTCAAGCAGTTTATGAGGGGCTTGAAAACATACGAGGTCATGTACAAGGCCACCTGCCTTCAAACTCCCAAGGACGATATGTACTGCTACGCCAACGCGGTCACCAACACCTCAACCGCCGCCAACGCCTACTTCTATTATCTCCCGTACAATCTTACCCTGCCTGGCAGTACCAACCCTTCATGCGGTTTCTGTACTCAAGAAACCATGAACATCTACCACGCCGCCTCCGAAGACCGTTCACAACCTATTGCTCTCACTTACGAGTCTGCAGCTCGACAAGTTAACACTCTTTGCGGTCCGGATTTTGTCAACAGCACCCTGCCTCCAGAGGAAACCAACGTCGCACATGCATTTGCTCCATCTTGGGTCGGCTTGGTACTCACACTCGCCAGTGTCGCGTTATTCAATGCCGTGTTATAGAACAATGGTCCTGTGCAACGACATTTTAACCACATCTATTCTTTTCGGCCGATTTTCGTCCAATTTTGTTTTAATACGTTACGACTGCGAATTCTACATGCCTGGAATTTGTGCCTTCTTCTCACGATCGCAACTTGGCATATTTTATGACTTGATACCCTCAACTCTTTTAATTTTATTCTCTTTCTCCGACATGGCTCAATCTATTAAGCCATAGACACAGAAGCAGACCCGGTCTGCGATATCACAACTATAATAAAAGTTTACGGGAGTTGGATATTCGCCTTCCACTCCCCTTTTTTTCTTGCCATAGTCGACTTGGCATCTTCTTTCACTGGGTTCTAGAAAGGATTGGTTTTCATTTTAGAAACATAAAAGCGAGCACAGCCCGGAGTTTCTTCACAGCGGCATTGGTTGGTTATAGCGGGTTTTTGGGTGACCAGTGTGGTTGGGATATGGTGGATAGATAGACTGGGAGCCTTAGATGCATGGCAGAGGTACCAACGGGGAGTTGGTGGGATAGAGGAGGATCAGGTTTTCTCTTGATGGAGAGGGGAAAGGGTGACGACTGAGCGTATCAGTGGCCGATTGTCTGTACAGCAAGCATGATTCATCGCGCCCATGATGCCCAGAGAAAGCATTGCAATAGAGCATAGCCAGATGATGTAGAAGAACGATATCAAAAGATTTGATCAGACAGTTTCTGTCTGCATCCACTATAATGATGGGATTGCCCCAGACTCCGAGATGATATGGAACAACCACTATCTAAGTAGCGAAAGAGTTGTTCTCACAGACTTAGGGTGTCAAAATAAAGCAGCCAAGGTGCAAGTCAAGATTGGCACACAGTGACTCGAATTATTTCGTCCCTTGGACTCTCAGTGGTCAAATCCTCTGATACTTTGACGAGTAGCATTTAATCCGGGGAAATCAGCATCAAAGCTTTTCCACTCCTACAACAAAGTAACCGGAGCTCAGAATTGAGTTCTAGAGTTTGTGTCAGTCGGAAATAAAAATAGCCCAACGACGTCTTAGTGACCAAAGCTCCAAGAGCTATCGAGTATTGACTTCATCTATCAGTCGGTAGACCTCTAGTGAAGCTTGCAAAGCATTCGCCGCTAGAACTAGCGGCCGTAAGTTTGTTGCGATCAAAGATTAGTCGGCTGCTGTTCGTTGGTTGTTGCGCAAGCCTCCAACATGTACATGCAATAGGTAGCATATACCAGCAGATTGGGTCAAAGCGGCATCCCGACCTGTCGTGGAACGTAGCCAAGGCTCAGAGAGAGCCGCAGAAACCACATGGCACCGACGCCCAGTACAACTGATCCAAGGCCATGGAACTGGATGGCGCACTCATGCAAGAAAAGTCGTCGGAGTCCAATGGCTGATGCGGCTTCTTGGCTGATAATGCAGGTGAAATGGCAATACACTGTGTATCGACCTAGCTTCAGATCCGTAGCACATGAATTTGTGCTCACTCCATTGTCCAGAAATTGTCCTTATCCGTATGGCGGTATTAAACGACCAGTCTTAATGAATACAGTGCCACCGACTATACAAGCAGTAAGATCCTGCTTACCTGACACATGCAGAAGTAATGCCTGGCCAGCTGGCATATCATCATGCCACAATTCTGGAGTATAACTCAGGGCGAGCGGGAACAGACAAAGTACATGTGACCAGACCAATAGGGCCTTGCAGGCAAACTCCTTGTTTTATCACTTATATCTGGGTTGTCATTATCAGGGCGTAAAACTCCATCATGGGTGTCATACTAGGTAGCTTGAGCCCGAGTCGTTTGTCGGCGATGACAGAGCGTATGGAATGGGGCCTTGGCTCCCGTATTTGAGCAAATTATATCGCAGATTGTTTGGATAATGAATCGAAGACTGAGACGGGATAAGTGACGAATTACTCGATATATACTAGCTTGATTGTTCACCCACGCTCCGGGTCCATGGGGACCATCTTTCTGAATCGAGTGAACATCACTACACCACTGCATCCCACCCATGTAGAGTACTTACTCGAAGCCTAGGCTTCAGTGGTGTCCGTGCTAAAAAGGCTGACAAGTGACAAGTCTCTTGACGCGGGTAGACTTGTAACGACTTAGACCCGGACTAATTACAAAGGGCTGAAGAGGGTGTCCGAGCGAAAAGTTGTGGCACTGCAGCTGTGCCCAGAGCGATATGGGAGGGTGAATGGTGCAGACGTACGTATATTGCAGACGTACGTATATCGAAGGGTTTAAGATGACTCGGAGGGACGTTATGTGTCTGTAATCGTGATTGAATGTTGGACCCATGAGCAAGGACTTTCTGCTCCAGATCCTGAGGTTGTAGTGCAATGTTGACATAATACGCAATGCCGTTTCTGTCTTGGAATTTACGGTCTGCCACAATCAGACGTTAGCCTCCCTCATGTCCAATTGGCGCATGCCAGAAAAAGTAAGTATTTGCAGGTGCAGTAGCGAATCAAGGTCAACCGGGGAATCTCCCGTATCTAAATCAGCCAATCAGCGTTTCTCCCGTTGAGGAAACGGCACGGAACGCAAGACAAAGTAGAGTAACCAGGATTGAACGCAGTTACTGTACCTACAGCGAGTGCGTGTATCTGAATCTCATAGCACAGAAACGCGATGGCGTTGGCGCCAGTTCTGGGCACCCGACAGCCAAGGAGTCCCTAGACTAAACTTTCAATGCGAGAATGTGCATACAGTACTGTAGTAGGATCGTGGCACAACGCGACTAGACAAGACAAGAGTTGTACTGTCCATTTCGGTACAGTACAGCAGACTAGATCTATACGTGGGGTCGGTTCGGCTAGAGGAGGTCAGTGTTAGCGCTGAGTACAGTACGGTATTGGGAACCCTGCAGTGCCTTGCTCGGTGAAGCTGGAGTAAACAATCCGTGTTCAATGCAGATCTGAGACCAATATCAAAGTCAAACTCGGGTCTGATGGTGTGGACGCGTGACAGATGACAGTTGACAGCTACCGTCGTCTTAGTGAACTTAGTTTCTGTCGATGGCTAAGTTTAGACGACGGAAGATTTAAGTTAATCTGGGCCAGTACTGTACAGAAGGTATGAGGGCGATAGCCTTCTGACCTTAATTGGGTAGTAGGTACAGACGGGACACATGGGAAGAAGCTACTGCCAGATTGAGTTGATACTATAACAGATTGGCAGGTGCTATCTGTACCCAAGTACAGTAGCTTCGATGAAAGATGCAAGTTATCGATCTCACTAAGGTAAGAGGTGATGAGATCTTCCCTTCTCGATTACCTGGTAGGTCTAAGAATGGAAGGAATACCACACTAGCGATTGCCTGCCCGTGAACCGTGAAGGCAGGTACAGCTACCTTAGTACCTACCTTACCTTAGCACGCTTAGGTCTTGACGAGCACTCAGGAAAGCACAGAACTCAACCAATTCCTTCAGACTCAGACAAGTAAGAAGGAAGGGAAGGTAGGTACGGATAGGTACGCATCTGCTTGTGCTTTGCCCATTCCATCTCATCTCATTTTTCACTTTTCCCATCCGAATCAACTGATTCAGATCTGTGGGTTCTTTAATTAATCCACAACCACGATAAACTTCTCATCATGGTCCCAACCCTCTCTTATGTCTCTGAATGTCGAGATGCCTTAGCCTAGTTACTTTTCGATGATCGACCCGCCAGGGTCCACAGATACCCATCCTTACAGCACTCGCCTTGCATTTGCGCCGCTTCTTCCAGGAGGTGAAAGATCCTGGGCGAGCTGCAGGCTAGACTACGACTACCCACCCAGTTGCTGCAGTCTTAGCGCATCTATCATAGGTACTGTACGGTACTTTGTGATTCAGTCTGTGTCATGGCCTAGGTGCTTGACTTACATATCCTGCTTTACTCTATTCAGCGACTCACCTGTTTTATTGCCTTCCCTAGCGACGTACGCAGGTATGTCCCGTTACCTACCAGTCCTTGACATTGGTTACGATGCGAGGTGAAGCAAGCTAAGACGAAGCAAGTGGTACGCTTTATGCCCCAGTGCAAGCCTCTCTACCCAGGCTGGTTGGGTCATGGAAATTGGTTAATAATCCCACTCTCCCTACGACTGTCCAGCTCGAGTTTTTTTCCCCTGTCGTTATTCCTTCCTTGAAGGTACGGTTCCCAATTAACATCATCTTTTGACAGAGTACAATAAACTCCTGCCCCCCAACCCACATATCGAATCATATCTTGTAATCGGACTCACAAATGATACCCGTGCATTCTTGGCTCCATCTCAGCTCTTCCTCACCCTTATACCTTTCATCAACAAAGCTCAACAAACTCAGCTCCACCACTGGCTTTATTCGACCACGAAACAGTATCGATTAGATTTAAGGTTCACTTGCTCTCGTGTGGTGTCCGCCTCAGCCGTCTCAAACTCTCGGCTTCGACCCATCTCGTTCGCGGCTACAATCTTTACGGCATCGCTCTTAACATAATCTCACCGGCCATCTCATCGCGTCTTTATCTTCAGGAGCCGTTGCGTAATCTTGTTCCATCGGTTTTCACGCATTTTCGTTTGCTGCAAGTCTCTTGTCACTGTTCGATTTATCGGTACAGGACGTTCTTTTGCAGAGGAGCTATTCTGGGCTATCATATCTCCGCTGCAGGCTCAGGCTCGGCATAGACCAAATCCGGCTCTCTGTGGGTGTGTGGCCACGACTCGCCCACTTTCCTCGTTTTTCTCTCCATCTCATACACCGCAAAAGACCGGTTGCCTACGGCATCTCAATCCTACATCACTATTCCCATCAGGCGCTTACTGCACCGTAGCGTGTATCCTGTCGCCTCTCTTTCTTTCTTTTTATTTTGGCCGCTGGGCTTATCATCGTTTCCATCGCCCCCAGTCTCTATCTGATGTGTCTGTCTTACACAAAGACTTTGTCCTCTTTCATCCGTTAATAGCGACTATTCGAGCAGATCAGCCTCCGGGATATTTTCTTCTTATATACACCTTATACTTCTTTCTGACTCTGGTACTAATTTACCTACCCTCCCCTCCATTGCTCACGCAGTGGAACCATCCGCATTCCGTCTTACAGCCGTCTCCCTGGAAGTGGTGGGCTACTGGGTCGCTCCCGTCTTTTTGTTCTGTCTGGCTTGGACGATCCTACTCCCTGATTGGACATTACGGAAGGGCTTGTACGGGGTACCTAGTCTATGTAAGTTCATTATCGACGCAACCGATCTGAGCCGCCACTGACCCTCCAAGAAGCTAATAAGTTCGACGGTCAGCGCTCTTCCTTGACATACATGCAATTTTATGGTGTTCCTCTTCGACTTCCACGACATCTATGCGTTTTTCAATTTGTGGTTATCACCTAGATCTCACTTCACTCACCCACCATAATCTTACAGAATATGTCGGAAGCTATGCCTCTCCCATATACGACGACTGCCCCGAGCTGGACCCCAGATGCATATCACGGCGCTCGGGGCCCAGCACATTCTCAATCGCTTCCTCAATATGAACATCAAGTGCATCCTCCGGCAGGTTATTACAGTGCGACACCTGAAAACCGCCGCCCCTCACAACTACAGTCCGTACAACACCCAAGGACTGGCCATGTCTACCAACTAGCCGATATGTCGAGCTCTGTTCCGCAGCATCCACACCCCCCTCCTCCACCTGGGCTACACCATCATCATGCTGCTGGCAATCTGGCAGGTTATCACGAAAGAGTAGACAACGGACAAGGTCGTCGAATGACACACCCTTCACAACTGCACTCAGTATCAGGAGAGCAACCGCCTTCGCTGGTAAACTCGCAGCCTGGGCCACCAACGGATATGCGCACTCCGCGTTACCCTGGTCATCGCTACGATCCAAGGACTACTACAAGTACCAATCCACCGCATGAATCAGCCAGCCCTATGGTATCTCCAACCGAGCAACGACCCGATCCCATGAGAATTTCGGATCTTGTCACTTCTACCCAGAGCAATAGTCATATGTCCAGCACGCAACCAGATGGCATCAGATATAGCCTGAAGATACGGCAACAACCGATTGCAGCTAGGTCGTGCGGTTTTGGAGAGAGAGACCGGAGGGTAATTGACCCCCCGCCAATCGTCCAGCTTCTTATCGAGGGCCCAAACTTTACCAAAGAAGACGTCGCCAAGCATCTACGTTATAGCCATTATGTTATGAGTTGTTCTATTGTCGACGAGACAGGAGCCCGCGATGCTTCATTCATGCCTGAGGAGTATCGGCAACAGCGCCGACTCATGGGCTCGCTAGTCAGCGCTCCCTTTGTTGGGAAAGACGAGCATGGTGAAGAAGGCTCATTCTTTTGTTTTCCAGACTTATCCTGCAGAACACCAGGATCTTTTCGGCTCAAATTCAGCATGGTCAAACTCGATCCTGCTCGTGCGAAGGAAGTGAAGCGTTTCCCGGATCTTGCTGAAGCGCAAAGTGCAGTTTTCACAGTTTATACAGCGAAGGACTTCCCGGGCATGCAAGCAAGCACGAAGCTTACCAAACGGCTCAAAGAGCAAGGCTGTATCATATCCATTAAGAAAGGAAATGATCGGTCCAAGAATGCTAGGGGTCATGACGATTCAAGTGACGGAGATCAAGACGATGGAGACGTCGCCGCGCAAGGCAAGAGACGGCGACGTTCAACACGACAATAAGTACACGAGGATACATATGGCGTTTTTTGATATTATAGGCATGCACATACGGGGAACATACGACCAAGGTTGGGAAATATGGCGTTGTTTAGGTTAAGGATGCGGCCCTGATGTTTCTGCGTTTTGTTCCAGAAATGCAATGAAACCGGTGCGCTGACCATACCATGGATTCACTTTGTACCAGCAAGGCACTTCTCTGATAAAATAATGTTATTTTATATGCTGGGAAGGGCCGTGGCCATGTCACGGCTTCGAATGAAGAAAAAGACGATTACATTGGCAACCTATCTCCTGAATTCTTCGTTTACTCTTGCAACTCTAGTCCCTGAATACCTATTTGAACCTGCAGGGGTGGCTTTTCTGCTTTATTTCAATCTAGCCCTACAGGGCGTTTTAACACCAAAAAGGCTCAATATAAGGCAAGCGGCTGACGAAATTTGCTATATTCGGTCCACGACCAACAGAATCTGCTTGTTACTTTACTGAGGGCTTTTGTCACTTGACACTCTCAGCAACCTCATTGAACGAACTGCTCGGACCATACGATCCATGTCTTGTACATCCACAGGGAGAGTGCGGGGATACCCATCATTTCTCTAAGTATTGTACATGCTGTATACATGCATGCAGGTGCCATGAGTGGACCTTGGGCTATTAGATTGAAATCAGTACCAACTTTGATCGGCTCACATATAGACTGCCATGTCTAGTATGTGAATGCTCAAATAGATACTCGGTCCGGAGAGCCTGCAGGGCAGCTAATCACAACAAGAGATCGGCATGCCGTAGACGGACTGCAAAGCAACAGCTAACACAGAAGATACTCGTATAATTATACCATGGTTGAGACATCTGCAACTTACTCCGAATCCAGGTGCCATTAATACCTTCATCGGACTGGGTCCGATACGTTCCAGCAGACCCTCCGCAGATGTCTAATATGAAGCAGTGGAAGGCAAGCATGGGTTTGGTGATGCAGAAGCAAAAACCAAGGCTCATAATATGTGGTTACAAATTAGAGTTGCATTCCAGCTGGGTGCTGCTACAGAACACCCATAGAGTCGACTTCCTCGTACATCTGCGAATAGACTGTATCCGGGACACATGACGATATGCATCAAAACTTGCTGGATATGACATGTCGAGTCTACTGACCCATGGCTAATGACAGAAACAGATCTGGTGGCAAGGGTGGCTTTTGTCAGTCAACAAAGGCCATATCTCCAACGTTACTGAAACTTATTGATGTTACCCATCAAAGACGACTACTGTAGAAAGGTAGGGAGGATATCCTGGTGGCCGGCACCCCAATACTACCCTACCTCGAGTTGATCGGTAACTAACCTAGCGCTGAGATGGGATGGTTTCGCCCCAGGGGAAAGGTAAGTAAGTCAGCGGTCAGAGAAGCAAGGGTCCCCTCTACAAGACATGACAAGGCCGCGAATCTACGTTATCCGGACGTCCGCCGGTACAGTAACAGTATTAATGTGCATACACGACGCCTGTTTCTACAATACTAATCTACTACCTAAATCAATTGGCAAGACAACTGAGCTACTCTATTCTGACCTTTTTAACGTCACAACAGTTGGATACAGTACCGCTTGACGGTACCCTGGACCAACACTTGCCAGTCTTATTAACTGACGTCGACAGATGCGAGCAGAGGCACATATTGAGGGAGGATGAAAACTCCCAGGAATGTCTCGAATCTTCTCGAAATCCAATTTTCAGGCTACTAGAGAGGAAGTCAATAAGTTGGCATGGTTTATGGCGTCGCTTTTGAATTGTAGATCTCCGAGATCTGCAGATTATACCAGATCAAGCGACAGGCTCTTCCCTGGTGGCGATCCGGCCCCGTTAACTGTCAAAAGGAGGCGCTTCTTGCGAGGTGATTGTTCTTGATTCAGAGGTCAGCCCTCGGTCGGTTCCGGGGAACAAGGCCGGGATTCCAAAAATCATGCCATGCTGCAACATTCCAACCCAACCTAGACCAGCAGGACCAGTTATGGCAGTCAACCTATGTTGATACAGAAGCGACATCCAGATACAAGGGAGCGACTGAGCTGGCATAGTTCCTCGTCAACTTGAATCGCACTGGCTGCACTCGTTGTTGGCCATGTCAAACAAAGGCCGGAGAAAGTTGAAGTGTTCTGAGACATTCTGGTGTTGAAGGACCTTTTATGCCGCTGAGGCGCCCTGATGCAAGGCCGCCAGCTTCCAGATGGCATCATTCTCATGCAAGATAGAACACTGGGGCATCCGACGCTATATCGGCTGATCATCTAAGCTGCTCAGTCACAAGTCTAGCTTCAACTGGATCTAGGTACTCAATCACCCTTGCAGAGCCGTTTCCTCCCAGTTTTGTTTCATTCTCTAGATGAGTTGTCAATAAAGGCATGGGAATTTGTTTCTGTTGGATCACAGGTCAAGAAGAAGTGTTGGTCCCTGGCGGTTCAAGGAGATGAGCTCCTTGGGCCTCATGTACATAGAGTACCTAACGTGGCACTCATCTGGCAAGGGAAATTCAGTTCTCCATATGTCGGGATGGTAAAGCTATGTGCCTTGCATGCCTTTCGAGAGCAGATCTGATAACAATCCTGCCACATCGTGTGTTGCTCTCTTTCACGATGATCGTCTCAGCGCACTGCTTAGCATCTTGTGTTTACTTCTTGGCTCACAGCCTCCTCATCTTCCTACGGAAATATTCTTTTTCTACACTTGGACAGGATGTATGTATGTATACATCAGAAAGTTGTGTCAAAGTATTGGTTGCGTTGCCGAAGCTTGTCGATCTCCCATCTCCGGAGATAACGGATATGGAAAAAGCAAGGATCCCTTTCCGAGACAAGAGCTGAGGGAGTGTTGTCAAAACTGGAAAGATCTCCTCCCATCAGATCATGTCTGCATGAGTATCCATAAGAGGCTTTCCCCCGTGCAGCTTGAATCGTGGGGCAAGATGTTGGGTACAGTAACAAGAGGCTGGATGTGGCTATCTGCGCATTAATTGACACGCGCATGCACGAAACTTCTTAGAGGCCTATCAGTGGCTGGATCATGTGCTCTCACCTATCCTTATAGGTACAGTACATATGCATTAGTGCCTAGGATACTACTCTAGAACGGCGGTATAGTCTTGGCCCGTTGGTGGCGTCCTTGATGCCGCTTGCCCAGCCGACGTACATGCAGTAGGATCTAACAATCACCAAGGATTTTATGTAAGATGACGATACAATTAAGAATGCGACAGAAAGACTACTTCGCTGTCGTGGTATCGCTCCGGGCTCTGCTATTGACCGAATTGTTTCTGCAAGGATCAACACGAGGGCATCGAGACAAATAGTCACCCTTACCAAGCTTCGGTTGGAGATATGCCGGGTAAACGGAAGACAGTTTGGGTGAGATCCTTGACGGAAAGTATTGTGTGGTAGGGGATAGTCTAGAGTGTGATCAGAGCAGCCGAGTTCAATCGCCGCTCTCGACGTCGCTTCTTTGTGAGCTGTTTGCACTTATAAACTCCAGATGCTATGTATACTGCAATAGTGGTAACTCTCACTGCCTAGTCACTATCAGTGCTTTAACATGCTCAAATTTGTAGGTTGGCTTATCTTTTGATGCTCCTGTAGCTCGTTAATTACACATGATAGGATGGGGTCAGTACTTAGTTAGTTGCGTAGATACTTATGTTCATGATATATGCGAGTGGTGTTCTAAATTATGGTTTCTCATTCCAGTGACGTGCCTATACTGGTTAATAAGAAGAAGTAGAAGAAGCTGTAAACGCATCTATATTAAGCCTCTTTTCCCGTATGAAGGCAACAAGTGATGCCATTCCGTGTTCAAGATATGCCGGTTTGTCTACTTCGCTTTGTGTGGTGTTCTAGGTTAGGAGAAACCTACAAATGTACTACAGTAAAGCAAATCAATGAAACATAACACATTGAGGCTCTTTCCCATGGTTTAGTCTATGTGCTGTTGCCGTCCCTGTTTGAGCTTTTGCTCCTCCCACGATATGACATGAGTATGGTGATAGCTCAGCAATGGAGTGCTCTGTGATACTGGATCTCATTCACAAGCAACGTATTGAGATAGAATGTAATCAGAATGAACCTTGTGGCAATACTAAGGATTCCAGTCTTTGATTATCTCAGTGTATGGGAGTGCGTGAGCCGTAAACGTGGTGCTGTGTGGCTGTTGATACGATACTTCTCTTTGGACGCAGCTGGTGCACTATGTTGACTTTCACGTTATTTCTAGACGTTACTATTCCTACAATGCAAGACATGAAGATCTTCGTGGTTTCTATGTTCATCTATGACTATGGTGCTCGAGTTCAGAATAGCTGTTATCCCATTTTATGAGATTGTGTCGATTTTATACGAGGACACAAGCCATGTATCGAGGCCCTCTTATGTATTTGGACTCCAGACAGCATACTCTTAACTAAAGTATAGAGGGGTAGTAGCTTCTATCTCTATGATAATGTCTCTTTCTCGTCTACGTGTGCGTTCGACATCAAATTGCGAAGTGACTGCTTGAGCATTAGGCTTTCCATGCGCTCCAGGGTATTGGGCATCAATAAGCTGCATAACAAACCACCCTGTCCAACTTATTACTCACAGAGAACTGTAGTTTATCTTAATTAAATACAGTTACCAAATACATTTCCACTCAACTTGTGTAAGTTGAATCAAATATCAGAATACGCAATAACTCAGTGATCCAATGTCAACTACATACCCTATAGCCAATAAAACGATCTTGAGTATCAACATCGAGAACACGGCATTCTTCAGTGAAGTGTATGAATTGGAGCACGGATACTTGCATGCAGTCGCATGGCACGTGTGATTCTTGTATAACTCGAGTCTCTTACACCACAACGGTGAGTTCACGGCTAGAGTTGCCCTATGTGTATTAGATCCGATCGTATCTGGCCGAAAGGACGGATGAAAATAGATACAGACGGGTTCTGGCAGCGTAGCTGAGCTGTCGTAGTAATCAATCGGAGGGAGATGCGGCATGCCGACGATATAGAAGCGGGTGAGTGCTTCATCGAAGACGTCGTTGCTCAGGGATGAGGGCGATGCGTATATTGACGCACTGATCACGGAACAGGACTGGCCAAGGTTGGTTTACGTTGCATGGCCGTATATACGAACGGCTGGACGGTATATTGGAAGTTGTGGGTGAGTTTGGTGTATGTGACATGCATTACCTGGTCAGGAACTCTTACACATTCTATTTGTAGAGTGTGTTTATATGCTTTAGCCTTGGAATCGAACAGTTACATTACGAAATAGATGAGTGCGAATCGGGCTACATGTATTGGTTGCTATGGTGAAAGCAGAGTACGTTAAGCATTAAGAGAAGACGATGCAGACTCGCCATATATCACCCCAATGTAAGTCTATTTATCCCATCATTATAAGCCAAATCACTGATGGGTTCAGGTACAGGGAGTCAAGTTCTCGGGAGTGCATCCTCATGTAGGATGGAAGAAGATATCTGGTGTAGTTGATGAAGTCTAGGATAAGACGACATGATACAACGACAAGGAACAATATAAACGGAAACACCGGAAAGCTTAATTGAACAAAGAATGGCTTTATGACGTCGCTTAAGATTTGAATCTGAAACTAGATAGAAGCGAGCATTGGGTTCATCCCAAGATTTAATGGTGGTAGGAAAGATGATATAGTTGCTGGTATTATATCATGGGTATCAAAACCGACCTATTGGTTACTCACAAAGATTATCGATGGTTGTTTCGAGTCGAATATTTAATAAAGATACGAACAAAGAGTGTTGACAGCTGGACCATAAATGGTGAAGATTTCTGTACTGTTAGTACTAATAATAACTGAACAAAGCTGAAGCTGAGCATAGCCTTTGTCAAAGCAGAGCATACAGTAGAGTAGAGGTAACCGACCGTTTGCTGACAGGTGGAGTTACCTAATCAAGGGGTTGCTTGCTAGCGCGTTTCAGAACCTCTGCAGTGGAAATCAGGAAGTCAAGTCCGAAGAAAAGGCAAATGCCACGTGATTTTATCTTTAATTACAACGTCCTCTTCCCCTGACTAATTGATCAGTATCAGAGAAAATAGTCATTGTGAAAACATCTCCATTGGCTTGATGGGTCATCAAATGTTGGACCGTTGCAAAAGGAAAATTGTCTTGTTTGTTTCTTTTGAGTTGCAAGGGTTGGAAACACCCGGTCCATTCAAGAGGGTACAAGGACAAGGATCAGAGTCTGACGTTTTTAATGTGACCTGTCTGTGCTATGACTATGACTATGATCATGCTGTTGTGCGAGAGAGAGGGAACTACTATAAACTTGACTGCATATCTCAAACTAGAATCGATAATTCGAAAACCGACTTGAGCAACTAAACTATAGACTAGACCTGGGTTAGATCAGATCTCTTGTTGATCTCTTAGGAAAAACCATCTCGATCGTCTAGATTAAGCCCATGACTAGCTGAGTGACTCCTGGGCTTACCTTACCTTAGTCCCCGACCCGACCCCTGCTACACCAACAAGACCCCTGTTGTTTCAGGCCATGTCACGATCTGCAGGCACTTTACTCTACAAGGCGACCCTGTAATCTCTATCTGTTACGGGAAGACTTTGGGTCTCAACGTTCCATTCTTTGTTCCTTTGGCTTTGTTCTTTCTTTCTTGCTTGCCTTATCCTCTTTGTGCAATACAAGCAACCATCACAGTGTAACAGAGTACAGTACGGTACAGTACTGCAGAAACGCATTGCAAGGTCCAATATACTGCCAACGATCGTTGTGGTACCAGAGATAAGGCGGGAACGGACTGCGGCTTTAACTCGCAGCCTAGGCCTCGCACCTTATGCAGAGAGTTTCAATTACTGGCGGTATGCAGCCGGTGTGACTGCCAGCGCATCGCCTGGCTTCTCTTTTCTGCTGTACTCGGCGCTGCAAATTGATGTCAGCTGTTATCCGTGTTGTTACCACGAATAGCCTCAAAATGACGGGGATATCCCTTTTCTCCTTGAGCCCTAGAAGCCCCCTCCAGGGCCAGGGCCCCCTGTCAATTCCCACCCTTTCTTCTGGTAGCTCGGGCGGTAACTGTAGCGGCTAAGGCCGAGGGTGAGGCAACCCAGTTTTTTCGTATGCAGGTACGCTTTCAGGTCTGGAAGAAAGAAGAAACCATAACCAATAGTGTCGTTTACTTTTACCGCTCATTGTTGTCGTTCGTTTCATCCATATCTTATTGCCCTTTTTCTCTGTCATCTGTCATCTGTCATAACCAGGACAAAGACTAAGGGTTGGTCGTCCCCCCTTCAGCCTTAGGGTGAGATGTGGCGCCAGAACTGTAGCCAATCCTCTTTCACAGTTCTAGAGCTATTCGGTAGAAAGTTCGAAAAAACGTCCTGGGCTGGTGGTTTAGGATTGGACAGCCCCTGAATAGAGCCAAGCCAGGCCAAGCCTTCAACGGTGGAGCGTTAGAGGCTCCATCGCCAATATCCTTTGATCAAATTGATGATTCTAAGAATGAACGTGCACTTGAGGGCATTTCGCGTATTGGATTGGTCAGGCATCAGACTAGGCAGTTACTGATTTTAGGTGTTTTACAGTGGCCTTGCAGTGTTGGCCAGCTGTCAGGCAGGCCTGGGCGCTTTAGTTGGAGTGCTGTACTTTTAGGTGCTTGGCTTTACTGTGTGTTGCGCCGGAGTACCTTCGGAGTAGGAGTAGCAAGTAGCAGGCGGATACTCCAAGGATTCGGTCAAGGTCACCCCCCAGTTCCCACAAAGGCCCTTCACCTCTAATCCTCGTCCAACATACTTCTTCTTCTTGAATCCCCTCCCCTCCACACGCTCCTTTTATTTTTCTTATTTTTCCACTCCTTCTCTCGTACTCTGTACACTGCTACTGAACTGCTGGGCACGTCCTCTCTTTCATTCTTTATACCACTCACTCACTCATTCTGTATCTGCAGAGCAGTTTCAGGCACCTTCATTTTCCCTGAACTGCTTCTTACCCTCATTTTTCGGCTTCAACCCTCTCGCTCGCTCTCTGATTCACGTACCTTTCAACGGCAGTGATTGAACGAGTCCAGACGTTTGCGAAACGAAACATTCATTCTAGGTTCTCACAGGTGTTCCGGTATCACCTGCGTGTTTCCCCCCGCCTTACACTGGCTCTTCTCTCTTCTGCTTCTTCTTGAAGAATTAGCAAGTTTCCGTCCCAGTGCTCAGAGTCCTAGAGACTTCTTTTTACGCCAGCTTTTTCAACCATCTGTTCAACTCAACATACTTGAATATCGTTCATCAATTTTCAACATCATCATCATGAAGTCTACTTTCGTTGCCGCCGCGGCGCTTCTCGCCGGTGCTGCTTCCGCCACCAAGGAGGAGGGTACTTTCGCTGTCTTGCGCTTCACCAACAAGCAGCTCACCAGAGGTCGCGTGGATCCCATTCTCTTCCCTGGCGAGACTTCCACTCACGTTCACAACATCATGGGTGGAAGCGGTTTCAGCAAGAGCGCCACTGGAAAGGATCTCATGGAGTCAAAGTGCAGTAACGCCATGATCAAGGGTGACAACAGCGCCTACTGGTTTCCCACTCTCTACTTCCATGACCCCAAGTCTGGAAAGTTTGAGGACGTCGAGTTCGATTACTTCAACGCCTACTACTTGTAAGTGTAATTTCCCTATTTCCTCGTCAATCTGCGACAAAACCCTCCCCCATGTCTCATCTCACCTCCATGACCGTTTTGCTCATGTTACTAATACATCCGACAGCTTCGAGAAGACTCACGATGAGATCAAGCCTTTCCCTGCCGGTCTTCAGATTGTTGCTGGTGACGCCATGACCCGCACCATGCCCAAGGCTGGTGCTAAGCCCAACCTCGACCCTTCCAAGGGTCCCGTCAACCCCGCGAGAATGACCTGCCCTCGCGCCAACAACGATTACACTGTCCCCTCTTGGGATGCCAAGTCTGACGGTACCACAGCTGGTGTCGGTGACCCTGTCACCAAGAACGAGGGCGTTGGATTCCCTGACCGAACCTGTGACGGTCGCTACTCTCCTCTCCGAGCTGATGTTCACTTTCCATCTTGTTACAACCCCAAGGCTGGCCTTACCGACTTCAAGAACAACATGGCCTACCCCGAGGACAACGACGGCTACCTCGACTGCCCCAAGGGCTGGATCCACGTTCCTCATCTCTTCTACGAGGCCTACTGGAACACTAACAAATTCCAGGGCCGCTGGACTGAGGGTCAGGGCGAGCAGCCTTTCGTCTTCTCCAACGGTGACGTTACTGGCTACAGCAGCCACGCTGACTTCATGGCTGGCTGGGACGAGAAGCTCCTGAAGCACATCATCGACACTTGCAACGCTGGTACTCTTGGTATGGACAACTGCCCTGGTCTCTTCTACGGTCTCAACAAGGACGACTGCACTATCGAACCTGAGGTCGATGAGAAGATCACTGGTACCTTGGACAAGCTGCCCGGAAACAACCCTCTCAGTGGTTTCTCCTACGGCGACGATGTTCCCAAGATGCCTTCTTCCGGTGACGACAAGCCCAGCAAGCCTTCCGAGAAGCCTTCTGCTACCAAGCCAGCTGCCGAGGAGTCCACCGCTGCCGAGGCACCCAAGTACACCAAGCCCGCCGACAAGCCTGAGGAGTCCACTGCCGCCCCCAAGCCTACTCTGCCTTCCGTCCCTGAAGTTGTTTCCGAGGCTGCTGCTGGTGCCACTGACGTTCTCACCAACGCCCCCAAGCCAACTGACATCTTCGGCAAGCCTGAGACGGCCAAGAAGTGCAAGTCCACCAGAGTCCACACTGTCTGGAACACTGTCACTGTCACTCAGACAGCCAGCGTTCCCGCCCAGACTGAGGATGCTGCTGCTCCTGCTTACAAGAGAGATCCTGTCCGACGACATGCTCACCAGCATGGCGGATACAGCCATCTCCGCCGCCGCAGCCACCGTCACTAAACTAAGCGTTCTTACTAGAGTACGCAACGGTGCATCGTTATAAAGCATCTCGTATAAAAGGGGTGTTTCAACCAACCCCCCTTTTACTTTGGACTGGAGAATATAAGGATGGCGATTTGATGGCAAGGCAATTTTTTTTTCGATCAAAGTTTGCGTGGTGCAATGGAATTTGGCAAGTTAACGGGGGAGAAAAATATGTTGGATGGTTCAATTCGATTCGATTCGATTCTTTACATGTATATTTATGGAGGACATACCTTGCTTGACGAGGATCCAATTGCGCTAGGCGCAACTTCTTTCGCCCATTATGAATCAAGGGCATATACCCATTTCATATCATGCGACCAGCAAGAGCATATGCAAGTGACCATAAACTGCCACCTTTGAAATAGTACTTTGCTCTATACCAGCCATGTGTTGGGTCTGTGTTCCAGGAGCGACGGCGCTGTTTGTTAAATATGAGCTGCTGAAGTTATGGGTCAACAGAACGTACGTACTTCGAATTCTCTACCAATGTCACTCAACATGAGGAACAACCTCATTCATAAGACCGACTAGGTATATCTTATGTCAGAAATATTTTATTAGCAACTTTTGAATGCGACTGACATGCGTTTCCGTGGAGGTCGCAGACCAAAACACCTGCCGACTTACACGATTATAGTATCGGCTAAGTCCCGGCTAAATTATTTCACCAGTACTTCATACTTTAATTTTCTTCCTCGCCAACAACGACTTGGTCAACCACAACCTTACAAATCATCTCAATTATGTCTCTTTATCATGAAGCGGCTGAGATTCTGACAGGATCTTCGTCCGAAGGAGGAAGTCTCAAGTCCCGTGTCTTTAAGAAGAAGGGCCTCAAATCTCCCCCAAACCAGGTCTACGCCTTAGTACTGGAAAGCTGCAAATGGAGTCCCATTCTAAAAGAAGTGATTGAGAAATCAGAACTTCTCAAATTGGAGCGAAAGGTGAGTGTCAATTTCCTAAACTAATTATTGAGTTCCATATACTAATATATGAGTAGCTTACTCCGACATTGGCATTGCTTCTTGTTCATGACCTTCTACTGGCTAAGAAGGGTATTGCGCTTGCACAAAACCATGGGCTGCGTGCATCCATTGAAAGGCACAAAGCACGGATCAGCTCAGAATTTAAGCTTGCGCGACTTCGCAGAAAGGTGCCGACTCTGGAGGCTCTCACGGAGCAAGTTGAGAGGCAATGTGCAGGCGAGGAGGCAAACTATCCTAGATGGGTTCGCGTCAATGCTGTTCTGAGTACTCTGGAAGAACAGCTTGAAACCACTTTCTCGAGATACACCAGAGCTGGATCCATCAAGGAGATCGTCACCAATGCTGGGAGAAATATCTACATTGATCCTCACGTGCCAAACCTTGTTGCGATCACTCCAGGGATCAATCTTACTAAAACAGAAGCCTATACCTCTGGCAAAATCATTCTTCAAGATAAAGCTTCTTGCTTCCCCGCCTACCTTTTGGATCCGAGATCAGAAGACGGGGATTTGATCGACGCATGCTCCGCTCCCGGCAATAAAACAACACATCTGGCAGCTATTGTCAAGGAACACACGCCCGAATTTGATTCACCAAAGCAAACTATCTATGCATTTGAGAAAGATTCTAGACGAGCGCAGGTTCTTCACAAGATGGTCAAGATAGCAGGCTCTCAACCTGTGACACAGATTGGCTTTGGTCAAGACTTCTTGCAGGTGAACCCTACAGATGGTAAATACAAGTCAGTCGGAGCATTGCTCTTGGATCCTAGTTGTTCAGGAAGTGGCATTGTGGGACTGGATTCGATGCCCGATCTTCATTTACCGGAACCCTACAGCGGTAACGGGAAAACGCCGTCAACAAAACCAAACAATCGCAAAAGGAAACATGAGAAGGTCGAGCCCGCTCCTGAGAATGTCATGATAGATGACGATGGTAACGAAACAGCGATCAAATCGGAAAAGGACCTAGAAGCACGCCTTGAAGCGTTGTCATCCTTCCAACTGACACTCCTTTTGCACGCTTTCCGCTTCCCTTCGGCAAAGAAGATCACATACTCAACTTGTTCTATTCACAAGCAAGAAAACGAGAGTGTTGTTATGAAAGCTCTTCAGTCCGATGTTGCCAAGCGAAGAGGTTGGCGCGCTCTTTTACGACAAGATCAAGTTTCCGGCATGAGAGAATGGCCTGTTCGTGGATTGCCTGAAGCATGTGAAGGCGATGAAGATATAGCAGAAGCCTGCATTCGCTCTTTCAAGGATGATGGACAAGGCGTCATGGGATTCTTTGTCGCTGGTTTCGTGAGGTCTGGCGAACAAGACGAAGCTGCTGCTGACGACGAAGGTCCTTACGTGCGAGACGATAGTGGTGCTATCGTTCGTGATATGATTGGCATGCCTGTTCTGAAGTCAACTGGCGAGCCTGTTACCTTATCTCCAAAAGAGGAAAAGAGAAATACCAAGAAGGAAGAGAAGGAGAGCAGCGAAGAGGACGAGTCTGCAAGTGAGGATGAGAGCAGTGACGAGGACGAATGGGATGGTTTCGAAGATTGATTCAACATGCCAGCCAGAGCCGACAACACCATTTTTGATGAGTAGAAACACCACGCCGAGAGTTAATAAAATACCGAACAGAGGACGACGGAACCATTCCGACAATTTGGAGGCTCACCATGGACTAGGGGGTCCAGCACGTTGGGAATCAAGATCGTGTGGTATCAGGTGATTTTATGCAACCTACGTGATCGATGCAACGGCAGAGCCGGACTACTATCTGACTAATCGGTAGCCGGTTGATTTAATGCGACCGAACCCCGTAATTTCCATCCCATATCATAAGATACGGATTGGGTAAGATGGCATCATTGCATCTTTTCCCGCAAGTGGAAGATGCGGATGATCTGGCACTGATCCAATTCGGACCAATGAAGACATTGACTTATATCTGACTTGCTTACCTATGGCAAGACCAGACAACAGTATCAACCAAAGAGCCCTATCAAAGTCGAGCTTGGAATCCTGTTGGCTTTTGGATGTTGATGCGCAATAAGACGATTTGAAAAGAGCCGGACGTTCGGACCCGAACCGGACCACCGGTCTAAAGATGTCGGGGTTGATGATACCGATCGCCGACCAGACAATACTTTAAGCTTTTGATAATACAACATGTAAACCGGAGCTTCGGAGCAATTCACACACTCTTTTACTCTCCATAAGCATTGGGGTACCTTCAGGGCAACAGTGTCGCGGACATTGTGCTGTCCTCTCTCTAAGAGAGGAAAATGTCCCGAGCAGAAGTATCCGTCCTATCTGCCCGCTCGTCTGTAAGCGATAAGAAGCGCCGAGCCGCATCGCCATACAGAGCTGCTGGAGCCTCCACGTTTCACTTTACAAGACTGCCTCATGTAGTAGACTGGATGCAATATGAGCGAGTACAACACCAGACATGGACTCAAACGGAATTGAATTTCCCGTGGGGGCGGTGACGACGACAGAGTTCGCTGGAAGTTTTGAGGCACTCTAGGTCCACGGAGGATTGACAGATGTGCTGGTCCGCGTCACATCGTCCAATATCTTACACACACCCACACAGGTTCTGACCTCGGATGTTGTGATAACGGGCCGTTAATCTTTCCTGCCGGATATAAACCCTGGCAGCTGATATCGCTGAGAACTATATAAATCCTTGGTGGCCGCCGTTCTAAGTTCCTTTTATGCCAGCCTGCTGGATCAGAAAGGTCAGGGAAAATAGTGGTTCTATCTGCCCGTCCACTGCTGCTCGAAATCCTAGCCAACTCTCTGCGAAATACCGGCACTCTACGAATGCATTGCACAGCGTTAATATGACTGCTGCTACTCAAATACCACCCCTAGAATCTTCAGCCTCATCAACAACAGCCAACGGAGCAGACATCGAGTCCCAACGGACCGAGACGAAAGCTTCTCACTTCAGTTTTATACTCGATCAAACAGGCATCACAGAGGCTGTACTGAAGTACAACTACGCTGGAAATGGAACGCCAGAGTCGCCTTACCTTGTCGAGTTTCTCCCAAATGATCCACGAAATGCGTTGAATTTTCCCCGGTCAAAGAAATGGATAATCACTATCCTCCAGGCTATAGCCACACTCGCTGTTGCTTTCGCCAGTACAGCCTATTCAGGAGGTCTCACATCTATCATCACGGAATTCAATGTATCAACTGAGGTTGTCATTCTAGGTATCTCGATGTTCGTGCTCGGGTTTGCTATTGGACCTTTATTCTGGGCACCTCTATCCGAGCTCTATGGTCGCCAGATCCCATTCTTCTTCTCTTACCTGGCCTTGACCGCGTTCAATGCTGGAGCTGCAGGAGCCCCCACGATGGCAGCATTAATTGTACTTCGCTTTTTTGCCGGTTCCTTCGGGTCTTCACCTTTAACTAATGCTGGCGGTGTCATTGCCGACATGTTCGAAGCTCGTGAGCGCGGTCTTGCCACTGCTCTCTTTGCTATGGCTCCCTTCCTAGGCCCTACTATTGGTATGTCGGCTACTGCACTGGTACTTCCATCGTTCTCTTGATCACAGAGAGCTCAATAGACGTTGTTAACCACCTCGGATAGGTCCTATTGCGGGTGGGTTTCTAGGAGAGAGTGAAGGCTGGCGCTGGGTTGAAGGCATGATGGCCATCTTCACAGGCATTGTCTGGATAATCAATTCATTGGTGATCCCCGAGACCTACGCCCCCTACTTACTACGGCGCCGAGCAGCTGCCCTTTCTAAGAAAACTGGAAAGATCTATATCTCCAAAGTCGACGCCGGGAGACCTCGCCATACTGTTACGGAACAGTTTAAAATCGCTTTACTACGCCCATGGGTTTTATTGTTCAAAGAACCTATCGTTCTACTCACCTCGATCTATATGGCCATTATCTATGGTACACTGTACCTTTGCTTTGCGGCTTTCCCGATCGTGTTCCAACAGGGGCGCGGTTGGAGCCCAGGGGTCGGAGGACTTGCCTTTATTGGCATTGCTGTAGGTATGGTGTTTGCAGTTGTCGGTACAATACTGGACCAGAAACGATATATGCGTGTTGTCGAGGCCAATGGCGGTGCTGCACCTCCCGAAGCCAGACTTCCGCCTACTCTGGTTGGGTCGATACTTATCCCAGTAGGACTGTTTTGGTTTGCCTGGACCAATGGGCCTGATGTTCACTGGATCGTGTCCATCATCGGGTCGGTCTTCTTTGCGACTGGCCTGGTTTTGGTTTTCCTCTCATTGTTAAACTATCTCGTCGACTCATGTAAGTTCTCTCGTGTAGCCCTCAGATACCAAACAAGACCCGACCTAATCTCTTTAGATGTCATCTTCGCCGCCTCCGTATTGGCCGCGAATTCGGTCCTTCGCTCGCTCTTTGGTGCCGCCTTCCCGCTCTTCACAACGTACATGTACGACGATCTCGGTATTCACTGGGCCAGTTCCATCCCCGCATTTCTAGCCGTCGCCTGCGTTCCCTTTCCGTTTCTATTCTACACATATGGCGAAACTATCAGGATGAGATGCGAGTTTGCATCGGAAGCGGCCAATGTGTTAGAGCGGATGCGCACTAAACATGAGGTTATCACCGAAGACCAGGCCGCTGAAGAGGCGCACGAGGCCGAGTTGGAGCGCCGAGCAAGTAACGCGCTTCGACGGAGCTTGACTAAGTCGCATTAGAATGGATCTATCAGTTGAGTGGCCTCATCGAAGTCGAGGAGTTTGTGTCGTTCTCCAGATGACAATAGGATATAGCAACATTGGGTTTCTATGTTGGATCTGTTTGTTTAACGTCGATGAATTTTAGTGTTCGTTTTCCATCATTTGAATACACGGTGGACAAAATGTCATGGAATATGGCATTAACAGCTGTGGCCATTTTTGACGATTGTAGGACGATTGGGAAGACAATCACTGGGAAGTCATGGTATAGCAATATTAACATAGGAGATAGAAAAGGAGGCAAGCGTTAAAACTTGAGCAGATATATAATGCAGATAAGAGTTGGTATCTTTGAAATTTTGTCCATCCACAATGGTTGTGATTTCGCCTCATTACTCGTAAACACCGTCTATCACCAAGACCTTTACTGAAAAAATAGCAAACGAACCCTTCCAATATTACACTGAGATCGATTCCACGTTAAGCTCCATTCCTGTAAACTTGCGCTCCCTGGTTTCTGAACATGATTGTGTCTCTCCGTTGCAGAACCATCAGGGCTCGGTTGAGTCCCTGCTCACTGTATCCCTTACCCTCAACCATCTCCCTGCGGAGTGTGGACAGACTGGTACTCCATCCGATCGGAAGACGACGCTTCAGCTCTGCCTCAAGGCGGTTGACCTCATCGTTCAGCTCGCGACTGCCCTGGTTACTGCCCTGGTTGACAGCATCCATGGTAGAACACAAGAAGAGACGGATGGCTTCGTCCACGTGCGTTTCGGTGGCGATGGGAGAGAGGGTGAGCTTAGCAAGGGACTCAGTAATACGAACGATAGCTTCGAGCTGACGGACAGTGATAGGGATAGAAGAGCGAGTGTTGGCCTCCATCTCAGCGGCATGGACCTGGCGACGGATGGAAACAAAGTGAGAAGAAAGCTTCTCAGCAGCCTCATTGCTAAGTCGAGGGGCACATCGACTATTAAGGGTTAGTATAGGCAGAGAGGATAGAGGAGGGAATAGCTTACGTCTTGCAGTAGGTGATGTATCTTCGCATCTTGTCAATCGGGATTTCAGACTCGGTCATGTCCTCGGCGCCTCGACCGTTCATCTGAATACCAAGAACGTGCTTGGCCATGGTCTCGTCCTTTTCACGGCTATGTTCATCCTTGACAATGTAAATCATATCGAAACGTGAAAGGATGGTGGTCTGGAAGTCGATATTCTCTCCAGGAGTCTTCATATCATCATATCGACCGAAAATAGGGTTGGCAGCGGCCAAAACTGATGTCCGCGCATTAAGAATGGTAGTGATACCAGCTTTGGCGATAGAAATAGTTTGCTGTTCCATAGCTTCGTGGATTGCCACTCGGTCCTCGTCCCTCATCTTATCGAATTCATCGATACACACCACTCCACCATCAGCCAAGACCATCGCACCACCTTCGAGGTAGAATTCACGAGTGGACTGATCACGCTGAACAGACGCTGTGAGACCTGCTGCAGATGAGCCCTTTCCGGAGGTATAGATGGAGATCGGAGCTGCCTTTTCGACAAACTTCAGCAGCTGAGATTTGGCTGTACCAGGGTCACCAAGAAGCAACACGTTGATGTCTCCTCTTAGCTTCATTCCGTCAGGCAGAATCTTCTTTGAGCCACCTAATAGCAAGCAGAGAATTGACTTCTTGATATCACGGTTTCCGTAGATAGAGGGGGCGATGCAGTCAGTCATGACGTCGTAAAGGTCCGGGCGTCTGCTCATTTCCAGGAATTCTTGCTCTTCTTCTTCACTGAAAGTTGCATTTCCCTTGGCTGCTTGATCGATATCTGACTGGATTCCAACCGCCCTCAAATAGGGGGTACGAATAGCCACAGCACCGCCGGTGGAGGAGTTCTTGGAAGCCTTATTTTGGTAGATGGAGAAGATGCCTGTGACAGTACACCTTGAGCCTGGGACAACTCTATTTGTCAAGTATCTGTCGGCTGAGATAAGAACGTGTCTGGGCAGTTCTCCTACGGGAACTTGATCGGGCGCTTCCTGAAGCTTGATAATTTGTTGGTCGACGAAACGAGACTTCTCATGGGCGACGAAATAGGGGTCCATGGGACATTTTGGCGTTGGGTCATTCGGAACTCGGCTTCGACTGCATTGTCGGGGAAGAGTGACACCTGTGAAGCCACCAAAGACAGGAATATTCTGAGTATGCCCACAGTTGCGACATTGTATATGGAGCTCTGTTGCCTTTGATGACATGACAGAGGCACCAATGACAATACCTGGCACACGTACCAGTCGTGAGATGGTTTCGGAGTCGAGGTTTCGGATTGAGACATCGTCGGCGTTTGAGTGAAGAAGAAGCTGGTGCTCAGGAAGCTCGACCTTGGGTTCGTGGGGGAAGACAATGCGGTGTGTGCATTTCTTTAGCGCATTCTCGAACTAGTATTGGTCAGACATATGCTGTGTGCAATGTGCGATGCTGTGATTTGCTCCTTACCAGAGGGATGATCTCGGCAGGCTCAGAGGTCAATTGATGTGCCAGATCTTCGTTGAAGCTGATCAAATCGTTAATGTTGACGTCGCAGAAGTATCTCTTGAGTAGCGCATTCTCTCGTAGTTGATCTCTATAATATTGTCAGCACATGTGATTGTCTTGTGTATGCATGAATGATGCTCAGGGCAGCACAAACCTGTAAACGAAATTGTTGTCGATACGGAAGTCGAGGATGAAGGTTTCAAGCTGCGTCTGACGTTGAAGTCGCGTATCTCCGTTTTCACCGAAAGACGGCTCATAGACGTGAGTCGAGTAAACTGATCCGCGATCCATCTTGTTGTTTGTGGTTGTGAATGATAAGGTATCGTATCGTATCCCTTCTTCTCCTCTGCTTGGTCGTTGTGAAGCCCGAAATTGACTTTCAGACAGGGGAGATATGAGGGGCTTGGTCTAGTTGCAAGGGGCAACCTTAGCTAAATCAATTAACGACCTGGAAAGCGCGACGCGTAGAATTGCAGGGTACGTAACTTCAAACGGTCTTCATCACGTGACGGCAATCATCGTTCTAGGGGGGGAAGCTGCGACTTACAAGGTGTCTAGATGGACAAGGTACCTACCCCAGGTGCAGTAACTTGACTTAACTTACTCGAGACCCTTTTTGGTGATGACGGCGCATTCTTGATTCTTCCTTCAGTCCCTCTCTTCTCTTCACTTAATTGTCATTTCCATCTTGTCCAAATACCTGCTGACTGACGTATTTCTGTTTGGCTCCCATCTTTCCAGCGATGATACCCTAATAATCTACCAACTTCATCCGTCACCCAGGCCTGTGCCTCACTCCATCTAGAGCTTCGCCCATCATGTTTTCCAGCTCTCCCAACGCAGCCAAGTCTGCCGATAACCTCGCGGCCTTATCCCCTATAGGCCATGGCGAGCTTCCATTTCATAGGTAGTCATAAATACTTCTCAGAAGCTTTCAAGCTATGAATCTGACATGTGATGCAGTAGCAACCATAGACATCCTCAAATGCATCCCCACCCGTCAGCGCGACGTGGCTCTACAGCGAGCTCCATTCATTCAGTAGGAGGCGTGCTTGACAGCGCTCCTAGCAGTTTGGCTGCCTCGGTGTATGAATCAAGCCAAAATGGTTTGTCTTGTTCTTGGAATCCTCCATCGCAATGGCTAACCGCTGGAAGCTATCTCGACCCTGCTTCAGCCCCCGATTGTTCGAACCGGCCTTCAGCCTCACACCTCCGCACCAGCTTCGACTGCGCATAAGCCTCCGACTGCTCGAGATATTCCTCCGGTCACCTTGACAAATATCACAAAAGTCGACGTTCAAGAATTTAGCCCATACTTATCCAAGGTTGGAGCACTATACGACCAGCTGCAACGATTGAAAGAAAGCGACGAAGAGGACAACAAAGAGCAGCGTTCCGATCGGCAAGATACTCCAACTGATTCGAGTGGTGATGGATATTTGCGACCGGGTCCAAAGCCTCGCCCAACTCGCAAGGGCTCGACTGCATCGCTTTCATCGATGAATTCAAATGATGGCCAGGGTCCAGTTCGAAGACCAAGCGCTGGCTTTATTCGAAGATCTACGCAAGGGCCACCTCCGCTATCAACCATCCCAACTGTATACTTTGACGACGAGTTCCATCTTGAAAATCCCCGTACATTCGACATTGTGAGCGAACGATCCGAGGTTATCCGACCTGCCAATGCCGAAGATGCGAAAGGTGCGCTCAACGGAAGCGCTGCGGCGCCGCGGAAGGCTCTCGCAACCAACGCAATCCTACAAGAAAAGCTGTCGTGGTACATGGACACTATTGAGGTTCATCTCATCAATTCTATCTCGACCGCTTCAACAACATTCTTCACAGCATTAGGATCCTTGAAGGAGCTCCACTCAGAAGCTGCGGAATCTGTTGAGAGGATCAAGACGCTCAGAAAAGAGCTCGAAGCGCTCGACGAGGAGATTGCGACCAAGGGTTTGCAGATTGTTCACCAGCGAAGACGGCAGGAAAACTTGCGCCAGCTCAACGACGCCGTGCTTCAGCTCAAGCAAATCGCGGATGGTGTTGCAGGCTGTGAGACGCTTGTGAATGAGGGAGAAATCGACAAGGCCCTTGCGAGCATCGACTCGCTCGAAAAGCTTATTGCTGGTGAAAGGGACACTACTTCTGACAACCAACCGAAAATCCAATTGCTGGACCTGCGATCAGCTTCGGCTCTGCAAGGCGTTAATGCGGATTTGGCCCTTTTACGTTCGCGCATTGGAAAGGCGTACGAGACCAACTTCCAGGATATTTTGATCCGTGATTTGCGTCGACATGTCGAATCAGTGTCATCTCCAGAGATTCTTCTTAGATGGGATGCTTCGGCAAATAGATCCAAGGCTGGTCATGTCAGGTCTCCTTCAGTTTTCCCAACGTATCTGACGAATACCGATGAATTAAAGGCTGCACTGTTGCCTAACATGGTTGGGTTGCACCGAGCGAAGCATATCGCGGCTGCAACCATCGCTTACCGAGAGGCTGTCTTGCGTGAGATCAGGAACTTGATTAGACGACCTTTACCCAGCTCCACGGATGATGATAATGAGTCAATGATGTCGGTCTCTACTGCAAGCGGTGGCCGCCATCTGTCGAATCAAGAAAAGTCGTCTATTCTGGCACGGAATCTGCGGGCTTTAGACCCAGAAGACGGCGAAGATCTTTTAGTCAAAATCTATATCGGAGTCACGGAGACACTCAGGAGACTTACAACTCAGGTCAAGGTCTTGTTGGAGATCACAAGCTCCCTCACCGAGAGTGCACAGGGCGACACTCTAAAATCCCCTACAGTGAGGTCGCCTATCTCTAGCCCAAGACCAGACAGATTCGCAAGCAACCCGATGAACAACGCAGTGTTTGAAGTTCAAGAGGAGCTGCACAAGAGCTTGGATATTACCAACCTCCTTGGCCAAGCAGTGGATGTGGCGATTGAAAAGATTGTCAAGGTGTTGAAGGTTCGGGCAGAGCAGACTGCGCAACTGCCACTAACTCTTTTCCTGCGTTACTTCACGCTCAATCTCTATTTTGCCAACGAATGCGAGTCGATATCCGGCCGAAGCGGCACGTCTCTGAAAAATGTGGTTAATGGACACATCAAAGACTTCGTGCAAAGGAATCGCGACGCTGAGATGCAGAAGCTGGCTCAAGGCATGGAATCGGACCAGTGGAATGCCAAAGATTTCGATGAGAAGAACACGGACTTGCTGAATATCATTCTGGGGAGCAGTACTCACGATCCCCAAGAGTGGACCGACAGCACCAAGATTTGGATTTCCAATTCCGAGTTGGAACATCATAATGAAGAAGAGAATATCGAGACGAATGGCACCGGCAAAGAGAAGACCAGAACCGCCACAATCGATTCGGAAAGCTTTATGCTACCGAAATCGGCCATTCTGTGCTTGGAAGGCATTGCCAAATTCTCTCACCTCATTAATGGAATTCCATCAATGACCCTTGATATTGCAACGTCCTTGATCGCGTATCTTCAACTTTTCAACTCGAGATGCACGCAACTTATTCTGGGTGCTGGAGCGACTCGATCAGCTGGCCTAAAGAACATCACAACCAAACATCTAGCGTTGGCCTCCCAAGCGCTCTCCTTCACGGCTACCCTCATTCCACATGTCAGAGAATTTGTGCGAAGGCATGCTGGATCAGGAGCGAACGTGTCGAATGTCATGGGTGAATTCGACAAAATCAGGCGGCTGTTGCAAGAGCATCAAGACAGCATCTACCAGAAGCTTGTTGAGATTATGAGCGGTCGAGCAGCCATTCATTCGCGTACGATGAAAACAATCGATTGGGAAGCAGATGGAGGCAAGAGCGTCCATTCATACATGGAAACATTGGCTAAGGAAACGACGACTCTTCATCGTGTTTTGACTAAGCATCTTCCTGAGACATCGATCCAGATGATTATGCTTCCTGTGTTTTCCAGCTACAGAGATCAGCTTGGGTCAAGCCTCAGGGATGCAGATCCCAAGACCGAAGCTGGCCTCAAGAGGTATGTAATATGCAGTCCACCACCGGGCTATCCACTAATCACTCTCTTAGTATGAATAATGATATTGAGTTTCTGACAATGAAACTTGGCAAACTGGACGGGTTCGGGGATACGGGAGAATATCTTCAGAAGATCATCAAGTCAAAGCAGGTCAAGACGGTGGAACCAGCTATCGAACCCACATCAGAAAAGAAGGATGATGAATCCAAAGAGAACGAAACAGGTCCTTCCGCAGAGGCTGCAGAGTCTACAGAGCCTGCCGAGAAGAAGGAATAGAGTTAGTTATGGCGACGACTTGAATAATCGTGCCACTGTTGGGCCAAGAACCATACCACAATTGTGCAAAGTGCGCCTTACGTTGATGCTTTACCCAACTCAGTCAGTTACTGGGAACTGCTTCCGGCTTCCACCGTCCTGTCATAGGCTCGAACTTGTATATTGCGCAGAATTTGACGAGTACACCACGGGTCTATTCCCACAGTTCAGAGTTATACTACTGTACGCTAAACACGGCGGCTGGCGTCAAGCTTATCGTGTTTTTCCCGCGACCCGCATTCCAGAGCACACAGCATTCCAGGTCTCAAGCCTCAACCGGACGCCTGCTTCCAACCAGCGCAAAATTCGAATGTGTACACGGGGAGAAACCGTCTCATCTGGGCGGGAACCGCTTGGTCGGGTTCCGAGAGCTCGGCAGGGTCTTCTGGCGCTGCGCCTTCCGGCAAGGGCGTTTCTGTCATTGACGATGACTTTTTGCTTTTTATAGTTCAGAATTTTCAAAACATACTGAAACGATACAATCAATTCAGGTAATTCAACTTCGATTTGGATCATCTATTCAGCCTATACGTGAATCTTGCCGCTTCCTTTAGTCGAGTGCGGTCTTGGAGATCCTTCCCGAGAGCACGGGCCAAGGAGCTAAGGATGAGGCAGTTCCTATGAAATTCACATGTCAATAGAATCGTTCCGAAGTTGTACAGACAAGGGGCGCGGAAACATTGACAATCCCGCGTCGAGAGGCCATGTTTATCATCTCGATATCACATGTGCTTTTCCGTCGTACAAAGAAAGAAACTATGTATGTACTGTGCTGTATCATTGCCAAGGGGAAGACTTTGACGGGTAAACCTTAAAAAAGAAAGTTGGGATGAGAGACAATGAGGTAGTGATCTGCAATCGTGTTGATCAATCAATTTATCGATCTGTTGTAACTCAAAGGGGGTTTATTCTTAGAGCATCTTGGCATATCCTGCCCATCCCTAGGGAGAATTCATAGTACAGGACCAACAAGCCCTGCAATTCAACAGTGGTCGTCCTGTGAGAATTTATTCAACAAATACATACAGTACCATCCTGGTTTTCTGTGCTATCTACACCTAAGTACTAAATTTACAGCAGAGACGTATTGGTGACGACGTTACATCCCGGGCAGGGGATCAACCTTGTACCTGCAGACACGACATCAGGCCGTGATGCTGACCTGACGTGTCTCCCTCAACTCGGTCAGGATCGAAAAGCAGAAACAATGATTTGATTCGACAGTTGGCCGAGTGCCGAGTAAGCAGGAGGCTGAAGGTTGGTAATGCATTGTAACTAACAGTGCTTTGTTTGCTCAATAAGGAGAAAACAACGCAGTTCAAGGTGTGCTAGCAAAAGAAACGTTCAGGGGGAGGGGTTTGTTTCAAGCGTGCATGTGGCTTATCCTTTGTCACCGAGTGACACCACACGAGTCAACTCAATTTGTCTGATGGTTTTCACTAAGTTCTTCACTGGTCAAGTTTCTTTCAAGGCATCGAATGAGTCAAGATCAATCATCTATGTTCAGTTTTCTATGTCCAAGTCTAAAGTCTAAAGGTCGTGTCCAAAAAAGGGATAATTCCCATCATTTTGTAAGGGAGCTTTTGCGCTCCAAGTCAAGTATGTACAAAGAATTTTATGTAAAAAGTCTTTCAACGAATGTAAGAATGTGTGTAGAATGTAGAACGAGTGCCAGCCTCAACCCTCTTGCTAACACAAGAGGCATCAAGCCTGTGATGATGCAAAAGCGCGAAAGGGAGTGACGACGCTCTGCATTGTTTGGAGGAACTCATGTCCTGTTTTGTCCTTGTCTTGTCTTGCCTGGGTAATCTATCCATCCATAAGCGCCAACTGCTCCAGCCCAAAGGTCTATAAGAAAGGCCTCGGTTTTGCAACAAACGAGGGGTATCTTTCAGGGTATGTAAAACGAGAATCGTGTAGTGTAGAAAGGGATTCATGACATCGTCAATGCGGTGTTCAACGCCGCGGCGTGTAAAGGTGAAGAAAGGGGGTAGGTGAAGAAGTGAAAATCAAGAACCGTCCGGGCAATGGCAGTAGGGACGCTTAAGCACGCTTGGCCTTGTAAGGGCTGGAGCCAGAACCAAGAGTAGTGATGAGGTCAACCTCCTCAGTAACCTTGGTCTGAACATCATCGGGGAGCCAGTAGGCGTTGTCGCAAGGGAACTGCTCACAACCCGACATGGGAGAGGCACCAGTCTTGGGCCACATCTGCTTGACGTTGTCCTTATCGTTAGGGTCGACAATGGCAGAGACGTCGAAGTAGGTCTTGCCGTTCCAGCCACCGAAGGTGACCTCGCCGAGCATGCCAGGCTTGTCCTCGTGGCCCTTCTGGACAGCGTAGAAGTTACCGATGTACTTGTCAGGGAAATCAACGGTAACCTCCTTAGCACTGCTGACAGTGACGGACTCGGGGCCCTCAAATCCAGGGTCAGGGGTGAAGATGATGGTGCGCTCCTTGTCATCGAGGGTAACAAAGGTGACGGTGGCAGCAGCAGCGTAGGTAGCAGAGGCAACGAGGCCAACGAAAGCGGTAGCGAACTTCATTTTGGCTGTTTTTGTGGATTGGAGTGAGAATGGGGTTGTGGAGTTTTCTCGATTGTCGTCAAGACAAGAGTGTTGATGTTGTGCAGTGTCTGATGAAAGACTGAATCAGGACGTGATAGTCAATGTTACTCAGAATGATAGAGTAACTTGGTGATGATCGAGAACTAGCTCGTGGAATTGTTCAGGGATTGTGTAGATTCGACTTCAAAAGGAATGAGAAGCGTTGAATCAAAGGAATGATCGTCCGGAGACAAAAAGGTAATCTGAAACGGAAGGACTGTGTTGTGTTGATCAGAACAAACATCTGGAGAAGGGGGAAAGAGGCCCGTTTTATAAACGAGATCTGAACGCGAGTAACTGCACCCAGAGACCTGGCACCTCACCTCTTTGCTTGAGAGCCAGGTACTCGAGATCAGATTTGTCAAGGAAAACGCTCGGCGCCTCAGTGGAGACCAGACACGAGGAGGGTGTCCTAGTGTCTTGACCCGACGGACCCTACAAAAAGACTTCCCGGTGGTGTTGTGGGGTGGTAGGCACAAATGTGATGAGAACCACTTCATCGGCCAACACAGCGAAGTACATATGTACGGCAACACTGTACAGTGCACTCAAAATCTGCAGGCTTGGTGATACCGGTGGCTCTGCTCGATCCCCCGCATGAGCAGTCACTGTGTTATTCCCAACGCTTCCCAATTATCCAAGGCGGCAAGTCCTTTCCATGGCATGTGCTGCAGTGTTGACTGCTATACGTATACGTATGCAGCGTGTACATACACCGCGGTACCTGTCCTGTTGCTGGTGGTGGTGGTGTGGGCTCATTTTGACTGTTGCTGAGTGGCCCGTGAGATGCCTGTTGACTGCGGCCCGGTTCTATAAGCTTTACGAACAAAGGGAGGTCAGGCCGTTGTTTCAACGTCCCCTTCAAGGTTTCGTTCATCTTGTCTGTTCTTTATGAAATACTCGGTTGGTTGTGCTTATTGGTCGTCTCGAAATGAAACAATTTGTCCATCTAGAGCCTCATTTCAGACATGACTTCGCACCCTGGACACTGGTCTATAATAAGCGCGCGACAACAAAATGTGAAGGGCGGAACAGTAATACTACCCGTACAGTATGAACCCAGAACGGGAGCCCCCCAAAAGCCTGCCAGACTGCCCGAGTAGAGGGATCCAGCTCTGCGAGATACAAGCTTCTCGGGCCCTCTTCGAATGGAACCAGGGCAACGCTTCCCCTGCCAGCCTAGGCCAACAAACCGGTAGAAAAAAGGCGTCTGTCAGCGATTCAGCGTAGCCGCTCCCAGTTCCGCGGCTGGGTACAGTACCGGTAGAGTAAGCTGCAAGGGTGTGGCCAAGCGGGCGACTACCGCAAGGGCACCCACAAAAACGCTCTAATTTTTCTTCTAGCTGCATATTGACTTGGTTCCCTCGGCCACTTCTGTCGTCTTATTGGCTGTCTGTTTGCCACCAGTGCCTGGTACCTGACAGCGTCCATGTGGTCGGACTGTGGAAGGCTTGGTTCGAAGACTGCTCAGCGCCGAATGGGTGTGAGAATGGTAGGGAACGCGCAGGACCCAGAAACAGTGAGCAGGGTTGACTGCAAGCTTGAGGTGCGCGTCAGCAATAATAACGTAGGACTTTTCTCCTACTTCGCTACTCGTGCCGGGAATAGTCTGGTCCCATGCAAGCACTTACTACGTAGTGCGCAACGCTTGCTGGCATTACCAACAACCTGAGACTTGGTGAAAACTCTGAATAGCCTGGTCACGGCTAACCACTGACGACAGTGTGGCTTTCTCCTCTGTCAGTGACACGTGGATACTGAATCAATGAATTGGAGCTATTGCGTCTTTTCTGAATCTGAAAAATCAAAACAGACTTTTCATTTTACAGGCACTAACAGTCGAGCATTCCTGACTGTGGCCCCGTTGCAATGCCGTCGTTAACAAGCTCGTCCTTTCAAAACTCAAAATTGGGCGACAGCCACTTCAGAGGGCCAAGACCCTAAGTAAATGATTCAGACCTTAATAATTGACCACCCATGGCGAGAGTGACCCGACTCGGTCTATACGTATGCTGACACGTTGCGATGCCAGTTAAGCATAGTCAGACGGGTCTTCCAGACCGTTGACTGTGCCTGGCGATCAATTGTCTCCAAATGCCACGCTTCTTGAGAGAAAAACTAAGCATCTGGTCGGGAACCAGGGTAAAGCTGCCGCGTCACCAATCATCAGCTAAGGCAGCTGCTAAAAAAGCTCACATCCCTGCAATCGATGCTGGGTCGTTGATTCATTAACATGTCCAAGCGAAGTAGCTGCAGAAACATTGGAGATAAGGTACGAGAATGGTAAGTGGGGGATTGGTCCGCAAATACAGTCATTATATTGGCGTTATTATTGCTCGGGCTTCCTTGAAGTGCTGTTTTGTTGACAATTACGCCTTGCTAATTGCGTTGGCCGATGAGACAAGGCAGGATGGGCCGAGATGTTTGCCTGAGGCGTCGACACTAAGGCAAGGAACTAACGGATTCGTATAAACGGAGTGGGAACAGAAGAAAAAAACGCTTTCTTGGTGCGTTAAAAACGTTGCGGACTTTCTTCCATCTTGGTCGTCGAGGCCGTCGGACACAGTATGAAACTGTCATGAACGGTGCCAGCGCCGCGCGGCTTTAGTATCGTTCTCGAATCGTCGGCCCAGCCCGGAGAGTGCTCCGTTCTGCACGTTCTGCAGCCAAGCACCAAGTGTGCTTGTTTGTGTGTGTGCTGATTATTAGTCTGTTGCTATTATCCAGTATTATTCCTTAGGGCAATTGGTTGCCATAGGTTTTGTCGAGTTCAGTTGCAAAGTCTGACGTTCATATCACGAACTGCCTTGTTGTTGATGTGTCGATCATTGTCTTTGAACAAGGATTGTGCCAAAGCTTCCTCGATCTGTGTTGAGCTTGCACCGAATTTGCTTGTTCAATCAGGCACGATCGATTGCATCTTACCTCATACTGCAGCGGATTGTACAGTTGATGGCACGTCCGCCAAACATGAACCAAGTCTTTTTTAGTTCCATCGCCAGTGATGTCCGTCAAAGGTTCGTCGTTGCGAGTCATCGCGGTTGCCAGAAGGTGAGCGATTTCATAACTCGCCCGCATGAAGAGAAGGGCTAGACTCAGCGTCGGTACTGTCCAATGTGTTCTAAGCTTGGTGTCGACGATTCTCTCGATGCAGTACTATACCAGGACGTGCATGTTATCAGAGTCTAGGTCTTGTCGTCCAATTTGCTTAGGCTATCGTGGCGGAAAATGCAGAGCAAAGTTTTCTTCTCTTAGCCAAGTTCGGATTCGAGGTCGCCAATGAATCGTATATGACTGGTAGAGAGCGATTGAGAGGCTATCCAGCAAGTTCCACAATTGAAGGACTGGCTGGTCAGATACTCTAGTTCTATGCGGTGCGCTACTTTTGCCTGAAGTTGTGCGCAGAGCGTGCCAGTGGCTGTGATCCAAAAGTAGGCAGTAATAGGAAAGATCCACAGCTTCAAAAGACCGACCGGCCACCCGGCGGTTGTGACGTGTGGCCGAGAGCTGGGTCTGATCCGTCACCGAAGAAAACAGCCCCGCTCAGGGTCAAGTTGCCGGCACACTTCGGGCAAGAATAGCCCCTCCATTGTGATGCAATAACGTATCGCTCAGACTTGTGGACAAGGTTCGTGGTCAAGAAAGTAGAGCGAGTGGTTGGCTCTTCCATAGCAGAAGAATTCGGACTGTATAAACCGTAATCTGTCATCTCGAGTCGGGCTGATGTGCTAGCTCTAACACCAGGATAGTCGGCTTCAAATGTCGTACCGTAGTGCAATGGTACTTGACCGGTTGGGGTAAGATATCAAGAATGCAGTAAGTTTTCTCATGTCCGGATAAATGGCTGGATGGTAGGGTCTAAGGACGGGCTTCCTGCATCAAGGTCAATCACCAGAAAATCTACTTTGTACGGACGTTGCATCCAACGCTAGGTTACTGCAGCCAGATAGAGATGGTGTGTTCATGATCGGGCGGAAGCCTGAAGAAAGCGGTCGTTCTTCCACAAGCTGATTCATACTTCGTCACTTGACGTTCACGTTTTGCATGCGATCCGGTAGTGCACAGGCTGGTTTCAAGGTGAGAAGAAGTAGAGACCGAGTGTTGGGTGACTCGGTAGAAGTGACTGATGCTTGAGCAAAAGAAATGGATATGCCAAAACGTGGTGGCAGCGTCTTTTGTGATTTAAGATTTGACGTGTTGGACCTGGAAAGGGGACATGAAGAGATAACGGGGGGTCATCTTGTCAAAAAGCGCAGCGTGCTTGGAAGAATCCAGTTTTGGAAAACATTGAGGTCACGGTCAAGAGAAATGCAAATCCCTTGTGTTGAGGGGCGAGTGCCGCGTGATCATGACTCCTTCCGATCTACCTTGAATTGTCACGTGACTGTACAGCCGATCAGGTTGCGACTTCCTTACCTTAGAGGGACGAACATCTTTTGCTTCATTTGTTTGGGAAGGTGCCTCCCTGACATTATTGATGTTGTCAGTCAGAAATTACCAAAACCTCTCCCTTTCCCCCAATTTCTACAGCATATTTTGCTCCGTAGGGTGCCTGGCTGCCAACATGAATGATGTCCAGGACAAGAATATCGTCACCACTCACACGACTCACTGACACAAGTATAACACCAACAGCTTTCAAGACCGCTAACGTTGAAAATAATATAAGACCTGCTGAGAGTATCGGAAAATGTCTATACCAATTCATTGCATGGATTTTGAAATGAGACGTGGCATTGTGCTTTTACTGTAAAGATATCTACCCTATTGCTGTCAAGTGGTTGATTGATCCTATATGACATATTGAAGCGCCGCCACTGGACATGTGGGAAGGGAGCTGTAGTGATTTACGTAAAGATATTGATAGTTTTTAATCTTCTCTAGACAAGTTTATCAAAACGACACATCAGCCATGGATGAAAACTGAGTTTGAAGTGAGTTGCATGCATGCACCAACCATCGTACATGTAACTACATTCTTCTTGGATCTCATCGTTCTGTTATATGATTCTATCGACTAACGATGATTACTGGAGTTTATTTCTGTTACCCAATTACCTAGTAGGAAATATCGAACGGGATGAAGTGACATAACCCCAAACCGGATCCTCCTAGCAATTTACATCCAGAAACAACGATGGTTTACACCAAGAGGTAAGATGATTTCTTTGTAGCATATGCCAACTGGGTCCCAATTCACAAGAAAGAAACACTAGAGATATCCATATTAGAATCAAGAGCCAGAAAGCCATCGCATTTGCCCGCAATCTTCAATCGGCGTCCCCATCACCAACCTCCTGTTCATCGACCTATCATATGACACCAATATCTGGGTACCTGTCGCCCCTGAGCTTAATTCTAAGCATATTGAAACCTAATACCCAATAGAAGTTTATGATTTCTTGCAGTATTCTGCCACAATCCCCTGCTGCGCTCAGAAGTGCTTCATGACGACGAGAGTCGACCTGGTCAGCGCCTCATAGCTCGTACTTCTGCATCGTAACTTTCATGGCTTGAACAAACACATGTCAACCGTGCGGCTTCCTCCGCGATGTCTATACTGACCATAGAAGCTCTACCGCCATGGCTTGTTTCAGGCGTCATCTCTTCTCCAAGATACTTTATGAAGCTCTCATCAACTATAAAAGATGTCGATTCACCCTCAGTGAGCTTTGATATCTTACAATCAACCTGACAAAGTTTCCTCTACGAGCCAAGGTCAGCCTACAAACTTATTCACTCGTTATAAATCAAGATGAAGACCATCCAGACCCTTCCCGTAGCCATGATGCTCTCAGGCGTCATCGCTGGTGAGGAGTTCCCATCTATGCCCGGCATGAAGGGCGAGGGAATGTCTGCCCCTACCAAACCACCTCCTTCTACTGCTATGGGTGGCATGGGTAGTGGCATGGGCGCCAACTGCCCTCCAGCTGTGAGTTAAAAACTACTATTCTACTTGAAACCATTCTGACTTGACCCGTCCTAGGTGCCTGTCACAGTCACAGAGCCAGTTTACATTACTGTTACTGGTAAGTGAATCGTATATACCGGATATGTCTGCTGCATAGTAGTACTTATTCCATTTGGTGATGTTTTATGCTGACACTTGGTGATGATAGAGTGCCCAGTAGCTCCTCCTACTGGAGGTCCTACTCCTCCCACTGCTGGCGGCGAGTCTTCCCCCCCTCCCGCTGGTGGAGAGTCTCCTCCTCCTCCTGCTGGCGGCGAGTCTCCTCCTCCTCCCGCTGGTGGAGAATCCCCTCCCCCCCCTGAGGAAACAGCTCCTCCTACCACGCCCGAGGAACCTATCGTTCCTCCTCCTTCCGGACCTTCAGAGACCCCAGTTGGACCTCCCGCCGTGCCGGTTGCGGCTGGTAACAAGGCTACCTGGAGCCTAGGAGCTCTCGTCATGGCAGGAGCTGTTGCTCTGGCACTCTGAACGACGTAGGAATGTGGTGAGCATGCGTTCTAAATACTGCTACGCATGGGAGCCAAGAGTTGACAGCAGAGCTGAGTCTGTTGGATATTGATGAAGGAACTCTATCAAAATATGTGTATGCAACGAGGTAGAACACTGCCACGTGTCGTTCATTAGTGATACTACAATTGAAACACTGGTTCTGGATTCAAACTTGGTTTTCTGACGGGGTCACTGGGTGACCGGTGACAAACATTGCTTCATTTCTTTTTACATTGTTGGGTATAAACTATTCGTACATCTTCGAATGATATCGTGTTAACGATGTCAGTTCAAGCTTTCATCTTCGGGCCAACTCCATCTTTCCTGTCAAAAGTGCCGCTCGCCGGCATCAGAATGGATGATCCAGGATGTGATCAGCAGTAGATCCGGAAGAGTCGCCTGTCGATCTTATCCGATGCTGGAATTGACGAGTTTTGGAGGCTCTGCTCCTGCTCTCACCTGTCAAACAGACTAGGTAATTTAGTTAGTCCCATGTTATACCCGCTGGCCGAACCGCTTGGTGTGATTAGTTGGGTGATGCTTCCATCCACAAAACAAGACAAACAGCCACTCCTGAGCCACACTGACCAATACAGTTCATTAGTTGCGTAATACATTTTCTCGTAAGTCGAATATGCCTCTCATCCGTTGCTTATTGGCATCATGATAAAGCATTTACTCGTCTTCGCCGATACTCCTAGCTCAGCGGGTCAAGCATCCCGGTTGCCTCCATGCGTGATCGGACCTCTCGCACAAGGGCCTTTGCTTCCTCTACTTCGACACCGTCCTGACACAATTCGCCTGCAAGACGAGATGCTGTCATGTAATCTCCCGTGCGCATCGAGAATTTCGCAAGCCACATGCGCGCCTTGCTCGTGGCTGCTGTAACTCCTGTTCCTTCATTGCCCGAATTCTCGTCGTTCTCGGCGCCATTGTCAGAGCCTGCTGGAGAGTCGTTGTGAATAGCAATTGACTCTGCTGGGTCGGCTTCTGCAGCTCCACCACCATCTTCCTGAGCCACGCACAATTCCATGTAGGATCTGGCCTCCTCCTCTTCGCCCAATTGATCATACATGACCGCAATCTGTAGGAGGATATCGGGATCCATATGGCCAGTGGCGCTGCGACTACCGAGCAGATCTCCGCTACCAAAACTGCTACCCACATCATAATATGCATCAGCGAGCAATGCTCGTTTTAGTGCTTTGATACCATCGCGTTCTCGGCCCATCTTCTGCAGACACGAGCCTACAGCCATCCACATTTTACCATCCCATGGCCGAAGGCCGGCGGCTTTCTTGTAGTACCATAATGAGTACGTATGCATTTCAAGCATCTCATAAGTCTGGCCTAAGCCGTACCAGGCCCGGTAGTCTCGTCGGTTCACGTCAACAGCCCGGCGGTACGACTCAATTGCTGCGTGAGTATTTTTGAGTTCAACATACTCATGACCCATGAGGGTCCACGCCGAGAGACATGAGCGATCAAGTGTCAGAGCACGTCTGAAATACTGGACAGCTTTCTCATGCATCGAGAGCAGAGAATAGTAATTTCCAATAACCACACAGGACTCGGGTCTAAATTTGTCGACGCTGGAGCAAAGATGTGCCAGAAATGCCAGCTTTGGTCGAAGATTGAGGACATAGAGAATATTGGAGTAGTGGTCTAGAGAATCCAGCCTATGGGGGTGGAGTGCCAGCAGTCGAGTAAAATGCTGTTCAGCAGCCATCAAGTCCTTGGCGTGATAAGCTAGCAATGCATTACAAGTGAGGAGAAAAGACGACGTAGGGAATATCGAGAGAAGCTGTTCAAGAGAGTTGGCGAGGCCAGGGCCTTGCTGGTAGAGCTCGAGAGAGGTGTGCAAGTGGAACATATAAGAGACAATGTTTTGAGGACAATGCCTGGATATTCGGTTCAACTGCGAGGAGGTTAGTAACTCAAAAAGCCCGTTAGACAGTCACATGTATGACTTACATCCTCGACTCGAGATATTAACGACGTCATTTCCAGCCAGCATCCCCAGTTCATGGTGTACTTGTGCACGCTTCGGATGAAGTATTCCAATGCTTTATCGTCGTTCTTTTCCTTGGCGAGAACCATTCCATATCTGCCAAACGGAGGTTAGTCGAGTAAAAATAGAAACAATAATTTCAGTACTCACAAATATTCAAGCCACCCCTGACTGCCCAAAACCTCATCGTCTTCAGTCGTTCTCTCTTCGAACCAAGTTGCTAGAAAATGGCCTATGACGAGTAACTGCTTATTGGACACTGTTCCAAGATCTTGAGGGCCCATAACCATTTCAGAATCTTCGTTCCTGCGCTTCTCCCCTGACATGAACTTGGCGTAGAGTGCTAAGAACAAACTCTTCTGGCTGAGCTTGGGGAGGGGTATCGCGGTCGATGCCTCGGATGATTTTCCTTTCCCCCTTCCGGCCGCAGAAGATGCGGAAGCATTGTCGACTCGCGAGGCAAGGACACTGGAGAGGAGCGAGTCTGGAAGAAAAACGGCGGCGCAGCGATCGTATTCTCGACAGTCGAATAGGGATTTGGCCAAGAGATACTTGCTCAGTTCTTTAGCCTCGAGCAGTGCTTCTTCTGGGTCGCTATTCGCGGCGAATACGGGAGAGATATGACTGGGATCTGCTGGATTGATATTTTCTTCGTCATCGTCGGGTTCGGGAAGCGCATTCAATAGCTCGGCGGCCCTGATTCTATCAGTTTATGCGCTGGAGTGACCAGTTGATAAGTTACCATACCACTTCGACGATTGATACAGGCATCTTTCCGAGCATTTGACCACGGCATCTTGAAGTGCAGCCCGTAACTGTGATATCTCGTGTGCGCTGAGGGCCATGATTTATTTGTTGTTTTGAAGATTGGTGGGGTCGTCCTCGGGAAATAGATCGCACCCGGAGTGCTCG